TAAAATTTAGGCAAATATTTACCTGAAAAATGCTGTTTGTCGATACCATTGCTCTCGTTTTATCTGAAAAAAAAAAGGAGAATTATTTGGGGAAGATGATGATGATGGTGCTGGAATCAGCATATGATGTGTTGCTTTGTGAGTAGGATGCTGTTTAAACCTTTTTTTTTTTCTCTAGAATAACATTCTGATAACACTTAAGTTCTTCCAGATCTCTCCTGAATCCTTCAATTGCTTTATCCCAGCCAATATTAAGTAACTCTAAGGCTACCTAACCCATGGAGGCAACAGGAATCTGTGTTTCTGTGCCGAGTGTAAAGGTCAGAATGGAGGTTGAGGCTCCCCCATTAATTGAGTTTCTCTTTGCACCCCAGAATTGGGGATTTGAATATTCAAATCTGGGAACCTGCAGCACTCAGGGAACAAAGCAAACCCCTCTCCCCCCTCTGATGGCTTAAAGCTCAGGCTGTTCACTTGAGCTCAGCTTGATTAAAACTTCATGCCTTGCTTGAGAATTAGTGCCTGTTGTTGGCCAGAGCAGGTTGAAAATCCTTGAATGGAAAAACTAGACTTTTTTTTTTTTTTTGAGCTTTTAATGCCACTATCATGACTAGTTTTGAGGTTGATACAGGGCTTAAATCTCTCTTGAGTTTAACATATTACAGCTGAGCACTGGGGATGCTCAAAGAGCCAGGCTGGATTTTAGATTAATGCCCATGTCCCTGTTGATGTTCCTTTACCTTGAAAAGTTATATATTACTGTTGTTATGGATTTTTATTGTCCTTCTGTACTAGCCCTGTAAATTCTTCTGAGAAAATGGATGCAAAAAAATAGTTCTTCCAAAACAATTTGCTGCCTTCTCTGCCTAAAACCTCACTTGAGAAATCTGAAATGGCTTTTAACACGACCGAGAGCTGAGAGCGTTGGATTGCCAATCACAGCTCAAAACCCCTCTTTTAATGCAGCTTTTAAGCTTCCTGGCTTTTTGAAGAGACTTTCTTGGGAGGGGGCAGCTGCCACTTGTGAAGAAGAGGAGATGCTATTCCATGATTCCAGAAGATGGGGCTTGGATTTTCGGCCGAGGGAATGGGCACTGCTGTGAGAGCAGGTGCTGTAAATGAGAGAAGGGTTTTTTCCAGACTTGGAAGAGGCACTGCCTTGGAAGCTGAGGGTAAAAAATCAGGTGTTTGCAGAAAAACTGCTTTGAGTCCGTGGCTCCTGCCTGTGGATGTCGCTTAAAACACCACCATGGACCTTGTCAACTCTGACACGCAGTGAGAGGGTGTGCAAGAATAAGTCTCTTCACCTGGGGTTTGAGATGATGTTTTTAGTGATATTGCTGCTTTTCTCCCAGCAAATTGAGCCTGATTAAGATTTTTGGGGGGGGGAAGAGAAATCTTCTGCTCCTACGGAGCAATTAAGTTTGTCTAGGGAACGTTATCTGATGTGGCTGAAGCTGAGCTTCCTGCAGACTCCCGCTCTGCTGCTTTTCATTACCCCAGGTTGCAGCTGCCAGGTGCCACTAGAGCTGCTGTGGGAGGGGTAATGCCACCTCTGCTGCAGCTCCAGTCGCTGCTGGGCTCTTAAAACCCAGCTCAGCAGCGAAATAGCTGCAGGGCAGGCACCTTGTCAGAGCTGGGAGAGGGCTGATGGCAGCAGGACCCCGGAGAGGAAGTGGATTTGAGGAGGCTGTGGATGGAATCATAGGATCACAAAATGATTTGGGCTTGGGACTTGAAAGATGATTTATTTTCAACCTTCTGCAGGCAGGGACACCTTCCACTGGACCAGGCTGCTCAGAGCCTGGTCTTGGATGGGTATTGGGATATTAGAGCAGGGCCAGGCATGAGTTAGAGGGGAAGGGGTGATGCTTTGGAGGGGAATGGCTGGAGGAATCGTATTTATTCTTTTTCTTCCCAGCACCTCCATAAGATGGGGGGATGGCTTATTTTCATGCTGCACAGGATGGGCTGAGGTAAAGGAAGACTTAAAGGTATCATCTGCCTTTGGCTGCAGAGTGGGGCTTGTTCCTGCAGTCCTGAAGGATGGTGCTTGCAGCTTTAGGTCTCATGCTCTTTCCATGCTTTTCCATTCCTCTTTGCCATGAGATGGGCCCTGCAGGGTCGGGATTGTCCTGACCACATGTTCTTGGTGGTGCAGGAGGGCTGCCCTGATCTCAGCCAGCCTTAACTCACTTCTCAGCTCTGGCCTCCTCCTCAGCCAAACCTCTTTTCTCCAGTGCTTTTAGACCATATTTTTGGGCTGAAGTATCACTTTCTGTGCCCAGGGCTCTGAGTTGCCCTGTTATGTAGCTCACGGCACTTGAAGCAAATGAAGGCAGCAATCTGCAGTGATGGAGATCTTAAACTCCTCTCCAGCCTGTCTGATGGCAATGAAAAGGTGTCTAACTCTGCCCCCTGCCTCACTGACGCAACTGCTCGCAGCACAGGCTGTGAAATGTTACCGGGACTGTGTCTCCATATGGAAACGTGACTGGTATTTACACAAACCGCGCACCACCCCCGTCAGATCCTGCTCGGAACTTCTGCAGAACACCCGTCGGGCTTCCAAAGGAGGAGCTGTCACTTTGTGGCGTCCTCTGCCCTTCCAGCAGCGGGGGTGGCACTCGGGGAGCATCGTGGAATGGGGGTGGGGAACAGCAGTCTGAAGGATCCCGAACAGGAGTGGGGTTTGAAGCCCTGAGGTGGTTCAGTGACAAAGCAGACACCTGCCCGGGGGGGGCAGTTCCTGTCCAGCCCAGGTTTGGGATTATTTGCAAGGCGAGTGTTTTGTCCGTCCCTTGCCCAGGGGACACGGGGCTCGGCTGCCTTTTGTTCTGCTCTTTCCTCCCCTAAAGAGGGAGGAACAGAGGATGCTTCCCTTGCCAGAGTCCTCGCTGACCTCTGCCCAACCCTCTGATCCTACTCCACCCTTGCCCTTCTTCCAGCTCCTGGGCTGCTTCTCCTGTCTCCAACCCTCTCTGTTTTCAGGAGCCGCTGCTGCCACGTTCTTATCAGACCAGTTTCAGTGGGCTCAGGAGGGAATAAATAGTTTGTCCTGCTTGGTTTTTCCCTGTTTACCCATCTGTGTCTCTGACTGTGTTAGGACAGTGAGGAAAACTCACCCACATTCTCTGGGATTGGTGCTCAGACCATCTTGCCCTCATGTGCCTCCCATCTGACCCACCAGCTGGGAAGGATGGAGAAGAACCTGTTGTGACCACTTCCCTGAGGCTGCAGTCCTGGGTCTGGGTGAGGTGGAAAAGCCAGGATCGTGGATTTGAGCCTCCCCCAGGCTGGTTGTGTCTCTGCAGAGCCATCTGTGCTCTCCTGGCACGGGGAGGAATGTCAGCTGTGGTGGGTGCTCTGCGTTGAGGAGAGGTTATGGTGTCCATCCTGCATTTTGGAGGAACCAAACTCCAAGTTTGGCACTTAATTTAGGATTGAGATGCTTGCACAGGACTGTGTAAGTGCTCCTGGTGCCAGCAGTCAGCCTGTCTGGCTGTTGTCCATCCCTTCAGGACACAGGCTGCCCCCTCAACCCTGCCCTATCTCCTAGCAGGTATTTCATTCCTGATGGTGCCCACAGTGCTGTGGAACTTGGAATGTTGGGTTCAGGTGTTCCCTGTACTCTCCTCACCTCCCTTTCTGTCCTTGGACAAGTTTCCATCGTGCAGGGTTCCAAACAGCCTGAGCTTCACCAGCAGCCGAGGGTGGAATGTGCAATCCTGAGTGTGCCTTTGCTGGATGGGAACAGCAGCACCTCGGATGCTTTCTGAAGCCCTCAGAGCAGTTCTGAAAGAGCCAGAACACATTTATTCCTGTCAAGCAGGCAGGTGAAGGAGAGAGGGATTAACCTGAGGGAGTTTAGCAGGTTTCCCGTGCCTTGGATAAGCAGTTTGGAAGTCACCTGAAGGCTTTTGAAGCCCCTTGCACCCTCTGAGCTCCATCAGCTCGTGGCAGGAAGCGCTGCAGCCCCTGTCCTGTGTCACTGAGTTCCTGTTTGTGGCCTCGCTCCCCTGGTTTGTGTTTTGTGGTGGATCCCTCAGAGACAGCATGTGCTGCTTTCAGCTGCCGCCTCTACGTTTGCTTATGTGAGGCTTTAAAAGCCATCAATATTTTAGTTTCCATTCAAGCCTCCGCCTCAAAGCTCCCGCTTTTCATTTCACTGTAGTGCCTAAAGCCAGCTAATGAAATATATCCCTCCTGCTTCAAATTAGGCATAAAAGACTTGTCAGAAGACGAGGAGAGGCTGCTGAATAATCCTGGTAACGTAAAAATCGACATTCTATAATGTCCCTAATTCTCCTAATTAAACATGATACATGAGTGTGCTACAAGAGTTCTCCAGCTGCTTGGTAATGAGATGTTGCAGGGACCAGCTTCCTCTTGGATGGGGCCGGGTTAAACTCTTAATTAAAGCCTTGCCAAAGGCTAAGGAGTTGTCTGCTGTAATTAAGAAACTTGTCTCTCTTTCTGGGTGCTGCCACCCCCAGTGACCTGCTCATCTGTCCCGTGGGGACCTGTGGGTCTCTCTCTGTATCAGGTGTCTCCTTAGAAACTTTTTTTTTTTTTGAATTTTTCCACCTGTAGTTTCAAGTTGCCGGATTGTCAGCGAAGGGCGCTGCCCTCACAAGGTGGCCGCTGAAGGCGCTGGGTTCGGGGTGGGCCGCGGGCTCGGCGTTTTTATGGTTTCCAGTCAGCTTTCACCCTGTATTTCTCTTTTTATTTTTTTACCTGAGAGGAGCACGGTGCTGTCGCTGGGTTTGGTGCCAGGCGGTGAGCAGGGCACCCAAAACACGCAGGAGTCCTTTTCTTCCCCCCCGGCCCTCACGGCTCGCGGGCGGCAGCGAAGCCCCTCAGAGGCTCCAGAGGCCTCCCAGCCATGGCCGACGGCTCTTCCCCCACCCCGGGGCACCAGGACACCCTGAGCTCCCAGGACACCCTGCACTCCCAGGACACCCTGAAACCCCCCCGTCACTTCTCTGTCTCTCCCTCAGGGTACCTCAAGTGCCACACCGACGATGGCCCCGAGGCGAAGGAGGAGACGGCCAGCGAGGAGCTCTACGACACCGTCAACTCCACCATCGTCTCCGCCGACAGCATCCGCTTCTTCGTCAACGTCAACCTCGAGGGGGCTCCCCGGGCCACCGGTGAGTGGCACCCGCCTTCCAAAAGACACAGTGGGGCTGTGGGGTGCGGTTGGCAGTGAGATTTCATGGAATTGCGGTGCTTTGGGTTGTGAGGGAACTGAAAGGTCATCTTGCGGGCAGTGCTTCCGCCAGGCCAGGTTGCTCCAAGCCCTGTCCAGCCAAGGCCTTGAAGGTTTCCAGGGATGAGCTTTTCTGGGCAACTGCTCCAGTGTTTTACTGTCCTTGTGGTAAAATAAAAGAGTGTAGAGGGACTTCTTGGGTTGGACACGAGTGCCTCTTTGGGGTCGATGATCCTGGCTGGAGGCAGAGAGTAAAACTGAGGAGAAAATCAGCCTGTTGGACACCCTTGATGGGCGTCAGGCCCTCACAGCCCGCAGGGGTGCCCACAGTGTTGGGAAGCGGGGTTGTGTGTGTGCTCTGTTTGTGAACACAGGCTGTGCCTGCTCCAGGTGAGGGCCCGAGGGCCACATTCCACCCAGATGCACTTTAGTGGGATCTGCGTGTGGGCAGGGACGCTTTCCACTAGACCAGGTTGCTCCGGGCCCCGTCCAACCAGGCCTTGAATTTCTGCCTCTGGGACATTGTTTTAATGTCCTGGGTACTGCATGTGCTGAGTGGGGCAGGATGAGGGCTGGCAAAGCTGGTTTTCATGGGACACGCTGAGGAAAAGCAGCTCTTGGACGTGGCAGCAAGCCTGGGTTTTGTCCCAGGAGCTGGAGGCATCCTGGAGCCTTGCTGTGTGGGCACTGACTATTTTGGGGATTAAATGCACAGGCTCTGGATTATCCCTGGTGTCACAGCATCAGAGAGTCCTTTAAGTTTGTTCAAAGTTATTTTTAGATTACATGCAAATCCCAATTGATCTGCAGGGAGCAATTACTGGGGAATGGTGATGCAAAACATTTATGGCCTTGGACCCCTGTTCAAGATAATCAAAGTCTGCTTTCTGGCTCTGAGCAATGACTTTAATTTAGGAATAATATCTAGCAATTTCCAAGCCTGCAATTTTACAAATGCCATCTTAATTGAAAGATTTAAGGCAACTGTGCTCTGCTATGACAAGTCTGGGCTTAATGCCGTGGGGTGCATTGTTTGGGGATGAGGAATGCAACTGCTGGGGATTCTTCTGCATCTGAAGTTCCCTTTCCTTGTGTGTCCTCCTGGGCTTTTTATAAGTGTTTTCCCTTCAATTCAAAACAGAACAAAAAAGGCTTCCTTATTTCCCTGAAGCAGTGATGTTTGTGATGGTGGTATTAGTTATATCCTTTTTTTTTTTTTTTTTTTTTAAGCTGAGATACTCAGAATTTTTAAGGAAAGCTGGACTTCTGATGTGCTGGGTCACATTTCAGATTCAAGGATGGAGGTTTTAAAAATGAGCTTCAGTCAGGAAAAAAAAAGTCCAGGCTTTAAGTAAGGGCAGGTGTGAAGGGAGATCTTTTTTTTTTCCCCATGACAACATCAAGGTAGCCAAAATTCAAGTTTATCAGGCATAGGATTGCTCAGATTCCAGGTGTTGGAGTCATCTGGGCTATCAGAAAAAAAAAAAATACCCCAATCCCAAAATGAGGTTTAATTATGCTGTGGCCAAAGGATGTCCAGGAGTGAACTGTTCCCTGGGCCACTCTGCAAAGGGAACTCTTCAGAAATTGCCTTTCATTGCTACCACTCTTTGGAAGTTTTGTGGTGGTTTTTTGGGAATTTGTTTGGTTTTGGGGGGAGTTCTGTTTGGTTTGGGTTTTCTTGTATTTTTTTTGTTGTTTGTTTTCCGGGTTCTGTTTGGTTTTGGTGTTTGGGGGTTGTTGTGGTTCTGTTTGGTTTTGGTGTGGAGTCGTTGGTTTTTTTATGTGTTTGTTGAGGGGTTTTTTTTGTGCTCAAGCTTTGATTTCCTGGTACAAAACTGTGGAGCTGAGCACTTGCAGGAGTTGTCTCCAGCAAGACAAGATGATGGGGAAAAAAAAAAAGGCAGCAGTTCTCTCTAGGCAATGTCAGATGCCCCAAACATCTCATTTCCAACCCCAAGGGAGCCCAGTGCACCAGAATCCCACAAGATCCTCTGGTGCTCTGAGAACTCAGAGCAGAACCAAGTATGGGAATGACATCTTTGCATCCTCATCTTACTGTCAACCAGGCTGGGTGGAACCTTTGCTGGGCTGAAATGATTCCTTGTGCCAGAGGGCTTGGATATGCTCTCCTGGCTGGGCTCAAGAGGGACTGACCAAGGACCAGCTTGCACTTAGAGGGTTCTCCAGGACTGCCTGGCTCAAGTTGCTCCCTGGTGTCAGGTGCACTTGCTGCATAAAAATGTGAGATATTAGGAAGGAATCCTTCCTTGTGAGGGTGGGGAGGCCCTGGCACAGGTTGGGCCGAGAAGTTGTGGCTGCCCCTGGATCTCTGGAAGTGTCCAAGGCCAGGTTGGAGCAACCTGGGCTAGTGGAAGGTGTCCTTGCCTGTGGCAGGGACTTGGAACTGGATGATCTTTAAGGTCCCTTCCAACCCAAACGATGATAAAATACACTTGCCTAATTTCCAGCAGGAGAAACCTCTGAGGTGACTTGAAACAAGATAAACAGCCCTGCTGGTTGTGTCTGTGAGCCTCAGAACATGTTCTGGTCTTCACAGATTGGTCTCTTGGCTGAACATGGTGTCCAGATTCTCTCCTGCTGGAGATGTTTTTGGGTGAGCTGCTGTGAGGTTGCTGCCCACCTTTGTTTATGGCTAAAACATCCAAAATTCCCATCATGGGGATGAACTGGACCCCAGGGGTCCAGGTGCTGGGATTACAGATGCAGTGACAGCTCTGCATCATCCTGTTGGTCTCTGTGTGATGGATGTGCAGCTCTGCATGAGCATAATTGGATGCACTTCTCTATAATTCTGTTTTAAAAACATCCCTGTGTGGGTTAAGCTTTGAGCCAACAAAACATGGCACGGCCAATGTTCAATCCAATAATCAACCACGGGCATGAAATGCTGGGCTGTGCACAAGGATGTGTTTGAAACAGGATGGCCTGAAGAAATCTGGGGTTGAAGGTATGGTCTGTCTCACTTCGAATTCATATTGACTGCCCTTGCATGGAATATTGAGCCCAAAGCAGTGCAGATGTCAAAGCATTAAAATGCTGCCCAGTAGTGACTTTTGGGTCCTTTCTCCTGGGTGTTTTAGTGCTTCCTTGTGGTACCTGATGAAAGGCGTTTTTTATTTATTTATTTTTAATCTGTTGTGCTTTTCATCCTTGCACCTTAGGGTTTGTTTTCAGCAAATGCTAGCGGGTCTAACGTGAAGGTTAAAGGGGCTTTATTTGAGGTCAGAGGCTTTTGGACCTGGGGATCTGCATTTTTTGGAGGAAGATCAGGATGGGTTTTAGACTTGTTCTGAAGTCACGGTAAATATGTGCAAGTAAAATCACAGGATGGTTTGGATGGGAAGGGGCCTTTAAAGGACATGTAGTCCAACCCCTTGGCAACGAGCAGGAATGGCTTCCACTAGCCCAGGTTGCTCCAAGCCCCATCCAACCTGTCCCTGAACACTTGCAGGGATGGGACAGCCACAGCTTCTCTGGGCAACCTGTGCCAGGACCTCACCGCCCTCACTGTAGATGAAGTTCCTCAGACCTAATCTGTATTAATCCTCTTTTGATTTGAAGGCTTCCCTACTTGTCCTGTCCCTCCACCCCTTGTCCCCAGTCCCTCTCCAGCTCTTCTGGAGCCCCTTAGGCACTGAAAGGGAATCCAGGGTCTCCCTGGAGCCTTCTCTTCTCCAGGCTGAACACAACAGGAGCAGGGCTGTTACCTTTCCTGGGCTGCAGGTGGAAAACTTGGTGCTTTGTTCCTTGGTAATTTGTTCCAGAGAGGATGAAGAGCATCAGTGTGCAGTGGGGAGGAACCTCTTCCCTCTCCAGATCCATGGGCTACAATCCCTGCTTACTGCACAGCTCCTTGGTTTGCTGTCTGGTCATGCATCTCCTATTCTCTCACCCAGCTCTAAGTGCAGTAACCCTTCAGTCTTAGTCAGAATCACACCCAGAGGGCATTTTGGGGTTTTTTTGGTGTGTTTTATATATATTTTTTCCCATAAATCCCTTGGGAGCCTGGCTGCAGGTCTCCACACCTACATCCCTTGTTGAGATAACAGAAACTGGGGGATTCAACCACTCGCTGCTTTATCTGCAGCACGCTGGGAATGGAATCTCTCCAAGTAAATACAGCAGTTTGGTTTAGGCTGAGCCTTAAATTCGTGGACAGGTGATGCAAGTGAGCCTGGGAGGTGTGTGGGGACACATCCTTGCCTTCAGTCACAGTGCTCTTGCCTCCTTGGCAGCTCCCTTCAATCAACCAGTGACACTTTGTTTTTTTGCAGTTTGGGGCTCTGAAACAATTCATCTTCTCCTCCCCCAGATTGCAGCAGAGGGGTTTGCACAGGATTTCCCCCCCCCCTCAACTCAAGCAGAGTTGATCTAGGATTTGTGGACCTGCAGCTGCTTAACTTTTCCCACTTACAGCTGTTCCTTGGACTGGTGGGTTTAGAGGTGCCCTGAGCAGTTTTTTGGGGGAATAAGGCAGGGAAAAACCAACTGGGAAGCAGGATGTGGCTTTGTCAGGGTGGGTGTGTGTGAGGAGCAGGGGGAGGGGAAGGAACGGAACACCACTCATGCTTCAGGAGAAATTAAAGCCTGTTCCACCCTCTGGACAATTGATCATCCCTAGATACAGAGAATCACCAGTTTCCTGTAATCTGCTCCAAAGGCACACACGTGCACGCCCGGCGCTGCTGCTCCCAAAAAAACACGGCATCCAAGCCCTGACCCAGCCCCTGCCCAGATGACTCCTTTTCTTGGTTTTTTGTTTTTTTTTTTTTTTGCCTTCTTCTTTAAGGGGACGAGCAGAAAAGCTGGATGCTGGCGCCGAGGATATTCCAGGGAGAGTAGCGTCCCGAGACAAGTGGTCTGGGCCTGAATGGGTATCACTCTGCACACAATAGTCACATTTCCTCACATTAATACCAAGGTCCTTTTTATGTCCCGAGGCACAATGCTGACCCACGCGTTCCATCTGATAACTCCTGTTTTAGCAGTTTGATGTCAGACTGGGATGTTGGGCTCCCGAAGCTTCCTATAGCCTAATGGAAAGTGGATACACCGATTGTGTGTGTGTGGCGGGGGGGAGGGGACGGCCTCCCCGCGAGTTTCCTGAGGAGGGTGTTTTCAAAGCGCTGCTTTAGGAAGCCGACGGGAGGTGTGTGTGTGTTGGGGGGGGTTGGGGAGCGCGGGTGGTGCTGCACGGAGGCAGCGTTTTCTCTTGCCCACGCTCCACCTTGCTGCTTGGAGCAGCTTTCCATGGGATGTGGAGTGCTCTGGCTTTCCAGTCGGCGTGGAAAATGCACCTTTCCCCCTCTGAATTTAGCGATAAAATCCACTGCAGGTGGGTTTTTCCATAAAATAGTTGGCTTTTGTAGTGTGTAGGTGCCCCAGGTGGTGCTGTGCCTTGGCAACCTTTCCTTCTCAGAATCCCAGAGTATGCAGAGTTGGAAGGGACCCATAAGGACCATCCAGTCCCACCTTTAGCCCTGCACAGGACCATTCCCAAGAGTCACACCATGTGCCTGAGAGGATCATCCTGACTCTCCTGGAGCTCTGGCAGCCTTGGGGCTGTGCCCACTGCCCTGGGGAGCCTGGGCAGTGCCAACCACCCTCTGGGGGAAGAACCTTCTCCTGAGATGCACCCTAAACCTCTCCTGGCACAACTTCAGGCCATTCCCTCAGGTTCTCTCACTGGTCCCCACAAAGGAGAGATCAGTGCTTGCCCTCTTCTTCCCCTGGTTCAATACAAGAGCCCTGGTCATTCCCTGGAGTCCTCTCTCTTTCCAATTCCTCCACAGGGAAGTGTGAGGGGCTGCTCCTTCACCTGCCCGGGTGTTTTTGCTGCTCCACAATCTTGCAGCTGGTTCTTTATTCCCACCTGCCTTTAACCTGGGTGTTGCTTTGAGGGATGAACCCACTGACTTCAGGCTTTCTGCTGCAGCTCAGCCCATCACCCTGTCGTGGGAATGTGAGGTAATTAAGGCACAATTATTTATCTAACAATATTTAACCAAAATGACTCAAATCTGATGGGGATTAGCCCAGACTTGGCATGGCCGTGACAGGACAGCAAAGCAAAGAATCCCTTTGAGATCCTGCTTGTGCAATCCTTCATTGCCAGCGATGAGTTAGAGGTATCTCCTCTGCTCCTCACAAACTCCTGTCGTGCTGTGTGCTGATGTGGTTTTATTTCTATATTTTTAAGGCAGATTCTAAAAGCAGAACAGTTTTTGCTGCTCACAGTGGGGTTCAACACGAGTGGTCGAGGCTTAGAGTTGCACAGACCCCTGATAAAAACAAAGATAAAATAGTAACTTTTCTTTAATTATACCCCCCCCAACTTTAAATACTTTTACCTACACCAGATCCTTGATATTTTTTGGAGAAAATTATGGAATTCTAATATAGTATTCTGCTCTCATTTATTTTACTATGCATATATATATATATAAAAAACATGCAAATGCACTGGGGAGCTTATGTAGATCTAAAGGAATGTGCACAACCAAAAAGGTTCCTGCTTTCCAATTTCCACTCCTTTTAGCTCAAAGGAAAATGTTGTCCTGGGATGCTGCAAGGCTTCCAGTGGTGGCTTCGCTCCAGAGGCTTTGGGGTCTTCTCAGGTGTTTAAGGGCAGCACTGGGGACCTGTATGAGGGAAAGGTGGCATCCCAGAGGCCGGGGGCAGCGCTCCGTGCCTGCGTGCACGCATCCCAGAAATTCGGGATGTGCCGCCGCCTTGATGTGGCTGCCAGGGGATGTCGGAGATGACTTTTTGGTTTTCCCCTGGGCAGGACCTGGAGCGGAGCCCAACAGATAAGGTCGGCCACCCCTGGCAGCTCTGCTTTAGCAGTGTGGGAGGACACAGGACAATGCCTGTGGCTCGCTTGCCTAAAATAGGCTTTTGCAGCCTGTTTTGTCCAGCAAGGAGGGCCACAAAAATAGAAGTGAAGATCTTGTGTGGCCCTGAACTCCTGTTTCTATTCAAATATGTTTAATCCTGATATCCAGGTGTGAAATGCACTTACTGCTCCTGTCAGTGAGACGTAACTGATGTGGTTGATGGGTGGTTTCTAGGCTGAATCCTGTGGTTTTCTGTATCCCTTTTGTCTCCATGAAGGGAGGTGCAAGGGTCAAGGGTGTGCAATCTTTTCACCCCCCTCTAGTGATGGTGCCAGAGGAGGAGAAAATGGGTGGAAAGCTGGTGGTGGTTGGTCTTGAGCTTTGGCCAGGCTGTCTGATGGATATGTCGTGAGCAACCTCACGGTGGGTTTGATCCCACGTTGCCCTGCAGTAAAGAAAGGGATTTTTAATATAAACCAGGCAGAAGAACACCCATTTCTCGTGTTCCAGTGGATTTGCTACCCCTGAGTCATGTTTTAGCACTCCAGTGGCTGTTTAAGATACCAGCCCAGAAGTGGGATGGCCATATCCATCCATCTCCCATCCCGGATTAAATCTGAGCGGAGTGTCGCTTGGATGAATGATGGATGAGGCTCTGGACCTTCCAAAGCGTCACCTCCCTACCCAGAGCAGCTTTTTTGAGAAGTTGGAAAGTTCCTGGTCCAACAGATGTAATTAGATGTTTTGGCTTGTGTTGATAAGGGCAGCAGCTCGGTGCTCATTCCAGCTGAGCACCTGAGAGAGCTGTCAGCAAAGATTGATTTACAGCCCTTGTAAATACACCTTGAAGCTGATAAGAGGAACCAGGAGTTGCCTGATAAAAGGACAACATGAATTTCTGCAACATTTCCATTCCTCCACGAGGACAGGCTGCAGATCTCCCTAAATTTACCATGTGCTTGCTGTTGTTCGGGGTTGTGGGTGGTTTTTTGGCCTCTCCCAGAACGATTTCTTTGCAAAAGCAGATAAACCACAACATGCTTTCTCCTCGATGAATATTTATGGCCCCCAAATCTCCCCTGCCTACTTGTGCATGTGTAATTAGGCTGGGAGTTGAGTAAGTGAGCGTTGGAGAACTACAAATGTAAGAGCCTGGGGAAAAATACTTGATGTTTCTGGTTTATTTGGGTGCTTGCTTTTTAATAATGAATTGCACTTTTGTAGATGAAACAGCTTGTGCTTTCCAAAAGACGAGTCAAAAAAGCAGTAATAAGTGGGACTGTTGCACCAGCAGACTTGTCTAACTAAGGGATGCTTTCAGTCACGTGTACAGCTTCCAAGTGAACCTGGGGAGAATTTGGGTGATGTAACCAAAGCCCCTGAACCATCTTACTTTGTTTAGGGCGAGATGAAGGCGATCCTTTCTCTTTTCTGCTGTGGTCAGCTCTGTTCCCAGTTTCCCTTTTAACCCCATCAGACTTGAATTTCTGTTTGATCAAGGATGATTTTGGTTAAAGCAGCTTTTTGTGTGCGAAAAATAATTGATTTTTTTGAAGTTCTGGTGTTTTCATGGGAGTTGCATCCTCAGCTTATTTTTTTTGCAGAGGAGCAGGGCTGGGCTTGAAGGAATGTGGTCAATCTGTGACATGGGATTGCAGCATTTCTCACAGGATTTGGAAGTCCAGATCTGGAAAGGAAGCAAAAGTGCCATCTGAAGAGCTGTAATTGTGTTATATCTCTGTACTTTTCCACAGCTTGGCCTCTGGAAAAGTTTTGGTCTTCGGTGGGATTTTTCCATGCTGCTTCTACTGCTCAGTTGAATTAAAACTGTTCATGTGTCTCGTGAATAATTTTGGTAGCAGCTCAGTCTTAGGGATTTTTTGGAGAGTGTAAAGAGGGAGAACTTTTTTAAGAAGGATGCCAAGCTGGAAGAGTTCAAGGCCAGGTTGGATGAGGATTGGAGCAACCTGGCCTAGTGGAAGCTGAACGAGGTGGTCTTTAAGGTCCCTTCCAACACAAACAATTCCATCATTTCATGCACAGGCAGTGCCTGTGGTGATGCTGCAGAGAAGCTGCTTTGGAGGCAAAGAGTTTGGAATGGGCTTGTGGCAAGTACAGCTGGTGTTTGTTTGGTTTTGTAGCTTATGCCCCCCAAAAAAATGCTTCACAGATACTCTAAGAAAATGTTAGTGTCGGCACTTGGAAGCTGGAACTGGGAATTTCCCGGGTTCCCCCATCCCTGGATCTTGGCTGTGCATTAAGTGACATTTATAGTCTGTCAAGAGCAGTTTTCTTTCCCAAGGGTGGTTTCTTTCCCCTTGGATTTATGGAGGCAGCATGGTTAGTTGACAGGACGTTAATGTGCTCCTCTTGGAGTGTGATCCCTCAGCCCCCTCCCTTGGAAGTGCCTGGGTGTTATTGTTGACTCCCTAACGAGGACGAGAAGGGTTTCCAAACGAGGGTGACTCACGCAATCTCAGCCTCAATCCATCAAACAGCGATGCATTGGATTAAATGATTACTTGAAAAGATTAGGAGTTAGGTTTTTGGGGAGGCAGGAGAGGAGGAAAGAGTGAAAATACAGAGGGAAGCTGAATTTAAAAAAAAAAAAAAGGCTAAAAACACAACCAAAAAAAGCTGCGAGACACAATCCCCAGCTGATCAGATAATGCCAGTTCTGGCCTCAGTTCACGCTTCCAAAATGGGAGATGTTGTAGAAACTGAATCTCTGCTTTTCCCTCGAGATCCCCCTCTGCCAAGAGAGTGATGCTTCACCTCGTCCTGAGCCTGCTGCTCAGCTCCTGCTGCCTCTCAGGTACCTGTGACAGCAACACTGTTCTGACTGGGTTGTCTTTTTTTTTCCTCTTTCCAGCTGAAAGTGAAAGTGCTGGCTGCGTGTTACTGCACACATCGAGGAAGGTAAGTAGTAGGAATGCTGTGTGTTCAAATTGATGCAGGTTTTTTCATTATCATGTTCAGAAGTACAGAAAAGGATCTTGGAACACCCTGTGGGGCTCTTTGTCACTGGCCTGAGCAAGGCATAAGTAATTCCTTTCTTGACTTCTTCTTGCCTGTAATTCCTCTGTCTCTTAAAACCTGAAAAGCCACGTGCTGTTTGTTCTCCGAACAATTTCACCCTAATTCTGATCTTTCCACTGCTTTTTGTCCCAGACAATTCCTTGACATGTTAATTTACCACTCTCCCTCCTGCAGTGCCTGCACAGGGATCCAAGAGGACGAGGTTCAGGCTGCTGAGCTCCTCTGGAGCTGAAAGCAGAGACACCCAATAGACGTGGCTGGGGTTTGGTTTCCTGATTGCTGCAGCTGATCAGGTCTGCCTTCAGGAGCTTCAGCAGGAGTGAAATACCTGGAAACAAGCAGGCTGGGAGGGTGATTAGGGCGCTACACTTGGTTTACACTTGCTCTTGAGACTCTTAACTCAATGAGGTGAAAGTGCAGAAACCCCTCCCAGAGGCTGTTACTGCAAACCTGCTGCTAGGGGAGTGCACAGGGAGGAATTGGGTTGATATTTTGGTATCTCCCCTGTGAGGGTGGGGAGGCCCTGGCACAGGTTGGGCAGAGAAGCTGTAGCTGCCCCTGGATCCCTGGAAGTGTCCAAGGCCAGGTTGGAGCAACCTGGGCTGGTGGGAGATGTCCCTGCCCATGGCAAGGGGTGGAACTGGAAGATCTTTAAGTTTCTTCCAACCCAAACCATTCTGTGATTCTGTATTTAACACTACCCAAAACTTTGTCTTTAGGCTTGTGAGGCTCATGGTGCTTTAAGTTATCTTGGCTCTGCTCCTTGGAGGAACTGACTGTGTGCATGGAAACTTGGATCACTGATCCTGGTAAATCACAGAATCATTTACGTTGGAAAAGCCCTTCAAAATCACCAAGTTCAACTCCACTGCCAAACCCACCACCTAAACCATGTCCCCAGGTGCCACTTGGCTTCTGAATCCCTCCATGGCTTGGTGGCTCCACACAGCCCTGGGCAGCCTCTTCCAGTGCCTGAGATCATGGATTGCCCTGGAGGTTTTAATCTGTGCACCAAAGCCTTGGGGGCTTTTTAGGGAATCCCAGAGAGCCCTGTAATTCTGCTTTCCTTTAGGCCTCTAAGGCAGCTCAAATCCTGAAAAGATACTCCAGGAGGCTGAACTGGGTAGTGGGAGGAAAATGTGTGATAGCTTTAGAAACCTTTCTCCCAAGTTAAAAATACCCAAAGCAAACAGAAACCAAAGAGAAAACACTACCCAAAAAAACCCCACATTAAACATTGTTTGATGCAGAATCATGGAAGTTAAACTAAGCTATTCCATGCTCAGGAATAGAAATGTCTTGATCAATAATTTGTCTTGTCTAAAACTGGTGCCAAGGTTCTCAGTTGTATCCACTTGACTGAAAGTAACCTAAGAACTTAATCACTTAAAGTGCAAGTTCTAAGCCCAAAAGCAGGATCTGCCTCTGATAAGGAATAGTTGGGAGCTGCCAGCACTTAAGTGTCTCTTCTATTTTGTTTTTCCTTCTCAGGGCTGTAGGATTCCTGCTTTTTCTGGCCTGTGGTTCATGCTTGAGCATTTTAACTTGCTCTTGAGCCACAAATACCAGAGGGCTTTAGCAGGGCTTGAGAAAAGATACCACTGCCAGATTTTGCCTCCAGGGAGGATGAGTGGAAATTTTGTGCTTCAAATGCAAAGGAAATTGAGAGCTGACTCATGGAGGAGATGCCTCCAAGTGTCTGGGAAGGGGGGAATCACCAGCAGAGAAGTGGCTGGGGCAGAAGGTTTATCTGGAGGTGCTTCCCTGTGTGTTGGCCCTGTCTCTGGTGGGTTCCTGTGGTTCTTGGGTCGCTTCAGAAGTGCTGGAAGGTCAATCTGGGCAAGTTGCTCTCTGGACAACTTGGCATAAATAAGGAGAAGCTCCTTGGCATGGTTTGAACTATTTAATCACCGATCACGGTGTGTTTTTGAAGGAATTGGCCCAAGGGACAGTGGCAGCAGTAGGTGTTTGCTCAGGAGAAAGTGCTTTTTGGACATCCCTTCTTGTGAGGTTATGGCAGTGGCTGTAAGTGGAGGTGGTCTCCAGGACAGCCAGACAGGAGAGTTCTTGCATTCTGGCCCTTGTTGATGAGTTGGAGTGTGCAGCTTAGGCCAGGAGGCCTGCCTGAAGTCAGGGAGGCTGTTCCAGTGTCTTCCCCTTCTTGGAACAAGAGCCTCTGTTCCTGCCACGCTGCAGCTTTGCAATCAAGGCTACCTGATGTCATTAAACTGGAGATTGGGTAGCTGGCTTGGGTTTCTTGCTGAGCAGTTTCCAGCATCGAGTTTCCAGCATCAAATATCCTGGTGTGACTTGACTATCCGGCTAAAAATGTTAGTGAAGGAACAATCATTAATCTCTCCTGAAACCAGCGGGTGTCCTGACTGCAACAGTTCTGTCTGAGCTGCTGCAGAGGCTTTGCTGTGCCACTGCTTCCTCTAATTTGATTTTGGGGTGTCTCAGGGAGTGATGGATTTCTGTCCTTTCACGCTGGCTACTCGCCTTGTGATGTTTAATGTGCAAAACCTCTCTTTAAGCTGAAAGAGGGAAGGTTTAGGTTGGATGTTAGGAAGGGGTTCTTGGCTGAGGGAGTGAGGCCCTGGCACAGGTTGGGCAGAGAAGCTGTGGCTGCCCCTGGATCCCTGGAAGTGTCCAAGGCCAGGTTGGAGAGGGCTTGAACCAACCTGACCTAGTGGAAGGTATCCCTGCCCATGGCAGGGGGTTGGAACAAGATGATCTTTAAGGACCCTTGCAATCCAAAACATGCTGTGATTCCGTGATATCTTCCCTAATGTTATGGGAGTGATAATAAGGAGGGATAGTGCCTCTATTTCCTATGAGGACCAGGAGCAGGGAAACCAAATAGGCCTGAGGCATGGAAAATTACTTTCCCAAGGCACTGCCTGAAGCCCGTGGCAGAGCTGGAGCTGAATCGTTTTGACTTGCAGGAAGCTACTGATGGTGCTGTCATGCACAGCTCGCTGCAGGATCAGTGTTGATGGAGATGATATGGGCAGATAACACACGTGAATGCTTTTGATTAATTCTTCCTGTCCCTCAGCTGTCCCTCAGCTTTCTCCTTCCACTCTTCAGCTTCACTCCTGATACCCTCAACCTTCCTTGTACCTCCACAGGTCCCCCTTCCATCCACACCGTGAAATCCTGACCGGGTCATTTGGCCCAGGAGTTGCCTCCTGGGTTGGGCTCTGCCCAGAGAGGCTGAAACAAGAATTTTTTGGGAGGTGCTTGCCGGTCCTGTGGTGCCCCCGTGAACACCTGTGTCACAGAGGTGGAGATGGGTGTTTTAATCAGCTCTCTTGCGGTGATAATTTGAGGCAGACTCGCTGCTTGCACCTCTGAGGTGGAATTGTAGCTGTGTCACCGTCTCCTCTCCGAGCAGATGGTTACAGAGCCTGGGGGGGGTGCGGGAGCTGAAATCCTTCAGAGAATCCTCCCTCTCAAATGCTGTGTAAGGAGTGATTGATGCAAAGTAAAACAGTGCTAATTGCGATGGATGTGTACTGACAACTTGATAGTTGCTGTGATAATTACAGTAATTAGGGAGATGGCAGCGGGTTTTTTTCCCTGTGTCTAGGCTATAAATGGAAAAGGTAGGGAGAGTGTGCATGGAAGGAGGGGATCCATGAGTCAGGCTCTGGGATGGCCCTGTACCTTGGGGGACAAAGTGCCACGGTCCTGGCTGTGGGGGGGGGGCAGCTCGGTGTCAGATTTGTGACAGCAATTCAGAGCTCGACTCTTGCTGAGCTTAAAGAGAACTGAGGGTTTAAATGTGTCTTGCCAATCTGGTTCCCAGCATCGTGGATTCAAGCCTGGCTGCTTTCCCATCAGAAGGAAGATCTGGATAACAAAAGTGCAGTTCCCATTTCCTCGCTCAATCTCAAGCTGTTGAAGGAGAGGACAGGACTGTCAGTCCTTCCTGACCAGTGCTGTGTGTGTGGAATTGCAAGGATGTGCCGTGGGAGTGACACATTTATTTGATCACTCAATTAATGAATAACAACTTCACAGCTGACAAATAACAGAAAGGAGTTGAGGTTCTGGAATACACCGTGTTTGTGTCTCCCATCTCCAGGCCAACAAGTCTGGGACAGCAGAAGGAACCAGAAGAGAGAGCTGGGACAGTTTCAGCCTCTGTCTGCCATCTTTTCCTTCTGTTTGTATTGATTCAAAGTGAAATGTTATGCACAGAGGAAGAAAACTTCCTTGGGAATGGGAACAACAGGAGTTTAGGAAGTGTTAAAAAAAGGGTGATGGACTGGATGGCATTCCCCACCTCCCAGTTCAGGCTCCCTAACTGGGAGCACTGGGGACAGATGGTTCCCAGTTTGAGATTCGTACTGGTAATTTTTCATGCTGCTGAGTTTGGAGTCCATTTCTCCCAAATATCTTTCTCCTGTTTCTTGAAAATTCTTGCATTATTTAAACCTACAGAGGATTTTAAACACTACCTCAAGCATTTCTGCTTTTAGGCAAACTTATGTGCTTTATCCTAGGCAGAAAAAAAGAAAAAAACCTTTTTTTTTTTTTTAATCTGCTTTTTATGTCTGGGTATAAATGCAGCTGGGCATTCAATTATGGGCACTCTGTTAAAAGAAACCTTGAAAATGCAAACCTCCAGTGCATTAATGCATAAAACTCATTTTATTTGTGTAACGTGAACTGCTCGTGAAGGACGACCTCTAATCCCTGATCTTTCCTTTACACAGTACCTGAAATTAAAGAATTTTGAGGAGGAAGTCCGAGCCCAGCGAGACCTGGATGGGTTCCTGGCCAGAGCCAGCATCATCCTGGACGAAACAGCCACGTCCTTGGACGATGTTCTGCGGGAGATGCTGAGACACTTCGCGGAGGATCCCGAGAACACGGAGCCGAGCTGCAACTTCGAAAAAATCATGAGCACTTTATTCACAGATTCAGGGACCCCACGGGAAGGGAACGGTAATGAGCCCTTGATTTCCTTCTGCTGCTGCTGGGCTGCTGGTGGTTTGCCATCCTCTCCACTCTGGTGGTGTGTTGACCCCCTCCCTGCGTGGTCCCCCCCCCCCCAGCCTTGCACGTTGCATGCGGCACCGTGGGTTGATTTTTCTCCACGTCACTCAGACTGAAGGGTCTCACATCTCCAGGGTGTTTGTGTTTTGGTGGAGTCCTGCCCCCTGTTTCACTAAGATGACACGTCGTGGTGTTCTCTGGGGGTGAGAAGTCCACAGCACCAGAGTGTCTTGTCTGGGTGGACCCTTTGGGTGTGCTCGTCCTCAGCCAAGAGACACTTGCCGGTGTCTCTTCAGAAATGGCTCCTTTGCCTTGTGATTCTCCACCTGAATTCACACAGGCTGGGGAATTTTGCCTGCTCTGGACGAGCCTCTGGGGAGGGTTGAGCCCTTTGTGTTGCTCCCAGCCCACTGGAGGAGACAAAAGCCTTTTGTTTTCCTCCAGAAACTCACCCAGGGGGCATCCCTGGCCAAGGTTGTTGGCTCCTGTGTCACCTTTAAACTGTCAGCAAATGTCGTAGTGTAGTCTAAAACATAGCCAAGATGTGAAGAAGCTTAACTGAGCATTGTTTCTCTGTAGGCACCCATGATGTTTCAGAGTCAACAGGAATGAATAAACAAACATGTACATCGCACCTCAAATGTAACTGTCACAGCCTGAGTGAATTTGTTTAACAGATATGTCGAGTCCTGAGCATGTAGTAAGCATGTTCATGCTTTGGTTACCTCTTGCTACCTCTGTCCTAGAGCTTCGCGTTTTAGAATCTTTTAATTTAGGCTTTCTGCCTAAATAAATGAAGGAAAATGTAAGTAGTGCCGTGGAATAGTGTGAGAGCAGTCGTTGGGAAGAGGGGGAGAGAGGGCAGGGGATTGGGAAGGCCCTGCCCCTTCCAGTCCTGTCTCTGTATGTGTGTGTTTGGATAATGCTAATCTTAATAACCTAACAGTGCAGTAGGGTGATGTTGGGAGGAGAAAGCAGCTTCCTTTCCGAGCTGTGAATAGTTTAGGGACAGAATTTAAAAGCAGCAGGACAAAATGTTTCCACCTTTTTCTGTCAGCCCCACCCCATCCCCCCCCCACCCCTGCCTAAATCCACTGTGCTTAGGTAGGAATGCTTGGGATTAGTCCTTCCATTTGGAAAAGAGATGTTATTTACAGTTGCAAAGCGAGCCTGGACAGCCTGTGACACTTCCCTCTCTTTCTTTTCCCAGTTCACCTCCTGTCAGATACAATCCAAGGGGTCACAGCGACAGTCACGGGGGTGCAGTATCAGCAGTCCTGGCTCTGTATCATGTAAGTACCTGGGCTGGGTGAGCAAAATCCACTGGCTGCCCAAAACTTGCACGTTTGTCTGCTTTTGGGGAAGAATAAGAGGTTCAGAACGTGCCTTTTTGTGTTAAGGTGGTGATGCCTTTTCCATCCATCCAGGGGTTGAATGGTGGTACACATCTTGCAGTGCCTTTCTGCTTGGGGAGGGGGGGAAATAGTAATAATAAAGTTGATATTAAGTGAGATGTGAATCAGAAAAAAGCCATCAAGGTGTTTAAGTTATCCTAGAGAAAGCAATACAGTTCACAGTGAGATCTCAGTCTCAACATTAGGCTGCTCCTCTCTGCAAATCAACCTTGGGCCAGAGGTGACCACAGTCTCTCCAGGGCACTAAGCTCTTGGGTGCTATAGAAATCTGGTGTTAACAAGCTAAGAATGCTGAAAAATGAGCCAGAAAACGCTCATTACTGAGAAATACTAATAAAGGGGCAGGCAAACTGCTTCATGGAATGCTTTGCCTGCCAAAGTCTGGGAGCTCGTACCGAAAGATTTCTGAGGTCCCTGGATGGAAACATCGAAACTTTGCGACTGAAAATTGAAGTCAGACATTCCACGCTCTTTAGACACAGATTACTTTGTCTGACAGTTCATTCAGAGGCTGAGTAATTGTCAACACTGCTGAAGATTGCAGCAGGCCCTTAGGACAGTAAGGGGTCCCTGTCACCTGGGATTTATGAGGCTGCTTCCACTTGACCAAAGCTGGGTTTTTGAAGTCGTTGTCTCAAAGTCAGGCGTGTGGGGTGAGCCAGACTGGCCCTCCACGGAGGACAGGCCAGGGCCTGACTCCCTGAGCCAACCCAGGCAGTGCCATTTTCACTCTGTCTCCCTTGCTTTATGCATATGCAGAGCCCAAGTCAAGTTGTCAAGAAATATGTTAATTCCCAGAGAAATTACTGGGATATGTTGGAGAGGTGCCTGAAGGCAGGCACATGTTTGAGCCTTCACAGCCAGTTTGCTGGGACAACTGTCACAATGGCTTTCCTTCCACTGGCAGTTCTTCCCCTGCCCTTTGCTTATGGCTGGGGAAAAATGGGGAGGATTTGGCCTTGGAAATAAATGATTTAAAAAAAAAAAAAAGAAACAAACAAGGAAAAAAACAACAAACAAAACACAGACAAATAAGAAAAAAAACCAAAGCATGTCACCCTTGTGTTTAATCTCTTGTGAAAGGGAAAGATGTGATCTCAATGTGAAAAAGAAACAGTTTCACGTCAGGGCTGTGTCCTGTGCAATAAGTGATGAACTGGATGATGTCTGTGCTCCGTGGGCTCTACTTTTACACCAGGCATGTACAGAGAAAATGAGCTTAGACAGTAAAATGCCCTCAGCCAGGAGGACTTCTGAGCAGCGTTCTCCACTTCAGATGCCATGGGGAGCGTAGGAGCAATAAGGATATGGACTCCCTGCTGATGTAGAGGGTGGCATTTTCTGCTGTGGGATGTGACACAGCTCTGCATGGAGGGGTTTGGAGGGTGTTGATTTAATGACAGAGCATTCTAGAGGTCTTGCTACAAAGGCTGTGGTTACATTACATGAGACTGGAAAGGGTGGGTTCAGCCTCTGGTGGAAAGGGAGCCAAGGCTTTAAATGCATCCATGTGAGTAATCCTGGCTTCCAAGGCAAGAGATGATTTGAAAAATAAGCTCACAGCCCGAAGGTGTCTTGTGCAAAACTTTCCTTGTTTCTTCCTTTTGTTGCTCTGAAGAGGGAGAAGAAAGTGGTGGGAAAGCAGTGATGAGTTATTAACTATAATTATCTAATTGTTGCACTGTATTTCTGCTGGAGCAATTGTGCAACAGATTGTGAACCATATTTTTAGATCTTACATTTTTCTTGAAGTCAGATTGCAAAACAACTTCCAAACCTCTGAAGTAAAAGGAATTTGTTGATTGGGAAAAAAAAAAAAATCTCCATCTGAGTGGGAAGGACCTTTAAGATATCTGCTGTTCTTTATTCCTTACATTTAATCTGTAGTTTTTGGTAAATTTTAAATCAGCACTGCTGGGTTTGTGCACCTTAAACCGACATTTTATTCCTGGTGGGTGAGATAAATTGGGCATTGTGATGGGGTTTTATTAATGAGGAAGAGCAGCTCAGAGAGGTGGCTTTGGTGGTGTTGGTTATGAGGGGAAACTACAGCTGAGATGAGCTTGGAGTCAGAAAGGAAGAACTCTGTGTGGGATTTCTGCTGAGTTGTGCAGGGCCTGGCTGCAGAAGAACATTCCTCATGGAGATAAAAGCGGGTTTCCCTCTTTTCCATACTGGAAAAGAGGCTGTTCTTCCTTTCCTGGCTTATCCTCAGTGGGAGGAGCAGTGGGGAAAAAGTGGGGTTGAAAGAGCTGTTCTGCCTCTGCTGGAGTGGGGGTGCTTTCCTGGTGGTTTCAGGTCTAGTGAGGCTCCAGCAAGGTCAGATGTTCCTCATGGATCTGGGCTTGATCCTCCTGGCAGAGCAGACCCTCGGGGGATTGAGAATTTTTTCATTAGAGAACCTGGGATGAGGTCCTGTCCCAGAATGGGGGATACTGAACTGGTTTTCCTTGGTTATTTAGCCGTGGGGAAGCTCAGTTGTTGGTGGGACCTCAGGGAGATACTTTGATGGCCCTCCATGAAGTGACTGAACCAGGCAGAGGCTCTGCCAGGAAGGAGCTCAGAATTCCCCGTGACCCACCCAGCAATCCTATGATCCAGAGCGTGGATTCTTTGCATGTCTGCCTTGGGAAGGGTGGGGAAGGAACTCCTGTGAGAGCCACTGATGTTGGTGTTCCACAGTTCTGTGGCTCAGAAAGCCCAAGGAAATCCCTTATCCAACGGAGGGATTATGAAGAAGTGACTCTTATCACAAGCCAAGTCCTCTATCACACCCAATTCCTTCTTCCACTGCTGAAATATGGAGGCAGAAATGCTTAATTTTTTAATGTTTTCCCTTGGAGTGAAGGATCCCTGATGTTCAAGTTAACTGGGTGCTGATGGGTCTCTGTCCCTGGTGTCCTCCAAGGAGAAATCCAGGAATGTGGGTCATGGAGCAAACGCTCCCTGAGCTGAGTTGGAACTCCCTGGCATCACAGCTTCCAGCCTGTATTCTCCTTGCCCAGGAGATGGTTATAATTGCTTATTTTCTAAGCTGAATCCCTAGGAAAACATGCAAGCAAACTGCTTTGGAGTCTGGATTGAGCAGTTGGAGCACCATTTCCCTTGGCTGGATGGATAAGGCACAGGGATTGGGGAAGGACTTATTTTCAGTGCATTGAACTGATCTGCTAAAGCTGTTTTAACAGGCAGAGAGCAGAGAGGGTGTGGGGGAAAAGGCTCTCTGCAAGCAGAGAGTGGTTTGTGTGCCCTGTGTTGCTCTAGAAATCCTTGCTCTGATGTTGTGGTGTCCTGGCAGTGACTCCTGTGGAGGAGCTGAACTTGGGAAAACCCAGGTGGTCTTCCAGAAATGGGTATTGTGGGATCATGTGGGATAACAAACTGTTTGAGAAGAGTCAGATTGGAGGGGTAAATTCAACATCTAACATATCACTGATGCTCATGTGAGAGGTGTTACCAGTGTGTCTCTCAACAGAGGTAATGCAGAGCCTGGTTTGTGTGTTTTAAGGGTTTTTCCAGAGGTCTGTGTGTCTCCAGAAAAGTCATGCTGCTTCTGATTTAGCTGTGGAATGGATTTCCAATAGAGATGCTTCAGTTCCTGTGTATTCCTCACGTTATTGCCTCCTTTTAAAGGGCAAAACAGGAAATTAAACAGTTTGATTCTTTAAAACGAATATTTTCCTTTAGAGGAATGATTGCAAGCTTTGGAGTCTTGTAAACAAGAGCCTCTTCTCCAGAATTTACAAGCTTCACCTCTCAAGTGTTCCTGGGAGCTCAGGGAACTGCATAATTTTCTTTTAAGGGCCTCTCCACCCTGGTTGGGTTTTTCCCAGATTATTCTGGAGAACTGAAGCTCTCGCAGGTGCTGTTGTGTGAAAAGAAAGTCTCAGGCTCAAGCCCTGCATTAGGAATTTGGATCCTGAAGGAGAAAGAGATGGATTGTTCCAGTGCCTGCAGGGTGTTCACAGGGAGATGTCTCCTTTATAGAATCATTAAGGTTGGGAAAGATCTGTAAGATCATCAAGTCCAACCGGCACCACCGTGTTCACCACTAAACCGTGTCCCCAGGTGCCACATCCATCACCTGCCAAGTGTTCTTTGAGTTGAGAGAACCAATTAATGTTCTTTTTAGGGCCCCTCCACCCTGTTTGGGCAGGAGAGCTGAAGCTCTTGCAGGTGCTCTGTGATGGAATGTAGTTCCCAACACACACTGACCGGTGGGAAATACTTCTTCCCGGAGGGATGAACTTCCAGAAGGGGGTGAATCTTCCTGGGAACCCAGCAAAAAGTGGATTTTTCCCAGTCCAAAACCTCCCCCAGCTCGTGGGTGAACCAAGGCTGTGCCAAGCTGTGGGTGAGCTGGCTGGGCACAGCTTCATCCCTCACTTCCAAAGGCTCGTGCCTGGAGCTGCTCCGTGGAGGAAGATTTATTTGCAGGGGAGCGAGAACAAGGAGTGTCATTGTTGTTCTGTGTGGGGACAGGAAAAACCTGGCTGGCTGATTACCTCTGCTGGGCACTCTTTCTTACTGCAAGGGATAATTTGTTTCTGAATTAACTTCCTTTCTTGCCCCGTTGAAAGAGGGTTTCTGTTTCTCTTGGGTCTCCATAGCCCGACCCTTTGTGTGATTTGGTTGAGAAATGTGTTATTACTCTGATAAAATCTTGGGTGTGGGGCAGAGCTGGGGCACGTGGGACTCGGTGGATTTGGGATTTTGGGGGAGTGTTGCCAGTTCTCACCATCCCAGAGCCACGCTCAGCCGGATGCAGAGAGGAGGAGAGCAAAGCAGAACTGGTGCTATCATTTAAATGCTCTTTTTATGAGCTCAATTATTGGAGGATCAAGATAAAAGTTGCTGAGAACTCAACCTGGCATCTCCTTAAATCACAGCCCAGCATTTCCTTGTGTGACTAATCCTGGGTGAAAATAGATTTTTTTTCTTTTTTTTTTTTCAGCTTTCTGGGCAAACTGAAGGAGAATCAAATGTAGCTCAACTCAAAGCCAAAAGGAACCTGGAGGCTTTGGCCAAACCAGGCTTGATTTAGAATCAACTGAAAATGTCTTACTTTTTTGGGGAGATTTGTCTACTCACCCTTCAACTTTCCTCTTGGCCTGAGCTATGCTGAGTTTTCTCCATGTGAACCAAATGACTTTTTTTTTTTTTTCCTTTTTGTCCTTTACAAATATTTGCTCAAGTCTAGTAGGTGCTGCACTTTTGGTTTGTGTTATATTTGCACCTGGATTCTGGAATCAAAAGTGGCAGCTGTAAGTGCCACACCAAGGAATAGGATTGGAGTCAGCTAAAAAATGGTTTAAATTTGAAGAAAAGTTTGAGAGTGATGCGGTAGTGACTTGGCCTTGCACTGAAAGTGCTGAGATGCACCACTTTTTTCCCCAAATAAGTAGATATAACAGGGAGCCCAGACCCAGTGCAGATGAGCTTGTATTCTGCACAAAGGCAGAAAGGCTCAGGGACATCCCACCTTCTCTGTGGCACCTGCTTAAAACTGGTTTTGATGTGGTTTGCCCTCACTAAATCACCTCCAGCCGGATTTGTAAAGGTATTATTGACCTAAATTTGTGTGTACACTGACCCTTCTAGGCTGGAAATTCTTCAGTGGCCCAAACTCAGCTTTACTGGTGTGGTGCTGGGATTTGGGTGCAGTGTCAAAAGAACTCTTCACAGAGAGGTTGGGACAAACTCTCCCAGGTGGGAGAAGCCTCAAACTCCAGCACTGTGGAGAAAAAATGTTTCAGATAAAAATGGTTAATTAGCAGTGGCAGTGTTTTCCTTGGTGTCTCGTAAATGTGCTCAGCGTTGCTAAATCCTCCAGAGCTGCTGCTCCCACACTTTGCCAGTCCCTCGAGTGGAGGGAACTCCAGGTTTTGGTGTGGCTGCCAGGAGGATTCAGCTCTATTTGAAAGCCATTCAGTAACAAAGAACAGCCTTTTGGTCAAGTTTTCCCCTCCAAACTCAAGAAGCTCTTGAGCTGAAGGGGTCTGTAACCCTGTAGAGCGGCACTGCTCGGCAAGGTTCTTGTCTCTGGAAATCACAGCGCTGGAGACGAGTTCCTGGAGCTGAACCATAACCCTGTCACTTCAGGGAGAAAGTTTAACTACAGGAGAACACGTGACTTGCTTAATTATTGCACTTTGTAATAGGTTTTTCCAAATAACTTCGTAGTTCAGAAGTTTTTTGCGAGGTCAGGTCCTGCCTGGTGGACATGGAAGGGAAGGGATGATGTCTAGGAAGTGTTAGCACAGCTCTGTGAGCTCTGTGATCCCTGATTTGGCCATCTCTGGGGTAGAACTGATGTTCAAAATGCCCAGAAAAACCTTCCTTCTCAAAACAAATCCGTGAGTTCAACAGCTGAGGTTTGAGAATGCTGAGAGGAGAACTCAAAATAAGGGTCGTCTTTGCTGATGGTGCATTAGCCTGTTCACTAGTGGTGACCAGGTGGGTGAAGGTGGGAGAACTGAAGGTGTTGGACCCACTTGAAGGTTCTCCAGTTGGTCTGAATCCCGGAGTTTGTGTCTTCCCCCTGGGCTTGTTGAACTGGAACACGAGGAGAATTGTCTGCCTTCCAGCCACGGCTGGATTGCAACCAAGGGCTTGGATTTGGTTGTGAAAACAAGTGTTGTCTGTGTTCCTTTGGATCCCCTGGGAGGAAGGACAGGGATTGTTGCAGATCCAGTCTCTTGGTTGAGTCCAGCAGGGAACTTGCACTCTGTTTTCAATTACTTTAGAAGGTATTTATTCCTCACCTTTGGACCTGCCTGGAGATTTGTCTCTTCCAGAGCTGATTTGAGTAGAAAAAGGACACAAGGGGCTGTGGTGGAGGAAATAAATGAAACAGTGTCATCTTTCTCGTGACCTGTATTGTTGTAATTAAGCTGTTTGGTTGCTCTCAGACGAGTCCCTTTGTCAGATTAATTTATATGAGCAGGCTGCTTCCAATCTGCGATCAGGAAGTCAAACTCAGTCAGAAAATACTCCGTGGTGTGATTATTTTTGAGTGCAAATTATGAAGAAGCTGATAGCAAATACAGTGTTCTCCTGACCGGTGTCTTCAGGAGCTGGTTGTGGAACAGCCTTCAGGGTGCAATGGCTGTGGGAATGCATGTTAAAAAGGCATGAAGTGGGCTGGAATTACGGATGAGAAGTTGAAGGAGAAGTAAATCCTATCATAGGACCACAATAGGTGCTTTCTGGATCAATAAAAGGGAGCAAGAAGTTGAAATAACTTTGAACTGGAGGGGGAAAAAAGGAGGGGGGGGGGGTAAAAAATCACTGTGAGGTAGGAAAACACTTCCATATCTTTTCCAGGGTCAGGAGGCAAACCCTGTTTCACCAGTGCTTTTGAGGAGGGTTGAGAGAGGAGTAGGTGGCTTTAAAGGCAGCAGGAGAACTGCAGTCCAGGCTGGAATTATCCACCTCCTGCAACTGCACCAAGCCCCACAGCTTCCCAGCAGGAAAAATGACAATTAACCAAATCCCAGCTCTGTTTAAACATCCCAGGGTGGAGACAGACCTGGTTTTCCATGGCCTCCAGAGATGATCCCTGTGTTTAGTTCAAACAACTTGTTGCTAATCTTTGTTTGGGGGAGTCCAAACAGCCACCCCATCCCCAGCTGGGCTGGATTGCAGCCATGGATTTCCCTGGGAGCAGGAATCCTGCCTGCTGTGACCTCTGTGGATCGTGAGCAAGGAGGGTCAGCTTGGTTTGTGTAACACATGTGCACCAGAAAGGGGGAAAAAAAAAAATAACAGCTGGGAGCAAATGGGGAAAGCCATTACAACAGAGATCTGCCTGAGGCAAAAGTGGAAATATATTGGTTTGGCACCTTGCCTTGATGTTTCCAGAAGCACTTTGGGGAGTCAGGTGAAATGAAGTGTGATCTGCTTTCCAGTAATGTTTTTTCATAAGAGGCTTTTCTTGCAGAAGCTTCTGTAGCTCTGCAAATACTACGTGTGTTGTGCTCTGTCGTTTGGTGTCTTGGCTGTTAAAAAGCAGGTGGAGAAAGAAGGAGAAAGAATAAACCCTTCAGATTGTGAAGGTTATTTCCCCTAAAAACACGGATGTCAAATTCTAAGGGGGAAAAAAAAACACGGCAGAATGGGGTAATAGTAACTTAAAACCACTCTTTAAGACTGCAGAAGGGGTTCTTTTTACAACCAACAGCACCTTGTGTTTCTCGGAGTTGAAATGTGTGTTTGTAAACCTGCTGCACCGGGAGAGAACAGCCCTTGGGTTGTGGTGCCCACGTCTTAACAACTCCCCTCTTCCCCCACAGTTGCACTATAAAGTCCCTTCAGCGACGTCACGTTTGCATCAGCCGCCTGGAGAGGCCTCAGAACTGGGGGGAAAACTCCTGTGAAGTGAGATTTGTGATCCTGGTCCTGGCTCCTCCCAAGATGGTGAGTGTCGTGTCCAAACCCGAGGTGGTTTCCCCTTGGTCTCCTCCCAGGGTTAGTAACTACTGCTTCTGAGACAGGAGGGGATGTGAAAAGGCCTGAGACCTTCTCAGCAGTTGCCAAGATGATTTGTACTCTCCTGAGGGGTGGATTTGTCAGCTGTGTCCTCGTCTCCTGGCCTGGTAGCCTGATGGGGAGGAGAACACAGGGCCAGTGTATCTGCAGTCCCCTTACACACCTGTGGGGCCTCTGTCACTCCCAGCTTCCCCCCTCCAGCTTTACCACTTCAGCTGCTGTTTTTAGAGCTGAGAAATGCTGCTCCTGGTTATCCCTGCTGGTGAAAGGTTCTTGTGATTCTCCAGCTGGTGCTCCACTGGGGTCATTTCCCAACAAACTCCCTTGGTGGGGCTCCCAGTTACCCCTATCCAGCAGCTGTGGGTAGTGTAGCCAAGAGGAGGATGATGGTTTTTGGGCTCTATTGCTGGAGGAGTGAGACTGTTTGGATGCTGGGGTGCTTGTGAGGTGTCCTTTGGGATCTGTTCTCAAAGTTTTTGGCACTTGAAACATCAAGGCTGAAGCTTGCTCAGGTGTCCTTGCCAGTTCTTTGGTGTAGACAAGGCCAACAAACAGCTCAGTGAACACATTTACTCCACTCGTGGAATATCCTGAGTTGGAAGGCACCCACAAGGGTCATGCAGCTCCAACATCATGAAGGTTAATTGGGGATCACCATCCTGTCTTCCTAGAAAGCACTGGCTTGACCAAGATGGGGTGATGTTCTTACAGCTGATGGCCAAACGGTTCAAAGCTCAAGACCTTTTCACACTTCATCTGGCTCTTTGCACCTTGGGCCTACTGAGTCTGTGCTTCTGGGAGGTGCTGGAGACCTTTTCTGGGACAGGATATATCCTGATTTAACTTCCTGCTCTCCAATGCTATCAGTGTGACCTTGGGACCTGCTGGTCTGGCCCGTCTGTCTCCTCCCGCCCCTGTTTAAATGGAAATACTGGTGTTTCCTCCTTCCCCAGGATTTCTGGCCCGTCCTTCCCCACCTCAATGCTTTTTTGGCATTAGAGCTCGAAGCCAACAGGCTGAAAACCTATTGCTGTCGCTTGGGAAAAGCGGGAGGCGAACAGCTGGGCCCGTGTGGGGATTTGGGGACTGCAGGGATCTGTCCCTCATTGTGTGGCCTCGTTATCTCCGTGCAGAGCTCCCGGCGAGCGGCTCCGCATCCGCTCCGAGCCCGAACCGCTGCAGTTCCGATGGGCAGCCTCAAACTGAGGAAAGGGGAGCAGAGGCCAAGCGGGGCTGCAGCTGCCAACAGGCTTTTTATTTGAGCTGGGGCGACGCAGCCGGCTCCAAGTGCGCATTTCTGGTGCAGCAGTTAAAATAATTAACCTGCTGACAGCGACGGATTACACGGGGAGGGGGGAAACAAGCCCAGAAAATGGGAGTCTGTTGTGCTGACAGTCCAGATCCATCCTTGGCCTTTTTAATATGGAGGATGGAAAAAGTTTGAGTTTTCTTGCAGATAATCTGTGCTCTTCCTTCTAAATGGTTCAACCATCTCCCTGGGAAAGCAAAGAACAGGGACAGCACTGGGAATCTTGAAGCAATCCTTGCAGCCCAAGGATCGCTGCTGCTTGGAGGTGAAAGGTGGAGCCTCCCCTGTGATGGCAAATCACAGGGTTGGTTCAGTCTGAAAGGACCAGGCTGGCAAACTCTAAAAGCGAATCCCAGAGCAAATTCTTCACTTAAATCCAAACCTTTCCCTAGAAACTGAAATGGAACATGTTCTGCCAAGTGTGTCTGAAGGGACTTTGCTGGTGATGGAGGGGATGGCAGTGGAATCCTAGGAATGGTTTGGGTTGGAAGGGAAATTAAAGATCACCTCATTCCACCCCCTGCCACGGGCAGGGACACCTTCTACTAGCCTAGGTTGCTCCAAGGCCTGTCTAACCTGGCCTTGGACACTTCCAGGGATGGGGCAGCCACAGCTTCTCTGGGCAAATGGAGGAGCGGGTGACGTGAGTGATGGAAGAAGCACAAAGCAAGTGATGATTTCAGGACCAGCTTGGTGCCACCCACGTGTCTGTGCCCCTGCATCGAGCCACACTGAATTATTTGGTTGTGTTCACGGCGGAACCCGTTCATCTGTTGTGTTCTGAATCACGAGGAGCAGTTCAGATCCATCACATATGCTCCCTGCTGCTCCTCCCAGCAGTGTGAGGAGCTTGGAGGCTGCCCAAAGGAGGGGGTTTGTTTGGGTGTCTTCAGGAGCTGCTGCATGATGAGTGTGGAGAGGAGCAAAGGTGGGCGGGTTAAAACTGTGCTTCAAAAGGAGCCTTTTTAATGAGCTCTGGTTCTGTGTAACTTTGCCTTGGTAGGTGTCTTATCTGGCCTGACTGCAGAGGTGTGAGCAGATCAGGGTTTGTAGAGTGGGGATTTGTGCAGGGATGGGGAGCTCAGTGTCCTCTGCTGTTCCCTTTGTATCCAATATCCACGGTGCTTGAAGCAATAGGAAAGCAGGCTTGGATTCTGTTTGAAGCTGTACCCTCAGAGATCAGGCCTGTGGCTCACAGCAATGTTCAAGCCCACAAATAAGACCCTTTTTCCTCAAGTGTTTGAAAATTTCCTCTCCTTTCCAAATACTTAGTGAAGATGGACAAGTGCTGCTTATGTGTGTGTCTCATCTGCTTCTTTCCCATCCTTCCCTCTGTGCCAGTTCTTGCTTTTAGCTGTGAGCTCTAAATTTCCACTTGTGCTGCCAGAATTACCCCAGAGTGACCAACTGAGCTGAGTTTTAATGCCCAGGAAATAGGGATCTGATGAAGCAGGCGAGCACAATAATCCCAGTCTTTTCAGATAAGACATCAGGACACTTCTACGTGCTGGAACCTTGACTTACAGCACCTCTCCACCCCAGCAGCAGTAATGCTGAGGTGCTGTGAGATAGCTAAGACTTTGATTTGTCTGTTCTTAGCAGCCCTGAAGAGAAAACCAGGGATAAAGTGCATGCTCAGCATGATTCAGCCTTGGATTGAGTCCTGGGGAATTGATGAAGTAAAGTGATCGGTGCTTCTGGTCAGGACCTGTATGGTGGTGCTTCACAAGGTCCTGCTGTGCTTGGTGATTTCATCTGCAGCACCTTCCTCACCTTCTCCTTCAGGTGTCTCTGGGATCCTGGAAGCCAGGCAGCTTCCTCTTCAGATGGAGCTCAGTGGGTTTAACTTTCCAGAAGTGAAAGAAAAGAAATCGTTTAATTGTTTTAGAAGTGCTTTTTCTGTCTCTTACTTTTTTTTGGTTTTTTTTTTTTTTCCCCTTGCTCAGAAAAGCACCAAAACCGCCACAGAAGTGGGCAGGACCTTTGCCACCATGTTCTCTGACATCACCTTTCGGCAGAAGCTCCTGGAGACCAAAACCGAGGAGGAGTTCAAGGAGGCCTTGGTCCACCAGCGGCACCTGCTGACGGTGGTGAACCAGAGACCCTCGGGGAGGAGCGATGGGCACAAACCACACGGGCATAAACCACTCAAGGTAAGGGCTGGCCACGCCACCTCTGCTTCCCTTGTGTCCACCTGCTTGAATCCCAGGGGATTTGGCGTGAGGGGATGGAGCACTTGAGCCCAGTGGAGGCAAGAAGCTCTCCCAGCACTGAGGCTTCCACAGACGGCTGCTGTGTGTCCACCCACCTTCCTCACTCCTGCTGTAAATCCAAAAAAACCCCAAAAACAAGACCCCACTTCAAAGAGGCAGGTGCTGAAGGGGTGCAGAGCAGTAGGGGGTGAAATGGTTACAGGTCTGTGATTCCAGATGCTTAATCAAGGGTGGGATTAATGGATCGCTGCGTGTTGTCGGTCCAAGGTGCTTAATCCTTACAATCAGAAGGCTCCTAAGGAAGCTGCTGCTTGTCTTTCCCGCAGCCAAAAGGCTTCTTGGCCATCTCTGCACGGTAATTTCACTTAAAAAGTTGCCTGTCAGTATTTGGCCTGGCTTCTCCCCTGTTTGATGTGCAGCTCTGTAAAGCATTACTCGCTCTGTGCTTTAAAGTTTCGGGGGAAATGCTGTAACTCGGCTTTCTTTTCTGGAATTTCCTGTGTGTTGGCCATTGCTTTGTTTTTTCCCCTTCAGAAATCCATTCTTTAGGCAGACAGCATACCTGAAAAACAAACTGGACCATCTCCAGCATGCTGCTGCTGTCCCTGAGTTACAAATAACCTGAAAGCTTTGGCTTGCCTACAGTGCAGGAGCTGCTTAACTTATCACTTCTCCCTTTTTTTTTTTTTCCTGGGACAGATTTAAGGGTTTGATCTGCACATCTGGAAGTGAGCAATGCTCATGTTTTCCCTCTGGAATCCCCTTGCTTTTTAGTTAGTGCTTTGAACTTTGCTAGATCCCATACCTGCCCTTAGGTTTGCAGAACAAGCCCTCTTTAAACCCAGGCCATGCAGGGCAGGGATATTTGGAGCAGTAATTTGGGTAAGGTAGATTTAACCCTTTATCCTTGGCCTTACAGAGTTTTTATTAGAGTAGCTGAAGCGTCTGGCTCTGTCTTCTCCTAAAACTGGCTGGTTTTAAGGTGTCTAGGGGGGTTTTCTGCTCTAGTGTGGTGAGCAGGAGGGCTGGATGCAACACTGAGCTTGTGTTGGCCCTGGCACTGGTGATTCCTACCAGCCTTGTTGGAAAAGCAGCCTTGACCAGGCAGGGCTTTGATGCCTCTGAGCCAGAGCTGTAGATAGACAATGATACTCGTCTGGATTTGGTAAACTGCTGTTTTTCAAACCCTTTTATCCATCAGCCCTTAGGGAGAGCTGGGCTGGAGGTGTCTTCTCCTGAGAGCCACCTCCAGCGTCATCCCCTCCCCCTGTGCAGGGATGGAAGCATTTAGTATGAGCACAACCTCATATGAGACCAGGGCTGTAATTTCAACCTGTGAGCCACCCCTCGGTGAAATAAATACCCTAGAGCTGCTGGGTTCTCACAGTGAGCTCTCAGCAGGGTGGAAAGTCTCTTGGTGACACGAAAACCTCCCTCCTGCCTCCCTTCATCCCTTGGTCCTGCACTGACTGAGGGAGAAAAGGGCCTTAAATTCTGGGTGTGAGTGGGATTCTTTTGCCAGGGCTTGTTTTCTACCTCTGCTAAAAACACTGAGGGGGATGTGCCAGTCACATTCCATGCTGTGCCTACGGCACTGTCACTCTGCTTTGGCTCATCTCAGAGGATTATTTAGGCAAGGCTATGTACTCAATCATAATTAAGTCAGCCTGAAATCCTCTTGTTTACTGAGGCATCTAATTGTGATTTTGCTCATGGAGGAGCCCTGAACAGCTGGGATGTTTCCTGGCTGTGATTTTGTGTCCTGGGTGGATTTGCTGAGGGGTGGGGGGGGCTGTGCTTGCTCAGCATCAGCAGGAGGGAGGATGTAGTGTGAGTCTCTGGTCTGTAACAAAAAAACCACCTCATTCAGCTCTCCAGTACCTCTGTGGAGGGCTGAGAAAGGGTCAGAGTTGTTGGGGCAGATATTTTCTGTTTGGCTCTCTAGCTGCTGTTAAGTGCTGGCTCAGCCTCTCCCAGTAACCCAAGTAGTGGTTACTTATGGCAAGAGATTGAAGAAGGATTTCTGGAATGGAAAGTGGATAATTCATGACCTTCTAGTTGTTTTGGGGGGGTTTGTGTGCTCCTTTGCTGCTCTTTCTTGCTTTGTGTATGAAGAGCACTGGGTGGATTTACAAAGAGGAGAACAAGGAGCTTGAGGGAGGATTTGGTGCTCCTGAGCTGCAGTTCCTAAAGCTAATAAGCCTTGAGCTGTGTGTTCCTGAGGGACAAAGCTCTGGCCACCTGGGGTCAGAATGTTAAATCAAAAGTGGTTAAATCTCAGTCACATTGAGAGATGTGATATCATGAAGGGGAGTGGGAAGCCAATGGGCCAACCAAACTTAACACTCCGAGGGAGAAAGGAGCAGGGAATGGCAGTCCAAGAAATTCCCAGCACTTGGGGTGTATGAGGGAGATTAAAAAGGACAAGAGTGGAGTGTCAGCACTGTCCTTACAGAGGTTTTGGGGAACCTCAGAAGATGGCAGGAGGCAAAAGCCAGACTGAAGGGTGCCTGGGGTAGAGGTGGGCAGGGAAGGTGTGTGTGGTGGGATGGGTTTGGGAGGTAAAAGCAAAATCAAGAAGGGTTGTAACTTCAGAGGTCGGTAAAACTTGGTCTTTTATATTTTATATTATTTTATCTCTTATAACCTGGTGTTTTAGCAGCCTTCCAGTGCCTAAAGGGGACTGCAGGAAGGCTGGAGAGGGACTTTTGCAGGGACATGGAGTGACAGGGCAAGAGGGAAGGGGGTTAGGCTGAAGGAGGGTAAATTTACATTGGATATTGGGAGGAAATTCTTCCCTATGAGGGTGGTGAGGCCCTGGGACGGCTTGCCCAGAGAAGCTGTGGCTGCCCCATCCCTGGAAGTGCCACTCACAGCTCCCCACAAGCAGCCTTTGTGCCCAGCTGCCCCTTCCCTCCCTGTGCCTCTGCCCCGGAAGATGAGACACCCTGAGCATCATTTTCCCTGTGCTCACCACAGCATGATAAGTAAACATCCTTGTCATTAAAGCCATTGTGATTCTCTGGCTGACTCATGCCTTCAGGAATCTCTTTCTGGGAGGGGAGGAGGGGGGCAAATTAAATTGGTTTTTGGAGTGCATATGGCTTTGATGTCCAGCCCCACCACTGAATGTGGCTTCTTCAGAAATCCTTAAAATGCAGATGGTTTGCTGGTGTCTGCCAGCGTAACATCTGTCTTTCCATCCTCACTGTTCAGGTTAGGCTTTAAACTGTTCCAAAATTCCACAGGGGTGTTGTCAAATTGCAGCAGAGTTAGGTATGAAATACGAGAGAACATATCCTGATAAATGAGCTGGTCCTCCGAGGTGTCTTTTAACACCCCAAACCCTCGAGTTTGTTGTGCCCAGTGCACTCCTTCCAAAAGGAAAAGTTTCCTTTCTGTGTTTTATTATCTGATCTTCCAGGTGCTGCACACAGGTGAGTCCCAGCAGAGAAGGCCAAGCTGTGTGTCATCTGTTAAACGAGCACTGTAGTGTCAAGTCCTTTCTACAGCAGTAATTTTTATCAGTTTCCACATAAACCAAACCAAAGCAAGAGCTCCCTGCTGCTTTGAGATGATCTCTCAGTGTAAATTTTGGATCTGTGATTTTTATTTCCACCCTCTAGCAGAGGTTATAAGTCTTTTGTGTCTAATTCTGCAACGAATACATGAAATGTTTTAAATGAGACAGCTGGGGTTGTTATCACTCTGGAAAGGTGCATTTGATTTTTCAGAGTAGTGTGTGTGTGCTCTGAGAATAACAGGGGGAAATCTGACAGGTGCCTCATTTGCAAGTGTTGCCTACTCTGACTCTTTCCATGTGCTTTCCATAAGGATGGGGTTGGGAGGATTGGGAGGCTGAGAGTCAATAGCAGCTGTCACCTATTCCTGACGGGCTCCTTTATTGCCTGTGGTGAGCATCAGATCACTTCAGCAATCACTCTGCGCCTTGCAGGCCCCCAGACCAGAAATGAAAGGGAAATATGCTGGATATTTGGAACCCTCCTACAACGTTCTTACTGCTTTTTAATGGGAAAAAAATTATGGGTTGGATTTATGTGCAGTTATTCAAGCTTGTTCCCTTTCGGTTGTGGAGTTGGAGGTGCAGAAAGCCTCAATGCCCTTACTACATCTTCTCTGATGCTCTCCTTTTCCCATGGAAACTCCAATGGATGGAGCACTTGCTGGGGATCCCCCTTCATGTGGATTTAGGGGAAGAGTTTTTTTTGGGCTGGAATCTAAAGAAAAGAGTTGGCATCTCTGATGTTTAACCCCAGGGTACCCAAGGTCCAGCCCTGTGCAGTGGGTCCTCAGCTCCCTCACCTGCGAAACCAGGGATGCAGATAGGAACGGGAGGGGAAAAAAGGGAAGGAAGGGAGGAAAACAGGGTGGTCTGGGGTGGGAGTGGAGGGCATATTTTTCTCATTTACAATGCTATTGAGGATATAAATCGAGACCAAACGAGTTTATTTTTATTACCACGACAAGGCGGGGAGTTGAATGCCCTATTGAAATCCAGCAGCTCTGCCCCTCTCCGGGCTGAATGAGGAGCTCGATCTCGTTAACAATGCGGGGAGCCTTTGCACTGACACAGCACTTCCTTCCTTTCTCTTCAGCTGCACGAGTTTCTCAATGTTGGCAAGGGGATTTCTGATGACATTGCACGAAGGTTTCCAGTGTACGCGTTGGACTTCACCGATGGTAACGTTGGCCAATGTTTATGAAAGCCTCGGGGCCTGCCTTGGGATTTCTTTTTTTTTGTCTTTTTTGGTGATGTGATGTCCTGTTTACAGTGTGCGTTGAGTGTGTGCTTTGATATGTGTAATAGCCCTCTCATTCCTTATTTAAATAAGAATATTCTGACAAAAGGCTGTGAATGGGCAGGGTGGTGCACTGGAGAAGAGAGGAGCTTGCAGTGTTGCCTTAATTAAGGCGCTGACGGGGTGTAAATGAGGATTTTAATTTTTATGAAGCAGCGAGGCCATTAAATGCATCGATTATTGCCGTGTGGAGGCTCAGACCAACTCACTGCAACCTAATTAGTCAGCACTGGCCTAATAAACCCTTCCTTCTGCCTTTGCAGTCCATCACCAACCGTATTTGTAGCGATGCTGTGGGAGTTGAAAATGCTCAAACAAAACTGTGAGCCCTGCAGTTACTTCACAGCTTGGTGTTGTGAAAAACAGGATATAGCTTGTCTGCTCTCACCAGATCCCTGCAGCAGCAACACAGTGTTTACACTGAGCCCCAGCTTTGGGGCTTTAGGCAGCTCCCACAGTGGCCCCGTGGGGTTTAAAAGTCGCTTTGTCCCATTTCTCTTTCAAACTTCCAGGGATCCTTGAAGGCTGGGAGAAGTCTTCAGGGCAAACCACGATTAGAGAGCCCCAGCCTGGCATCAAAACACCTTTCTTGGGCTTACTGGGGAGCTGGTTAGGGTATTCAAGTGTCAGACACAGAAAGTTTGCATAAATTAAAAAGTGGAGTGCAGGCAGGGAGAACCTTGGGGGTTTATCAGACACCTTCTGTGTCTGGGGAGTTGCTTCCCACAGAGATCCAGCTTTTCCAGCTGGGAATGCTTTCATTCCCCACAGTGTGTTGTGTGGTATCCACTCAGAGAATGACATGGGATGAGCTGCTGGCTTGGCACAGGGGCTGAGAGCTGGATGCTTTCTCCAGCTGCTTTGTCCCTGCTGGGATGAAACTCCTTCCAGGAGTTTTTGGGGGATAGGCAGGCTCCATTTGGAGTCAGGCTCCTGCTGATTTCTCTGAGGATTTGAGGTGTGTTGAGGACGAAGTGTGTGAAATCGGCTGTCAGCAGATTTGGAAACCCACTCGAGGGTCCGTGTTCTGGCTCAAAAGGCATCCAAATTTTAACCTGTGTATGCTGCCTCAGCCCTGGGGAGCCCAGCTCCACAAGCTTTCCATGAACTGATGCACAGAGTGGGTATAAAATTGGTATTCAATGTAACTTTTTATGTTAAAAAAGGGTCAGGGCATTGTTATGAAACTTCAGGGGGTGCAGAAAAGAGCTTAATTAAACTCCAGAACCACTTCAGCTCAAAGGGGAAGTTCTTGCCCCAGGAGCAGTTGTGCCCTTTCAAATAGGATATAGGGAAAGGGGGATTTAAAAAAACCCCAAACCTATATATTAGCATGTGCCATTTCTTCCCAGAAGCCAGAAATTAGGATGAATTCCTTAAGGAGCTGCTTGAAATGAAAACCAGGTGGAGTATAAAGCATCTGCCATAAAACCACCGAGACTGAAGGTGATCAGGAATGTGGAATTCCTGGACCATCTCAAGGCAGCAAAGTCTCAGAACATGAGGGATTTGAACTATCCAAGTGTATCTGCGCTCCAGACAGCCACATGTGCATCATCAAAGAGCTCTGCATTGCACAGATGCTGCTTTTTTGAGTGGTTGGAGTCTCTAAATCCTCAGCCTGGGAAGCATCCCGGGGTTTGGGTTAGACAGATAAACCCATTAAGGGCAGGGTGATAAATGGTGAGGCTGTTGTAGGACCAGCACACCTTTGGTCAGTTGGAGTTCTGTGGGATTGGTCTTCTTCCCACACTGCACAGATCTGGCCATTAAATTATCCTTAATCACCATGACCTGGGAAAGAAAGCAATAGTCTTTCTCTTCTTTTTCCTTTTTACTCCAGATTAGGAGCCTGTCAGCTTTGTTTTCTGGAGTCTTGTGCATCTTCCTGAATGTGCAGAGATCAAGGAAGGGGTTTTCTGAACCTTTGGTCCAGGATTTTAGTGCTGTAGCTGCTTGTAATAGATGTCTTCCAGCAGGAGCATGTGAAGATGAACAGTTGGATCATGCTGAGCCTAAAAACACCTGTAGTTTTCCTTTAAAGTGGAATTCACACCACTTGGCACATGTTCTCTTCTTAATGCCTTCTGCCCTTGCATACAGGATTCTGCTGTGTTAAAAATTAGTGTGATTGATCATCACTCATCCTGATCTTGTCAGAGAGGCTCAAAACACTCCAGTATTGGTTTTATTGCTCTTTACATCTCAGTCAAGCCACGGGAGCTTCCTGAAATTTCTTTATATTGAGGCTGGTTTGACTGAAGGAGGGAAACCTGCCTAAGCTCAGATACAAAAGTTGCTGTCTTTATTCTTCAATGTCTGTTTTTTGTGGTGCAACACAGAGGAATAAACATCAAGGTAGTGCCTGAAGTGCTCAGTGCGAAGTTTGAGGTGCCTGAGATGTTTCTGGTGAGCTTTGCCATGTTCTGCCTCCCTTGGGGGAGGGAGAGTGGAGGGAAAAGAGGAGAATTGAGGCTTATTCCCTTTCCCCCTCTTTTTCTGGCCCTGTGTCTTTGGTGGGTGGATAGTTCAGCTGGAGGGGTGGATTTCTCCCTGTCCTTGGTCCTGCAGAGGGTCCCTGACCAGCTCCTGAGAGTAAGGCAGAATCCTTGGAATTTGGGGTGAGTTGTTTGCAGGAGGGAGATCTTCAGCACTCCCTGTAATGCAGGTGTGCTCAGATGGAAGGCTCGAAGGCACTGGAAAAACAGGATTGGAAAGGGAACCCTTGTCTTGCTGGTTGTCTAACAGAACTCGGAGCTTAAACCTGCTGGAATGTTGCCTCTGGATTCGGATGTGCCAGATCTTGGACTCTCCCACCTTGGCTGCCCTGGCCACCTTGTCTTGCAGGATTCCATTCTTGAGGAAGGAGGAAAAAATAAAGGATTGCAGATCAACTTTTTGCCTTCTCTTCCGTGCCTCTCCTGCCCTGAGTTAGATAGGAGGGAGCTCCTGCAGCCCTTCATCCTCAAATATCACCCGGGGATGAAAGTTGAGCGTCCTGATTTCTTGGCTGCTTTGGGGCACTGTCACCTGGGTTGCTTGGAAGTCTCTCCCTGTCTCAGTGGTGACAGAAATGCATTGCAGGTGCACAAAGGCACCCTGTTTTGCCTCTGGGTTTTCCTTCCAGGAGACCAGGACTTGATGGGAAATGGGCTGAAAGGAGCGAGGGAGGAAGGGAAGGCTCTGAGCCCTTGATTTATTCCTTCCTCCTTCTCTACTCTGAGCACATGCTTGGCTTCTCCAGCATCAGTGAGAGTGGGTTTCCTTTTCCAGTGAAGTTCCTGGTCCCCCTTGTGCTGTGATTTACTCTTCATGGGACTTGAGGGAAGATTCATCTTCAGAACACTGAGCAGAGTCCAGGAACCATCAAATCAGTGAAAGCCCAGCTAGAGGGCATTAGGAGTTTGTAATTCTGGGGTTTTATGACTGAAGACCTATGAACAGATACTCTTATGGTGTTTTTAACATTAAAGTGTGATATTTTTTTTTTTAAATTAGGGCTTTATAGACGTGTCATTTCTGCTGGGCTGTGGGTCAGGGTAATTCAACTTGTTTTGCACAGGATATTTCAGAGAATTGGAAAGGAGCATTAACATAGACATGGACACTTCTTAGAATGTCCATCAGTCGAGACTTGGGTTTAGTAAATGTAAAATGAATAGACTTAAGGAGCTCTGAGCCCAGTCTTTGGGTCTCCATTTCCCAGGCAAAGCAAGGCCAGGAATGTTACAGTTTCAGAGAAAACTCTCCCCTTGTCTCTAAAAACTGTGACATTTCAGAAATCCAGGCAATTGAAGCAGAACTGTCACGTTGATGAATATAAAATATAATTGCTCCCCATTTCAATGTGTAGATACACCTTAATTTCAGGGGATTACTCCTGTAATAGTCAAACCTCACAGCTGCACCCAGAGCTGATTTTTCTGCTGTAAATGTTCACGGTGTGGTTGGAGTGACGCGTTTTCAGTGGCTTTATGAGCCTGTCACAGGTGAAATGCCACCATAAGGCAGCCCACCTTCTTCTGAGTGTGGAGTCAGACTGCAAATGCATCCTGAAAATGCTTTGCCAGATGTTGACTTCAAGAAGGCAAAAGGTAAATTGTGGTTAGGGCTGTGGATTATAGTGCTTGTGACAGGTGGATCTGTGAAAGGAGGCAGTGTTTGGGCAGGGCTTTAACTGAAGTTAGAGTGAGCAGTCATGGCTGTGGAAGGGGAGATTTTTGGGGGCAGTCAACTGGCTGTGGAAGGGTAAATGTAATCTGGTGTAGTTGTCTCCATTGCAAAGTGAATTTGGCTGCCCACCAGAAAGATTCTTTGCTCCTTGGATCTCATCTGGCTGATTATGGATTAAGGAAAGTAGTGGAAGTCTTGGACCCAAGCCAGGATGAATCACAGGATCATTGAGGTTGGTAAAGACCTCCCAGACCATCGAGTCCAACCTGTGTCCAATTCCCACCTTGTCCCCCAACCCAGAGCACTGAGTGCCACGTCCTGTCATTCCTGGGACAGCTCCAGGGCTGGGGACTCCACCACCTCCCTGGGCAGCCCCTGACCATCCTTTCCATGGAGAAATTCCTCCTGATCTCCTGATGTCCAACCTGAACCTCCCCTTGAGGCCCCATCCTTATGTGACATAAGGACCTCCATGACCAGCAAGGATTGAAACTGAAAAACCAAAAACCACGAATGAGTTTTGTTGATGCTCCTCAAGGCTTCTTCCTTCCTTCTGCCCTCTCATACTGTACTTTAACTACCCAAACCTTTTTTTAAAATATATATACTTGCTTCTCTGGTCCTGGTTGCTTGTCCTCTTAGGAAGGCAAAGCTTTAGGATTTCAAAGCTTCCAGGCATTGTTGCTTCTGACCTTTCAGGTTGGAAAAATTCCTTTGTCCAAACCCCAGTATTTTGGAGGGACACACAGTCCTCTGAACAAGGATGGGACCATCTCTACTTACAAAACCACCACTCAATCCCTGCCAAATCCTTCCCTGTCTCCAAAGGCCTCGGGCAGTTTGGAGTGCGAGGTAGGACCTGCAGCTGTTGGGCTCAGGATCACATGAGCAGTCCTCATCTCTGAGAATTACATTTCGGGCCTTTTGGTTGCCAGGAGTGGTCAGGAATGTTGGCCTGTGGTTTTCTGAATCTTCACAAGAAATTGAAAGGAATTTTCCCTGGGAACAGCTGACCCGATGACTCCTGGAAGGTCAAGCTCATATTTACGTGCTTGAGATGTCTCTTGTCAAGTTTCAACCTGAAGTTTAAGGATACTCGAAGGTCCTATTTACGTCTGTTCTTCTTGTGTCTGCAAACAGGAACCTCACAAGGTGTCCTTCATTTCTGTGGCTGCCTGTTCATTACTCACCACCTTTGATTTTTGGGTTTTGCGTCCTCCTTCTGTCCTTATCTCTGCTCTGCAAACGGTGCAGAAAACCAGATGTTAGATAAGATCCCAAAGTCATCGAGAGACCTTTTTTTGTTTTCATCCCATTGACAGAGATTTTCAGTGTTGCTTCAATAACCTCTAAGGCCAAGTCCTCCCTTCTCTGATCCAACTCCTTGGCTTTTACCTCGCTCAGCAAGGGGCTGATCCTGCAATAGCTTTGGTGGGAACTGAGGAGCCTGTGTGGGATTTCACTGCTCTGGACGCTTCCAGAAAGGGGGAAGAAAGGGGGAATTAGGCACCTCCAAGCTTGTCCAAGCATTTTGCAACAAGAGCACCATCAAGAGGGAGGTGGCACAGGCAGGCCACCTTGAAACAGGGCTGTTGCAAGGTTTTCTTGGAGAAGGCTCTCTCCAATGTATCTGTTCTGTGGGAATCCGTGTTCTCCTCGAGCTGTATCAGCCGTTGTCGCTCTCGCTGTCTCCTGTGTGAGATGAGCTCACAGGGGATGCAACATCAGCCAGAAAACAGGAAAGGGAAGCAGAGCTACTTCACAGGCCCTTAAATTCATATTCTGACACTTTAATTCTCTTTCTGGCTGCTTTTTGTTTTGGCCTGCTGTGTTTTTTCCGACGGAGATGAGAGGGGGGTGAGTGGATGGAAAAGAAGCCGTTCTGTCAGCAGGGCTCGTTAAAGCAAATCTGTGTCTCAATTCCTGCCCTCCTGTGCTGTTTCTTTCTGTAATCTGCTACCATTAATTGGCTCAGGGTAGGATATTATTGATTCAGACCTGTAACCTGGGGAAAAATACAACAAGTGCTTTGTGTTTTCCTGCCCAGGACATGATGAGTTGGGAAGATAAGTGATCATCATGAAGCTCATTTGGGACATAGTCTAGAGTACTTATAAAGTTGGTGTTAAAAAGGCAGAGATGGGGGTTTTTGAACCCTAAACTTACAGTTTCTGCCTTGATCCTCTTCCAAGCTTTTGGCACTGGTAAAACTGTGGGGAAAACTTCTTGTATTTCCCTTTTTTTGGCAGTGCCAAAAATGTCTGGTGGGCACGTTGATGCTTCTGGTCCCAGGTGAACAAAGGAGCATGGTTGTGCAAAATCAAAAGTTAACAACCTGCTTACGTGTTTAAAGTGTGGACTGAATTCCTGAAGAACCAGTGGCTCTCGTGGCTGGTGTGAGTGGGGTTTCAGTGCTTTTTGGGCAGCACTGACGTGGGGTTTGTTGTGTTCTGCACTAGGTGTTATTGGAAACAACAAAGCTATAGGAAAATACATCACCACTATGATCTTCCTGTATTTTGCCTGCCTCCTTCCATCCATTGCCTTCGGGTCACTCAACGATGAAAATACACGAGGAGCTATTGGTGAGTTGATCAGTTTTGTGCATCTCATTCCATGTGTTTGAACTGTGGACACACAAAGTTTTCGTAGTTTTTATTTACTGGAGGGAAAAAAAACCCAAACAACACAAAACCACGACTGAAGGGGTTTTTTTTCTAATTAATTCATGACTTCCTTAAAAGACCAGAAAAACTGAACACTGCTTTGGATAATATCATATGACTTGGACTGATATGGACAGATTATCCTACTGTATTTTAAATTGTGCTCATTTTAGAACTGTGTAATTAATCTGCACGTTTTTCCTGGTAGAAGTTGCTGTGCTTTTGATCTGAATTTGATTGCCAGTATCCAAACCACTGGTATAGAGCAAAAGCATCATCCTTTGTCCCAGCTGTGGCCCCGAAGCATTTCATGCTGCTGTCACAGCTCATAGGAGTCTGTGTCAAATCTTGTCCTGAAGGCCTCCACAAACAATGGTTATGTTTTGTAGCTGTTTAAAATACAATAAATATATTTAAATATATACATAAACACCCAAACACTAAAAAAAAATAAAGAAAGCAAAGCACACACTGTTTTGTACAAGGTCACCTATTTCAGCTGAATATCTGGAAGCCTGAATTGCTGGTACAAGTACAGAGGGTTATTTTGCTTTCACAGTGTCTTACCCCTCTGTAAACTCTACACCTTGTTCCTACTAATTACTGGTTGGCTTCTCTGCCCTGTGAGTGCTCCTTGAGCAGGGGGGTGTTGATTAAAATCCCTGTTTGTTGTTTATCTCCTTCCAGATGTGAGGAAGACAATTGTGGGGCAGTGCATTGGGGGGCTGCTCTACGCCCTCTTCTCGGGGCAACCTCTGGTTGTCCTCCTTACCACAGCTCCCTTGGCCCTCTACATCAATGGTGAGTCTGCCATGGGGTTGCTGGGATGGGGCTTTGTCTGCAGTCCTGGGGGAGCTTTAGCTGTGTTTGTTTGATAATTGACAGTAAAAGGAAAAGGTTCTTCCCCCAGAGGGTGGTTGGGCACTGAACGGGCTCCCCAGGGAAAAGGTGGTCATGGCACCAACCTGCCAGAGCTCAAGGAGGGTTTGGACAGTGCTCTGAGGGACAGGGTGGGATTCTTGGAGTGCCCTGGCCAGAGGCAAGACTGGATGGTTCTTGTAGGTCCTTTCCAACTCAGCTATTCTAGGATTCGGGTGTTGAGGGAGAGGGAAGGAATTTGATTCCAGTTTTGTCAAATCACTGAATATCCTGAGTTGGAAGAGACCCACGAGGACCATCAACACCAACTCCTGGTTTAGTTGAAGTTGTTTTCCAAAGAAATCCCTTTTGCATAGAAAAAACTTCATGAAAATGAGCATTTCTTCAGCTTCCACAAGGAAATCTGTTCCATTAATGGGTTTCTCATATGGCTGCTTTCAGCCAGCTTTGAGGGTAAGAGACTTTCCCTAGGAAAGATGCTTTAGGCAGTGGGAGAGGATGTTTTCCCAGGTGTTTCTCCCCATTCCTAGTGGGAAGGGGAGAGCAGTTTGGGTTGATCCAGTGTGTCCCTCTGGGAGTGCAGGAAGGGGGGTTTAATGGTGCCTGTGCACTGGGGCGAAGGCTTGGAATTGGTTCCTTGTGCCGTGGAGCAGATGGGAATCCCAGGGTGGCGATGACACAAGTTTAATCTGACACATGGATGCTTCCCTCCTGCAGTCATCCGAGGAATCTGTGATGACTACAACTTGGATTTCAGTGCTTTCTATGCCTGGATTGGACTGTGGAACAGCTTCTTCCTCGTGATGTACTCCCTCTTTAATTTCAGCCTCCTGATGAAGCTCTTTAAAAGGTAGCTATTTTTCAAAAGGGTCTTGTTTTGATCAGATTATTCAGCAAATGGAAAAATTATACATTTCCACAAGCTCCTTAATTACACACTCGCTGCAAAAATGTATTTTGTGAGATGAGGCAAGTACCATTTTGGCTTATTGTTCCAGCTTGAAAGAAGCTCTCAGAGATTCACTAGCATTTCTTTCCTAAGCTGGAGTTTAACTAAAATGGGCGTATTTTCATGTAAATGGGTGAATATGCTGATTTTTTTTTTTTTCCTTTGAACAGAGTCGAATGCAGCTGTATTAATTGCTGGTATTTTTTTCCACAGGTCAACAGAAGAAATAATTGCACTTTTTATATCCATCACGTTCGTGCTCGATGCCATCAAAGGCATCACGAAAGGTAAGTCCTGCGAGGCTGTTTTTCAGTGCAGATCTTTGCTTTGCCCCCACAGGGCTGCAAATGTGTGTGATGTTTGCTTGTTCTGTGCTCACTCAAAGTCTTCAGGGGGAGGAAAAAAAGAACATCAGCGGGGGAGACTGAAGCAGCCCTTTGTCAGCACTTCTACCTGGATGTGCAGAATTCCCATCAGCTCTGACTTTCGAGTTAGTTGAGACAGATTTGGTTTTTTAAACATTCACCAAATGGAGCAACCATGAAGTTATTGATGTGAAAGCCCATTTGAAATGCAGTGCATCTGTTTTTTTTTTTTTTCTTGGTGGATTATTCAAACTACATGGATGGGAGCTGAAAGATGGGTTGAGGTTTCCCGTTTTCAGGTGAACCGTGAGACCCTTCTTTAATGGCAGCAGAAGGACTGCAGTGCCTTCTTAGCAAGCTCCTGAAGCTGCTTTCCAGCCCCTTGGTCCCCATTTTTGGTTAAATTCTGAGTGTCCATGAAAAGCCTTGGGGTTTAACAAATTCCTCCCCCACCAGGATTGGCAGGAGGTGCTTGTGCAGGTGAACCATGTTAGCAGAGATACCAATGGCCAATATCCCATTCCTTGATTTTTTTTAATGACCTACTGTCCAACAACCTTAAGTTTGGGTCATCCTTTGAATCCTTCAGGATAAATCTAAGCAACACTCCTTGTTTTAAAGATTCTCAGGCTTGGTATCTCTCATGCAAGGAGAACACCTTTCAAGAGCGAGTTTGACGCTGCAAAGCAATTTGAAGTGAGAGACTTTTCTTGCTTCATTGGGAATCCTTAATTTGCCTTATGTGTGCTTTGATTGTGCAATCAGAGGGTGGTTTTTATTCTCTGCAGAACATCTGCATCTTTTAAATCTCCTACTTAGATAAAGCTGGGTGAGGGAGAAGTTGCTCTGGGATACTTGTCCAGAGCATCCACTGGTCTTGTCTGCCAGACTTCCAGGAATATGCAAGTAATACCTCAGTGTATTGCTGTGGGGACAGGAGAAGATGAAGGGGAGTGGCCTTAAACTCACAGAAGGCAGGTTTAGATTACATATTAGGGAAAAATTCTTTGAGGGTGCTGAGGCCCTGGCACAGGTTGCCCAAAGAAGCTGTGGCTGCCCCTGGATCCCTGGAAGTGTCCAAGGCCAGGTTGGAGCAACCTGGGCTAGTGGAAGGTGTCCCTGCCCATGGCAGGGGGTGGAACTGGATGGCCTTTAAGGTCTCCTCCAACCAAACTATTCTATGATTCTGTGTTGGTGTAATTAGTGAATTAGTTGAATTCTCCCTTGCACTCATGGAGGGCTGAGTTTATAGGAAGGATGGTAATGAAGTCAAACCAACACTCATTTGCCAGCTCCTGTTGACTTCAGGCATCTGGGAGCATTCAGAGCATCCACAGATGGGACCCCAGGCACAGAATTTATCCTTCACCCTCTTAGGGCTCACATTTAAGGATATGACACCAGTGCAACTCCCAGCTTGGTGTTTGGCTTTCTTCTTCCCCACCTGCTTTGTAGCAGGAGGTGATGGTTGCTGCTGCTGCCACTTCTTCCTCCCACTCAAACCTTAACTGCTCAAATCTGAGCAAAATAAAAAGTCCAATTGAAATGCAGTGCATCTAGGGATTTTTCCTAGATTTTGAGCTGTAAACCTTCTGTGATCTTTAAACTTAAATACAGATGTGCTCAGTGTGAGGCAACTGGTCTTCTTCCCCTCGTGACCCACTTGCCCTGCTGACCCCATCCACTTGTGGAGTGCCCAGGCTCTTTTTACATCTTTAAAAGATGGTACAAGAAATATTATTACTGCCTTTAAAATGGCTGAGCATGGGGCATTTTACCCTGGGCTGAGCTCCAACCCAAATCTGAGCAGTGCAGTAGGAAGGTGAAGCTGGGATCTTCTCCATGCTGTGAAAGATGTCACAACTATCCAGCTGAGACCACCTTTGGGGCTTCCTTAGCGCCAGGGGACATGCCACCTTTGCCCAGATGTTTTCCTCAGCCTACTCCCAGCCTTGGTTTTTTGGAAGGTGTCCTGGCACACGTGCAGGAAAGGAAGGGGATGGCTGTGATGCTGCACAGAGGAACCGAGCGCTGAGCGCTCGCCCCGTCCCGGTGACACTTGTTTTCGCTGCGTGGCCCGGCCACCAAAGCTGTGTTTGTTTGATCTTGACATCTGCACTCTGCAGGAAACAGTGGGGGGAGCCAGCTGAGGCAAACAAAGCCAGCTCATGTTGTTGGAGGGAGCGTGAGCACACGCCAGGCTGGAGGAGGGCTCGGGTCCAGCCAGGGCACCAGCGGCTCCGCTGCGCTCTCTGAATGTTGGCAGCGAGGTTTGCTGAGCTCTCCTACAAAAACAAACCAGAAATGCACAGCAATCCAATCCTTTGTAGCAAGTTTGTGGTGCAGGATGAAGGCCTTCGCTGGCCAGCTTGGCACGTTCCCATTGCTTTAATTAAAATACAAGAATAAAGCAAAGTCACAGAATTATAGAATTTCCTGAGCTGGAAGGGACCCATCAGGATCATTGAGTCCAACTGCTGGCCCTGCACAGGACACCTCAACAGTCCCACCATGTGCCTGAGAGTGTTGTCCAAACACTTGTGGAACTCTGACAGGTTTGGTGCTGGGACCACTGCCCTGGGTCAGTTTATTCCTCTGTCCAGGATGGACTGGAGCAATCCTGCCTGGTTTGGAGGTGGGGGGTACAAACTGAACTGCATCCTCAGAGGCAGCATGCAGTGATTAACTCAAGCTGAACCCAGGCCACCAAAGATCAACCCTAAATATATTATTGCCATATAAAGAAGTGTGAGAGATGGAAGAAAATCCACAAGACCCAAACCAAAGTCACTTGTTTCTTATTTGTTCCAGTCCAGATATAAATACAGAGGTGTCAAAATAGGTTTTGTGTAGTTCCTGGGCTGTTTGTGCTGTTGGGTTCTCAGATGTCTCTAGGCCTCAGTAACCCTTAGTCAGCTGTGATGGTGACCAGGCTTATCATCCTGGCCAGCTGCTGATTCCCAGGAAATACTTCCACAATCACCAAAGCGTCGGTTGATTCTCAGAGCTGGAAAGGACAAATCCTCCAACAATCTGTGCCAGTGTGTGGGTCAGGGCAGTGCTTGGGCCTCAGTTGATGTGTTTGCAGAGCTGTGGTGGGTGTCCTGCTGGGGTTGTGAGGATGGAGGGAGGAAATGAGAGCAGAGCCTCTTCCGTAGCAGGGGATGTGGAACACGCAAACCTTCCACGGGGCTTTTAATTCCCCCCAGGGATGGGGATTCCCTCCCTGCCCTGGGCATCTGTGCCAGGGCTGGACAGCCCTTCCCATGAAGGAATTTTCCCCAGTATCCATCCTAAACCTCTTCTGGTGCAATTTAAGGCTGTTCTCTCTCCTCCTGTCCCTGTTCCCTGGGAGAAGAGCCTGACCCCTCCCAGCTCCCCCCTCCTGTCAGGGAGTTGCAGAGCCAGAAGGTCCCCCCTGAGCCTCCTTTTCTCCAGGCTGAGCTCCCTCAGCTCCCTCAGCCCTCCTGCTGCTCCAGCCCCTTCCCAGCTCCGTTCCCTTCCCTGCACACGCTCCAGCCCCTCAATGTCTTGTGAAGGACCCAAACCTGCCCCAGGATTGGGATGTGACCTCACTAGTGGAGACTGGAATGAGATTGCTCCTTACTGGAGGGGTCCTTTCTCGTGCTTTAGAGGTGATCTCCTCATTCTGCCTGCTGTTGGTGCAAACTGAGAGGTTAAATTCAAAACTGTAAACCTTCTGTGATCTTTAAATTTAAATACAGAGTGTGAGGCAACTGGTCTTTTCCCTCATGACCTACATGTCCTGCTGACCCCATCCACTTGTGGAGTGCCCAGACTCCTTTTAACTCTTAAAACATGGTACAAGAAGGATTATTACTGCATTTAAAGTGTCATCATGGGGTATTTTAACACTGGGCTGAGCTCCAAGCCAGCAGTAGCACAAACTGTGCTTCAGCCATACTCAAAGTGGTTGCAGAATACCAATTTTGCTTCGCTAGAGCGTTCCAAGTTTGTTTTCAGGTATTATAATTCCAGTTTGTCTTCCCTGCTTTCCCTGTTGGCTGCTGCAGGTAGAAAACCTGAGGTGCCTGAGGCTTTCAGAACTTTGATTCTTATTTGGGGATGGGGGAAAATGTTATAAAAGGATCATTATAGGCTAAGCTTCAGCTTGTTGTGTTGTTGCCGAAAGAGCATGGTTTTGTCCTAAACTTTTGAGTTTCCTAATGCAAAGTTTGAAGGGGTGTTTGGGCTAAAACAAAGGTAGAGGGATTGCAAAGCTCTGGTGTGGTGGTTTCCATCCTCCTGTATCTTCCCACAGTAAGGGGAGAGTGGATTCTGTGTGTTCCCATCTGAACACATATCCTGGGAGTGCTGAGGCTGCAAAGCCCACTCCCATCTTCTGGTTTTATTTCTCCCTGTGACCCCTCAAGCTGTTGTTCCCCAAAGAAGTGAAATGATCCCAAACCCTTATTTATACTCTTGGAGCTGGAAAATGCCATAGAAATGGGGGACATAACTAAACGCTCAAGGGCAAGAGTGTCTTTACAACTGCTGATTACTCATATAAAAGCCTCTGAGGTAACCTCAGACATTTATGGACAGTTCAAGGGGCTTTGCTGGGGGGTTTTGCTTGCATAGGTCCACTTCGTGTTGCTCTGTAACTCTTGTTTCAGTTTGTAGTGTAAATTTAAATGCTCTGCCAGGTTTTGCATATCATCAACACTTACCTTTATAATCTGGATTAGCCTTGGAGGAAAAGTAATTGCTGTACCCTTTGTAATAAATACACCAAAGGATCAGTGCAGCCTGGCTGCTCTTAGTGTGTTCAGAGAGCTCTGATGGAATCTGCTCAGCAGGATGCTCTAAGTAGGTGTCTGCCTGTAAATATATATATTTCAGAGCAGTGATTCCAGTGTTGGGAACAAAACCACGTCAGTAATTAGCCACTGGAAGTCCTTACAGTTGAAACATGTTGCTTTATTGATTAATTTGACTTTTACCTGTTAAAATAAGTGGAAAAAAAAATCCATTTGTGAAGCGCTGGCTGTGTCAGAGAAGCAATTCTGGTTTCTTTTCACTGCTTTGAGAGGTCGAGCTGTAAACCTGGTGAAGCCTAACGTTAGTACTGCATGATCAAGCGAGAAAGAACCACTTTATTTTACTTGCTTTGGTTGTCACAACCCTATCCTAATGCTTGCCTGTTGGTTGTTTGTACAGTTTTTAAGAAATATTACTACTATGGGCGCACAGGAGACAATTACTTGGGAAAAGAAGGAGCTGATGCTATTCCAAGCCTCGGCATCAATACCACCTTCTTGATGAATTCATCAGTGAGCAGATCCATGTCCCTAGAGAATCAGACATGCACCCATGATGTGCATTATGGACGTGAAACTGCCGTCCTTAGTCTCATGTTGATGTTGGGTACCCTTTGGCTTGGCCATACGCTCTATCAGTTTAAGAAAAGGTGAGTTGCTTCAGCCTTGGAGCTCAGACTGCTGATTATTTCATGTTGCCTGTTGCTTAGATCTTGGTCCTATAACCCCAGAACTCTTCCATTAATGCTGGTGGAAGCCAAAGCCAGAGATGAACTTCGGAGGGGCCACCTGGAAAATGTTAACACAAAACATGATGTTCACTCACTGGCCTTGCTGACTTACTAAAAACCTTTGGGTGAACCATGTAATTCATGTTGGGGGTCCCTGTGACTCCCTCCAAACAGGCATTGAACTGTTTTGGTGGGCAGAAAATTCCTGATATTGCTTGAAGGTCTACTGGAATGTTCTCTTGACAGATAAATGCCCAACTCTGATTTGGGTTTTACTCCAATGCTCTTCAAGTTTTTCATTTGAAATGCAGTAAGCAATTAAAGTAAAGTGGAAATGACGCACAAATGGGTGCTTGGAGGGCTTTTTTTCCAGCTTGCAGCTTAGTTCTTTGTTTCTTGGTGTTTTGCTTGTGCTTTCATCAACCTTCAAAGGCTGTAGATTCCAGAGGACTAAAGGCTGAATTTAGACCAGCTCTTCACTCCAAATATCTCTTAAAAATTGCAAGATGGGACAGAATTTTCACTTGTTAGAGCATTGATGCTTTCTGGATTGATTGAGTGACTGTCAATCCATGTGGTGCTGATGGAGTTCTTCTGTCTTTCGATTGCAGCCCATATTTGCACGCGAGAGTCCGTGAGATTCTGTCCGACTGTGCCTTACCCATTTCAGTCCTGACTTTCTCTGTTGTGGGTTCCTACATCTTCAAGGAAATCGAAAGTAAGTCCTATTTTTGTTCTGGAAAAGAGAAGTGAAATCCTAGAAAGGTTTTGATAAAAAAAATAGCAAAGTTCTTCAGTTTAATTTTACAAACCCTGCATACACCTCCCACCAGTCCAAGAGCTCCGACTTCCTCATGCTGAGATTTGTTTCGTTTAAAACCCAAATCAAACGAGGCTGAGTCAAGTTTTTTCTTCAGAAAAGTTATCCAAATGTGTCTTTTCAATGAACCCAAAGCGTGTATATCTTACAATGAAGAGAATCAACAATTCCTGGCAGAGTAATTATGAGGCAGGGAAGGGTTGTTGCCAGTCATGCCAGCGTAGAATTGGTGGTTCCAACCTGTCCTCTCTGTCTCCAGTTTGCATTTTCCCAGTTTCAATGAAATGGTGCAGGGCATCTGGGCAGTTCTAAGCTACACAAGGAAATCTAAAAATGAGACACCATTCATTGGCCAGATAGATCAACTTTTCCACATCAGGAAGCGATAACGGGGACAGGAATTGCATTGTCCTGCGGTGACGTGAGTGGGTGATGTGAGGAAATGTATGGAAACAAATAAGAAATGGCTTTTGTTTTTTTTCTATGATGGCCATTCCATCCAGTTGGATTGTAAAATGGTGTGTGACCATGTGTGATTTATCCCTAGTCGTGGATTGCTTCCAATGGCAGGAAAGTAGGGGCATTTTATACTAAAATGCCTTGCTGGGTATGAGGAAGTTTCCAAATGCCTGAGTTGATTAGCTGCTAGTTAGAAATAAGGTTTTCTAATCTAAAACCGCTTCGTATCTGTGGAAAAACAAGTTTCCCTCTTTTGTTTTGCTCAACCACATGTAATGCCTCGCTAGAACTAGCAGTGATCTGTCAAATCAGGATGGCAGCCAAGTTCTGAGTGGATGGAGGAAAAACATAAACCAAAACAGCCAGATGGACCTGTCTTCCGTGGCCTTCTGGCTCCCACATGCCGGAGCCTCACGCCTGGTTGGCCGCACTGGCTCCCAGGAGTTCGTGGTGTGGGTGGAACACGGAGCCCACGTGGATGGTTGGAGGAGAAGGTGCCTCCTTTTAACGTCATTGCCGTCCTCTTCCCAGTGTCCAGGTTTAACTACCACACGTCCGACAGCCTGTTCGTGCTGGCGCCCGTGCAGTCGCTGTCCATCGGCTCGGTGATGAGCGCCATGGGCCTGGGCTTCCTGCTGTCCATGCTCTTCTTCATCGAGCAGAACATCGTCGCCTCGCTCACCAACGCCCCGGAGAACAGGTAACACGCGGGGCTGGGACCGGCCCTGCTCACCCACAGCTCGTCTGAACGTCACAAAATGCGTGTCTGTGAGAACTCCCGTTGCCACAGGTGAAAGTAGCTCTGCTGTCAACTCCTCCTCCACTCCCCAGAGCCCGGTGTTGTGGCGGCGAGCCAAAAACTCAGAGCGTCCACGAGCTCATCCCGTTTCTTCTTTACCTTCTGCTCATCGTCATTTGTGTGTCCCCCCCCGCCCCAAAGTCTCGAGGTGTTTGTCAGGAAGAGTTTTGGAAGCTGAGGTGAATGTTAAGTAGGCATTCTGCATGGTTTGAGGTCTGTGGATGTACCTCTGGATATTGAGGGAGTGTCTGACACGTGGGGACACTTGCACTGCTCTTGCATTGGCAGAAAATGACAAGTCAGTGACCTACATAAATGCCGTAGGAGCTGAGCATCAGAAGTGTCTGGAGCTGTTAGCTCCCAGCTGAAAAAGGTGGAAGTGGAATAAAACAGTATGCCCTTTGTCTGATAAGCCTTAATTTATGTGCAAACTTGAGATGTTGCTATTAAAATATTCCCTCTGATGTTCTTGTGCTGGCTGCAGTCAGATATGGTGTCAGGACTGAACGTGTATGAGTTTTTTGTGGTTTTTTTTTTTTTTTTGGGGAAACTACCATGTCTCCAAGGATTTTTTTTTCCTAATGTAATGCGTGGGAGGGTTCTCTCCTTGCATAATGCACATTAGCATTCTCCATGTTGTGCTGGAGTCACACAGTCTTAGGGGAGAGGAGACAAGCTCCAGTTCAGTTACACTAATTTAGTTTCCCTTTGACCACCTCTTATCTCCATTATATCCCTTTAAGTGTTGCATAAATCTGTATGTAAGTGGGTCATCTCTTTGCTAATGTTAATTTCTTCCAAAGTTTTGGTATTTTCCACTGGAGTGTCCTTAAGCAATGTGAAATATGGTGTGGAGCTGTTCAGGGTGTTTTTCAGGAGGCCTCCTTACAGGGCCGAGCTGATGCTGATCCATGAGTTTTTAGAGATGGAAAAACTAGGACTTGACCCTTTCTATTTGTTGGTGCCATCAGAGAATAAAACACTGTTGTCTGTACCAGCCAAATGGAGAATGTGCTCTTGGTGTCTTACCAGATGTAGTTGTTTCCTTTTGTAGGAAAAAAAAAAAGACAGGGAAAAGATGATGTTTACCTGAAAGCACCTGATGTGTTTTGCTGAACAGCAGTCAGAGCAGGTGTAAAGGACAGTCCAAGGAATACTGGGCTGGTTGAGCAGTGTGAAGATAACCAAGGATAAGACATCCCTCTAGGCAAGCTCAGAGAAGCCCATCCGTGGCTCAGAGCAGGTGCACAGCACACACAGTGTCCTGTAGATCATCACAGAGTGGTTTGGCTTGGAAGGGACCTTAAAGATCATCTACTTCCAACCCTCCACTTCCAGCACCTTCCACTAGGTCTGGTTGCTTAGAACTCCATCCAACCTGGCCTTGAACACTTCCAGGGATCCAGGGGCAGCCACAGCTTCTCTGGGCAACCTGTGCCAGGGCCTCACCACCCCCACAGTAAAGAATTTCTTCCTGATATCTAATCTTAACCTGCTCTCTTTCAGATTGAAGCCATTCCCCCTTGTCCTGTCACTCCAGACTTTTGTCAATAGTCTCTCTCCATCTTTCTTGTCAGCTCCCTTCAGGTACTGAAAGGCCACAATGAGGTTGATCCCAAAGCCTTCTCTTCTCCGGGCTGAACATTCCCAATCCTTTCAGCCTCTCCTCACAGCAGGGGTGCTCCATCCCTCTAATCATCTTGGTGGCCTCCTCTGGACTCTCTCCAACAGGTTGTTGTATAACCTTTGTACTTGGAGCCCTCTGTGAAGGGCAGAGAGGACAATGACACAATAACCCTGGGGATGCTGAGGGTGCCTTTGCTCTGAGAGAGCAGCACGTGAGCAGGAGCTGTGCTTTCAAAGCAGGAAGCGTGTTTACAATCCCACCCTTCCTGCCAGCACCTTCCAGCTCAGAGGCACTGCAGTGTGGACATCTACCTGACCTGCTCACCCCGTGGCCTCCTCCCTCAGTGGAGGTGAGCACTCCCAGTGAGACCAGTCCTTTTGTTCCAAAACTGAACCCCCACCCAAGATTTCTGCTGCCCAAACAATGGCATCTGCTGCTCTCTGAGGTAGATACTGGCCACAGGTCTCCGTGTGCTGGGTCAGATCTACGAGCTCCACGCACCTCATGTCTTAGATGGCTCCAAGTCTGTGCTTAGGTGTTGAACTGAGCTTGTTTGGGTGGCATTAAGACACCTAAATCGTGCTACCTGTCCAGCTGATGATGATGCCCAGAGAGCAATTCAGCTGATCCCTTCTGTTGTGTGAGGATGGCTGGGCAGAAACACAGACCTTTCAGTTGGATATTAAAGTCTGAGAGCTGAATCCTTCCCCAGCCTTTCTTCTGCACTTCATTCCTAATATTTGAGCAGTTGGTGCCAAATGGGAATATTCAGGAAAGGGGCAGACCTTGCAAAGAGGGCAAAGTTAAATTAGATGTGAGCTCAGTGTTGGTGCTGCTCCAAACGTGGCCCTTGCAAAGTGGATGTGGCCACCTTCCTTGGTGGAATCATTTAAGGCCAGATTGGAGCAGCCTGGTCTAGTGGAAGGTGTCCCTGCCCTTGGCAGGGGGTTGAAGCTGGATGATCTTTAAAGTCCCTTCCAACCCAAACCATTCTGTGATCCATTCCATGATTCTGTGACTGCCAAGGAGGAGCTGAAGTTTAATGAATTCCTGTCCCATTTTCTTATCATGCAGTAGCAATTACATAATTAGGGGATTACTGCAGCATCTCAAACACGTGTCCTGCTCGTGGGGAAGGAGGGAGATCAGGGTTAGAAACAAGACAGATGAGAAACTTCAGTGTCAGTGGTTTGTCAGTCAGTGCTGAGGATTTTAACCACTCCCTCCACACGCCATTAACAAATACAAACATGGATTTTTGACTGCTGTAAATGCAGGAGCGAAATGCTGGTGAAATTTTCATGGGCTGTTATTTTAGTGGGCTGCCTCTCTGCTTAGGGGTTGTTCTTGCCAGCCAACAACCACTCTGGGAGCAAACTATCCCGTTGGTGCTCCTATCACCCAGGAGGTGTGAGATCACTGCCCGTGTGGAAGAGCACTCGAGTGATCAAACATACGAGCTCAAGGCTCAGCCTGTGGTGTTTGCAGCAGGTGTTAACTGTGGGTAAAATCTCCCTTTCAGGTTGGTGAAGGGCACAGCCTATCACTGGGACCTCCTGCTGGTCGCGCTGATCAACACGGGGCTGTCGGTGTTCGGCCTGCCCTGGATCCACGCGGCGTTCCCGCACTCCCCCATGCACGTCCGGGCCCTGGCCTACGTGGAGGAGAGGGTGGAGAGTGGGCACATCTATGAGACGTAAGTAGGAACCGTGGGGATGTCTTGGATGTCTTTTGGGTCTCGCTTGTGGTTTCCCACTCCTTTGGGAGCGGTGGGTTTGCGTGGTTGCGGAGCTTGCTGTCGTCTTGAAGGCTCGCCAGGGATGTGAGCTCAGGGAGGAGGCTCCAAAAGAAGTCACCTCAGCCAGCACCCTGTGGGAATTCCACCCACTCCAGTGCAAATTCTCCTCTGGAAGGGTCAGCCAAGACCTTTTTCCGGTTTATCCTTGTGGGGAGCTCAGGAGATGCTTTGGCCGGGTCTTTCCACATGTGTCCTCCAGAAGGAGTCCAGGCTGATCCGCTGCCTCAGACCTGCCTGGTGGTTATTACAGAGGGTGGGAAAAATGCACCGTGATTTCAGAGCTCCCATAACATCCTCCACCACATTTTGGGAAGGCAAAATGCTTCAGTTCTCTTGGTTTTAAAGCAAAAGCAAGTATGAAGCCAGGCCCGGGTCACAGCTTTCTATTTAAGACCAACTTTTCTGCTGTTCTGAGTTGAGCAACAGATTCTTATCAGAAAAAAATTAAACCCCCTATTTCTCATGAAACCTGCTCCAGAGTAGAGATTGTCTGGCCTGTTTGATCTCAGTGTGTTCCAGTTGAGTGCTTTTACAACAGAAGTGGTAATTTCCACTCACATACCATTAGTTTTAATTATCCTGCCTTGGTTTCATTTTCTGAGTTGCCACTTATCAGAAGTGAGGCTAAGTGGTCATTTACTTTGGGGGATGGGGTGGATCTGTCTTGATTCCAGTCTTGCTGTGCCCAGCCAGGCACAGCTGCTTTTTGGGGCAGGGATGGAAAGATTTCACCTTCCACATCTGGAAATTGCTGGCTCCTGCTGCTTCCTGCAAGTCTTTTACAGATCTTTCCTGAGAGATCAGTCCCTTGGGCTTGCATTCCCTTTGGTATGTGTTGCTATCACAGCTATGTCACAGAACCACAGAATATCCTGAGGTAGAAGGGACCCCCAAGGATCATCCAGTTCAGCTCCTGGCCCTGCCCAGACACCCCAGCAATCCCACCCTGTCCCTGAGAACGTTGTCCCAATGCTCCTTGAGCTCTGGAGGGTTTTGGGATGTGACTATAGTAAATGCTAAACCCTATTTAAAAAAAAAATCTACTTTGAAATTTGAGTTCTGTAGGGTTTTAATCCTTCCTCCTTGTGACCATGATCTGCTCTGGGATGCCTCTACTCTCCATTTCTTTGCAAGATGTAGAATTTACACTTTGAAAATCATCTGCTAACCCTCCCTCCTTGTCTCCTGTTGCCAGTTTTAATACCTGGTGTCTTTTTCCCTGTTTTTCCACTGTCTTGACTGTGCATTCTGCCTTCTCCTCGATGAAGTCAAGTCCTCTGACTGAATTAAGGACTAATTCCTATCCTTGTCCTCTCCTCCTTCACCCAGCTGCCCCAAAAATGAGCATCAGAGAGGCCTCTCTGATGATCCTGGCAGGGCTGAGGGATGCCCTGACCTCACTGAGGGTGTTCCCTCAGGGCACAAGCTCTGCTGTGCCAGGGCAGGTCGGTGCTGGGAGCTGGATGTTGGGAGTGAGGGAGGCAATGAGGATTTCCTAATGCTTTGAACTCCCTTGGAGACCAAAGCTTTTTGTTCTCTGCTAAGAACTGAGCTATAACAGGAGGCTCCAAGCAATGTAGTCATCTTTTTTTTTTTTTTTCCTTTTTCTTTTTTCCCCCCTCCTCTCAGCCAGCTCTGCTGCGAGAGGAATGAAATGGAGCTCAATTAGGAAATCAGCTCTGTCTCCCTTGGCAGGCTCCTTTCCTGCACTCAAATCAAAGCTCTCACAGGATGATGATACAAACAAGAATAAAGATCAGCCACAATGAAAGCAAAATTTTCTTCTCCCCTGTAGAGGAATGATTTGAGTTTCCTGTGTCAATCTGCAAACAGGCAGACTCACGTGGAGAAGTTTGGGAATGGCTAATCCCATCCCAGCCATATTTAAGGGATTTTGGGGAAATGAACCTGGATTATACTCTTTGATCTCCATTAATGACTTTATTTCCCTCGCAGCACAGGCTTTCTGGAGCTGTTTCCTCAAGGGCCAAACCAGATTTTGAGCACATGGAAATCAGGGTTTCCTCTGTTCACTTAATGTGACTGCGATGTCCTCGCCCTGGAAATGAGAGAAAGTGTTAGAATTAACAGAAGGCCAATTTAAGGCTGGGAACATCAGCTTTAAAGATGTCATGTTTGGTTAATTATGAGCCATTTTTTATGTCCTTATAAAATATTCCCAACAAATAAGTGGCATTAGCAGGAGCTGGCAGGAGTCGTTGCAGTACGTCTTCTGTGTGGTCAGTGCTGTGATTGCTGCATCCCCAGGAGAGGACTGCAGAAAATTCCACCAGCTTCAAGAACTTGTTACCAAAGGGCTGCTGCTCTGAGCTGTTCTGCATGTGCAGCTGGTTGAAGTGGGATGCCTTCACAGCTCCTTCTGCTCCTGAGCTCTCTGACTTTGCATGACTTCACTTGCAGCCTTGTGTGTGCCTGCAGGTCGTGAGCAGCCACATGGATGGGTCAGATCTTGGCCTGAAATGGCAGAAATCCTTCATCTCTGAGTTGCCTGGTGATGAAACTTGGGAAGCTCTTGCTCTGCCTGGATGAGGCTGATTCAGTTAGTGGATCCTGCTTCACTGGGCCACTTGAGTGGTTCTGGCAGCTCTGAAGTTGTCTGACCACTCCTTGTCAGACTGAAATTACTTGGAATGAGCACTTGCAGCTGCTCTGATCATCTCCAAGTTCTGTGTTCTCTGGTGATCCAGACCTGGAGGCAATGGGAAAGATGCCAAACTAGACCCACTTAGGGGTTGTCCCAGTTCTACCAGAGATGGAAAGACCAAAGTTCTACTCTCCCTCAGCTTTTCCAGGCCATGGGCAGGACCCCTTGACACAGGAGACCTGCAAGAGGATCCAAACCAAGTCTGTTTGGGAGGAGTTTGTGGTTCCTCCTGTTTAAACCCATTTAAAGGTCACTGAAAGGTTAACACCTCTGTGCATCCTGTCTTGGTAATCCTGGATGATGTGTGTGCTCTGCCCCATTACTCACTGAGGATTTCCAGTGTTGTCCTCAGGACTTTGTGTACTGTTCGTGGTGTCTGTTGTTCCTCAGGTCTCATGACTGATGGTGTTAATTCTGCCTTGTTATCCAAATCCTCAGGGGAAGCTTCAGGCTGCTCCTCTTTCCCTCCCTTTCCAAACAGGGGTGTGGAAAGGCTCCTTCATCCCCACAGCTTCATTATGCTCCTTGAGTGTATGAACAGATTGGAAGTTCAACCTGACCTTACCTACAAGCAAAGCTCTCAAATTTAATACTGGAATAATTCACTGGGAAGCAAACATCTAAATAGTGAATTAATTCACTGGGAAGCAATCTTCTTCAGGACAGGATTGTGAAGTCTCAGCAGTGCCTCTGTAGAGGAGGGAAGTGTGTTTTGATAGATCTTCTGCGTTAATCCTCAGAGAAGTTTATGTACAGGGTTAATTCAGAATGTGAGGGGTCTCATCCAGGGAATGAGGTCACTAAATGGCACCAAAACACCACTTTTTCCAGATAATAGTAGGATTTACTCACTGGCTTATCCACTGCATTGGTGGATTTATCTTCCTTAAAAAAAAAAAAGTTAAGAATCCTCTTCTCTCTTTATAAGTGCTCTTGACAGATGAGGGGTTTCTTTCCTCCTGTTGTCTCTGGTAATGTTTTTCAAACCAGGAGATGCTCACAGGTTTAGTTGAAGTGAAAGGAAAACAAAGCAACCTCCCCTGGAGCAGGTTCTGAAAGCTGCTCCATGCTTTCCTGTCAGTGTTCCCCTCCAAAAAAAAAAAAAAAAAAGAAATCAATCTGTGGCCTGTCAGCTCTGGCAAATTTGCATTAATTAATTACATGTTTTGCATGGTAATAAGCAATTTGCAGCACGACACAACTGCTGTTGCCCACAGCAGAAGTGACTCCCTGCTTGGTGCTCTCAGCATTCCCTTCCATGTAAACAGGGAGATCCTCAAATCCATCAGAACTGCTGACTCGCTGTCAGGACAGTGCAGACCTTGCTTGCCTTTTTTTTTTTATTATTTTTTAGAAGAGGTTCATTAGTTCCTGGAGAAGCCAATGGGTTTTCTTTGGGATAGAAGCCAGTTGCATATGCACTGGGTAAATCCAGGGAAGGATTACTGCTCAGAAAGGGGATTCTTGCCTGGTTTGTTTTGGTTTGGTTTTTGTTTGTTTTTTGGGTTTTGTTTTGCATTGTGCTAAACAGGATCACTTTAGAGGGCAATTTAGTTCAGGGCTGGGATCTGTGGAGCTTTGCAGGAGGGGAATTTGGCGTTTTTCCAGCTGCTGTGGATGAAGTGGCTGGCCTGGATCCAGCAGGGCTCTGCCTCCCGGGTGTCAGAAGTGCTGATCTCAGTGTGGTGGAGATGAGCTTCCCTTTCCCGAGTGGCACGTGTCCTCCATGGAGCAGGGAACAAGCTTTCCAGGATTCTGGGGTGTTACCCTCCTCCCCTAATCCCTGTTTTCTCGCTCCCAGGATCGTGAGCGTGAAGGAGACGCGGCTGACGAGCCTGGTGGCGAATTTCCTGGTTGGGCTGTCGCTCCTGCTCCTGCCTTTCCCTCTCCAGTGGATCCCAAAGCCGGTCCTCTACGGCCTCTTCCTCTACATCGCCCTGACCTCCATTGATGGGAACCAGCTCTTTGAGAGGGTGGCTCTGCTGCTCAAGGAACAGGTATGGGGTGGGAACAGCTGGAACGGGAACACCAACACCTGAGAGCTGCGCTCCAAACCTGAGCGCGCGACTGCACGAATTTTGTGGGCTGTTGATGTTTTCATCAGCTGCAGGGTATGTGCATTTAAAAAATCATATAAATATTTAAAGCACAACATCAGGAAAGGGTGATCTTCTGATTTCCCCAGCAAAGCTTCGGGCGGGTAATTTTTTTGGCTGTATTTTTGACTTTTGTGTTGTATGAAACGCCACGAGATGGGATTTTTAAACTCAAAATGAAATTACTTTGCATTATTGAAACCTGTCTGATGTGGGGTTGAAAACAAACCTGGGAGATCTGTTTTCGAGCCCCTCTGTTACAGGTGCTTAAAAAAGGTGTTGGTTTTCAGTGTAGGAGGTACCTGGAGCAAGTCTCCAGCTCATCTTCTCTTATGTAACAAGGGTCAAGGGCTCAATAAGCCCAACATTTGGCTCTGCAATCTCTGCTAATCTATTTTGATCTCTAATATTACATCCCAGAGGTTAAAACTGTGCGAGTTGGGTAAAGATTCCATTTGTCATGTCAATTTTTGAATGAGGGTTGAGCAGCTCCCGAGGCATGTGACTTGTTATTACTCCCGGGTTTAGTGCAAATTACGTGTGGAATTTTCCGAGCTTCGGTTTGGAAAATTAAAAAAGTATTCTTGAATATGGAGATCTCCCTTTTCTGGAAGCCTTTTAATGAGTCATGGCACAATCTGAAACCCATGGAATCTGTACCAGTGCCAGCAGACAGTCGCTCATGCTCTTCATTGATGTATAGACAGTGAGTCAAAGCCTGTGCTCAGACATGAGCAAGGAACTGTCAAAAGAAAACCACCATATTTAGCCTATTAATGTCAGTTTTCCCCCCCCTTTATTCCTCAAAAATGAATAGCTTATGGGAGTGGAGAGAAAGCATTGCAGTCTGAGCACAGCCCCTTCCTGCACCTCCCTGATCTCATCCCCTGCTCTTCCCCTAGTGGGGTTCAGCCAAGAGGTGGGAGCACCAGGGGCAAGGATGGAGCCTTATGAAGGCTCTAAAATCCACGAGGAGCTGGGTTGTAGGTGGAGAAACCCCCCAGCAGTGACAGCACCCGGGTGCATCTGCTCCCCATCACCCCCTGCACGTCCCCCAGGCCCTTCAGATGCTGCTGCTGCAGAGCCCTGACAATGCTCCTCAGGGGAATCTCATTACCGCACTTACCAGGCTATTACCCTGCACTCCAGATGCTCCCAAAGGCACTCTTGGCTGGTGTGGTGTCTTTCCCTCTCCTGGCTCCCAGTGCCCAGTCATGCTCTGGGCTCTGCTGCCAGTGCTGTGGTTTGAGGCACTCGGTTTAACCCTCTAAACCCCACGCTGAGCCGTTGAACCCGCTCAGGGCTCCGATGCTGGACGGTGTGTGTGTGTGCAAATCCACACAAAAAACCCCAGTGTCCCAAATGTCAGGCCACGTTCTCCCCTCGCAGCTCCAGGTCCCTGCATGTCTGATGTGTGGCTCTTCCCTCCCCAGACCGCGTATCCCCCGACCCATTACATCCGCAGAGTGCCCCAGAGGAAGATCCACTACTTCACCGGCCTGCAGGTCCTGCAGCTCCTCATCCTCTGCGGCTTTGGGATGTCACCGCTGCCCTACATGAAGATGATCTTCCCCCTCATCATGATAGGGATGATCCCCATCAGGTATGAAGCTTGGCTGCCTTTTTTATTTATTTTTTTTTTATTCTTTTCCATGCTTTTTGTCCTCAGGTTTGGATTGCTGGAAGTCCAGGGAGAGGGGAAGCTGTTGGAGCTGGGCCTGTTTTGGTCTGGAGAGGAGACCGAGAGGGGATTTTGTCAATCCATTCAAATGTCTCCAAGGGGTGTCAGGGAATGGCACCAGAATCCTTTTGGTGGTGCCCAGAGCATTAAGGAGCAGTGGCCACGAACTAAAACACAAGAAGCTCGACTTCAAAATGAGGAAGAACTCGTTTATGTTGAGGGTGGCAGAGCACTGGAACAGCTGCCCAGGGGAGGCTGTGGAGTCTCCCTGTCTGGAGACATTCCAAACCCACCTGGACATGTTGTGTGTCACCTGTTCCAGGTGACCCTGCCTTGGCAGGGCAGGTTGGACTGGACCATCTCCAGAGGGTCCCTTCCAACCCCCTCTATCCTGTGACTGAAGCCTGGGATTTCACTGCTGCTGGGAGTCACTCAAAGGCTTCTGGGCTGGCAGGTGCTGCTCTTCCAGCTGCCCAGGAGGCAAAAACTCTCCTTGTAATGCTTGATCTTCCTGAGAAGCTTCAGTGTGAGCCTTCCCTCTGGGTAATATTTGATAATGTTCCTCATGGCGTTGCAATTTGATTTCCTCAGACCAGTGCTCAGAGCAGAGCTGGAAACTCCTCCTAAGAGGAGCCCTTATCTCTTACCCATTGCTGGGATGACTTTGCAGACTTCCTGCCCTGCTGTAAAAGCCGCTGCCACTGATCAGTCAGGTCAAACTGGCCACATTTAGTCTTAAAATGGTCTTTAAAAGTGGAAGGGCACCACAATATCTTGAGTCTGGAGAGGGAATCGTTGAGAAACTTAACTAACTTCTTCCTCAGTGTTCATTAGCAGTGACTGCCCATCATTCTCCAGTTAAATCATTCATGCTCTCAATCCTTTGGGTGTAATGAGAAGCCATAATAAGATCTTGGAAGGAACAGATCTGTTCCCAGTCCATTTGATTATTTTTGGGCCAGCATGGCATCCAGTGCTATCTGGTTGACTTTGAGCTTGCAGTCTCTCAGAGATCTTCTTTCTGATCTCAAAGTTCAGGGCTGCCAGTGTGATAATCTCCCAAGGCAGCTGCTGTGGTGTTTTCCTTGGCTGGTGAATGGGGGCCCAGTTCTTCCCAAAACACAAGCAAATGTCAGAGCTGCCATGGCTTTCAACAGGATCAGGTTAGAGCTGTTTGAGCTGGGTTTTTAAAGATAAACAGCCTTGGAAAACACTGAAGTTATTGTTCCTGGGGCAGGAGTCTCTCACCTGCCCTTCACATTGGTGTTGCTTCGGGTGACTGGATCAGTGGCTGTAAATACTCCAGGCTCTGTGCAGTGCTGGGGGATTGACTCTGGTGGGAACTGCAAGTTTCCATACAAGGAAGCTCAGCACAGAACAGAAAATGTGGGACACTCTTTGCTAAACAGTCAATCCTTGGACATGGTATAACAAACTAAATTAGCGTGGAGAGAATTCACTGTCCAAGAGGCTGATTTTGTAATAAGAGCAGGATAATGCAGTGGTGCAAATACATCTTCTTTGAGGCAATAAGATACTGCCACCTCATCCTCTCTGTTTCTACCTCATTTCTCTTTCCAGAGCAGTTCTTTCCTGGGAGCTGGATAACCAGCCCTGCTCCTCAGGGGAAGATGCTGCTACCTGGCACAGCCCAGAAAGCTGCCCTTGGCTTTCCTTCCTCTCATTCCTTCTGCCTTTCTGTGGCCTCCAGCCAAGAAGGCAGCACCATGATCCATGAGCTCTGTAGTTAATGACTTTTTTTTTTTTCAAGGATTTGGCACTCTAAATAGATGAGACAGGGTAGAAGAAATTAAATATATTTCCCTTTTTTTTTTTTTTTAAGAAGTGAAGGGAGGAAGAGGAGATGGGACATCAGCCAGGGACGGGTCAAAGTCAAGAGTCACACACAGATGAGTGAGATGTGACTTGGTGTCCCATCCAGAACACCAGCCATGTCTCCAAGCCCCATTCCCACCTGTCCAACTGCATTAGACCCATGATTTGCATTGTCAGTGGTGAGGGACCGCTGCTGTGCTCTTAATGGGAGAGATAATGAGAAGCCATCGAAATCCATTGTTGAGGTGGAAGAAAATGGGATTTTTAGGTATCCCCAGTTGCTGGCTTTGATCCAGAACTTTGGGATGAGTAGTTTTTTGGTTGCTGAGAGAAGGATCATCTTCTTCCCAAGCATTCTGTGGTGCTCATCTCTCCTGCCATGGCTGTCAAGCATTTCATTGTGTGATGGGTCTATTTAAGGAGAATTCTGGTACTTCCCAGCAGTAGATGGTGTTTGGGGTCTCTTGCAGAACTATTGAAGTCCCAAACTGGCTTTCTGGTGCCTTTTGCCTTATTTTAACAGCTGAGGAATAACTCCCTTGTTAAAGGAGTCACAGTAAATATGCAGGAGGATTTAATGAAAGCAACTTCAGAGCACATTGTTACAGCACCACACCTTTGTCACCCAAATATATCCATCCTTGAGGATGTTCTTGCAAACAAATTTGTAAAAACCCCCAAAAGTAAGGGAATCACTGTCTCCACGATCCAGTGGAGAGTCCAGTCACCAGGTGGGGATGGAGTCTTACCAGCAGCTGGAGAAATGCAAGTCATGGCCCTTCTTGTTTTATTGTCGTAGTCACAAGTCTGGCTGATACATTTGGTGCTTCCCCTAAAGACCAAAGCTTCTGGTTTCTCTCTTAAAGCTTCATTCTGGTGTACCTGGAGAGCCTTTGTGTGCAGCTCTTTGAGAGCCAGCAAGTGATGAGAAAAAAAAGTGGAAATTGGAAATAAATGGGGTTTCGTGGCACAGCAATGCATCCATCTGCAAACTGGAGGCAGGAGGAAGGCACTACCTGTGTGCCCCAGCACAAACCAGGAGCGTAGATTAGGGTGGGGGGGGTACAGTTTTGGCATCTTGAAGACTTTGGGGTGGCAGAGCACTTTGGGAAGGCTGCTTTTCTCCTGTGAGGATGAGGATGTTCTCTTCCCGTGCCAGCTGAAAAGGAAGAGGCTCCTTCCAGAAGGAACTCTGCCCTGTTGTTCCTGTAAAAGCTGTATTTTCTTACAGCATTGGTTACTTTGGCTGTCCTCACATTTCTCCCCTTCAACTGGGAGAGAATCTCATGGACAAACTCAACTGGGGGAGTCTTGGGGCGGACACAAAAAGTGCTCCATGGCTACAAACAAGCACTGACCCCATTCCTGTGTTTCACCCCTAGGTATAACCTGCTCCCGAGGATCATCGAAGCCAAGTACTTGGATGCCATGGATGCAGAGCACTAAAGGGGGGCCCTCCCCACGTGGAGCAGCAAGGACAGCCAGCCCTTTTGGAGCGGGAACAGGTGGCTTTCCCGAGGCGCAGGACAATCCCACGCACTTCTTTCCTTCCCCACTTTCTCTCCGCCCTAACGTGGCAGTGCACGCCTGTCAGAGACCATGGGAATGCTGGAGCGTCCCAAAACCCGCCTTGGACTTGGGAGGACGATGCTCTTTGGGAGCTGTGAGGCGAGCAGGCTTCATGGAAAACGCTACTTCCCACATCCCAGAACCCCAAAGATCAGCATGTCTGTAGGGTTGGAGCATGGATTCAGAGCTGTCACGTGTTCCCTTCTTTTCAGGGTGGGGGGGAACTCTCTCTTTGTGTTATTTTTAATGCACCACATCCTATTCTTCCCTTCAACAACTGACCCTTCTTTTTTTGCAGAGTGCCAGCCTTGTCCTGGCCCTTGAGTTTCAATTTCCCGTGCATCCAGTTATTCCCAAATGGGGTTTTCAGGGGTGGGATGGCCTCGTGCTAAACCACTGATGGCAGGAGAGGTTTCTGACCACTCCTCCAGATTGGTGGGTTTGGAAACAGCTATGATATGTACTGATAACAATCCCCAGCTTTGGGTGAGTATTTAATTCCTACAAAAGAGCTGGAAACGTTGGGAGATCGGGCTCTCATGGCCACGTTGATGAAACCACAGCTGGGTCTGAGCTATTTGGGAATTATTTCGGATTTTCTGCCGTTCCTTCTCGGTAATCAAACCCAGAATTGTATTTTTGCACAACTGCAGCAATTTTTTTTCCCTTGCACTCTCAGAGTCAGATACTCGTCCCAGGGCAGTTGGGTCATGGTTGCATATACATATGTACAGGAGTGCCTATGTGTACATATATACAGATGGATTTGTGTATATATTTTGCATAGATATACAGATAGGGCCTGATCCTTTCCAAATATCCAAAGTGTTTTGTGCAGTCAGTGTTTCCCATGATTGCACTTGTTCTCTGCTTCAGTGCTGCTTTTTCTCATTTGGAGATATGGTCACTTTTTTTTTTTTTTTTCCCCCTTTGGAAGCTGCTCAGTTACTGGTTTTGTCCATGTGTTGCTTTTATTCAAGGTGTTCCTTTGCTTCCTCCTCCCTGTGGCTTGAGACCTATTCATCGTTCTGTCCTGATGCTCCAACATGTGAATTTTGCATTTAATTTTCATGTACAGAATCCAGTGAAAAGTTTTTTTTCCTCTCTCGCCTAATCAATATTTGTTGGTCATTTCACTGTCTCTGTTTTGTAGCTGATCTCCAGATTCCCACACACACACACTCTCTCCCAGATGTTATGTTATATTATATTTCTGGATGAATCGAACTTCTGCTGTCTTTCATAATTCGGGTTTATTTAATTTTGCTTGTACTACGGTCAGGTTTGGTTGGTTTTGTTTTTTGGTTTTGGAGTACTGTGAAACAAGCTGCCCTTTGGTGTTTTCAGAGCTGCACATCACAGGTCACGGGTGGAGCCTTCAGAAAGTGGTGGGCCTCGATAATGACCCCTCAAAGCACTAGAAACGGGGGAGGGAGGAGAGCGACAGAAAATGAAATGCAAATGTGTCAGCACAGAGAGGTGTTCATTAGCACTTGCTTGCCCGGTAAATGGTGCAGAGTTTTTATCAGTGGGGGAGGTTCCTCCCACCCCACCCTGCAGTGAGGGAGGGTGTCAAGCTGTGCTGGAACTAAAACTAAGCCAGGCTCAAACCGCTCAAGATTTGGTGTATTTGCACTAAATTCAGGGGGTATTTAACCTCCATGTAGCACTCAAGCACGCGTGCAAAACCAATTTATGTCCTTTTTTTACCAAGCCCTTCACCTCTGTGTTGAACCTGGATGGAGGAGGGCAGTGTGGGAGTGGTTTTATTTATCCCTGAGGAATCCCGGGGCAAGGCCCTCAGCTCAGCAAGCAGAACATCAACCACGTGTGATGTTAAAACCGTGACCTTCATGTGGCACCATGAGGGGCTGCTGAGGAGTCCCAGGGTCAGGAGGGGCCACCCCAGAGCGGGTAATTTGGCTCTGAGTCACCCTGAGGGGGAGCTGGGGCTGTGTCTGACGGGGGCAGGACAGCAGCATTGAACCTGTGAGTGATTTCTGACGACTCTTCTCGGTGTTTCCCGGCTCTTGAGTCACTTCAGGGCTGAGCTCACCGAGAGCTGTTGAGTAGGAACAGGGGCAGACAGGACTGTGGAGGTGCTGAGAGCGTGTCTGATCTCCAGTCAGCAGAAGAAGGGCAGGTGACAGCCAGCAGCTCGGGACCTGTCGGCAGGCAGGGAGTGCAAAGGCCCGGTGAGGCTGAAGGAACGCGTTTTTCCCACAGATGTCAAAAGATTTAACCAGAGCTGCCATCAGAAGCCTCATCCTGTGGTGGAGTAAAAGCTGTAAAACACACGTGCCCTGGGGGAGAATTTGTGGTGTCTCTGCTCTCCACGGGGGAAGGGAGGGGGAGGAAAGTCACCTTGTGGGGTGGTTTAAACCCTGTTTCGGATGGTAGAGCTGGAAGAAGGAGGGGATGTGCCCAAGGGAATGTGGCTTTGGTCACTGTGGGTCTTGCCAGAGGAAAGAGTTTTGAGATGTGCCCTGCACTCCCCACTTAAAGGACCAAACCCACCCCTGTTAAAGCCTCCTTGGAAGGCCCCAATTTCAGATGGTGTCAGATGTTGCCGAGATAATGGAAAATGCAGGTAGCAGGGAGGGTTAAATATCCATCACAGCCCTTGTTTATGTCTTTTTATTTTGCTTTTACCGGTGTGACTTCAGTGTTTGTGTTTTCTTTGTAGCAGCAGTAGGGTTCTGTTTTGCAGGGTTTTCATTCTACAGGGGCCAAAAAAAAAAAAAAAATCAACTGATGGGAAATGGCCACAATTTGGGATGGGGGGGAGAAATGTGCTGGCTTAGACTGGTCGAACATTTGGACCCATTTCTCCAATATATGGGTAGAAAAGGGAGATGTGTGGAGGCCTCTCATCTCCTGAGGGGTTGTCATGATCCTGCAGAGGATTATTTTTTAATTTTTTTTTTCCATGCCTTTTCTCTTCTCGTTTGCTTCTGGTTTTGCAGACTCAAAGTGCAGGCGTTTCCAGGAAGTGGGCTGACCAGGGAAGGAGGGTTTGTTCAGAGTTGATTGAACACTTTAATACTTCTGTGAAGGTTGAGACAATTAGAATGTAAAAGAAGTTTTATTATAAGCTCTTTATATACGCACAATGCTCTGTGTAACTGTTGCCAAAGAACTGGGGTGGGAGGGATGAGCTGCTGGGAGAGCCCACGGTGTTCCCCTGGGACCACAAAGGTAGGGAAAAGCTGCTGGGATGAGTGGATTTGTGGAAGTTACTTTTTGACAGCTGCCAAAACGATCAGAAACCGGGGCGGGGAGGGAGAATAAAATTCTGCTCTCAAACGTTGCGGTTTTTGATCCTTGCGTTGAATGTAGGAGCGAGAATGAGCTCGACAATTAAAGTTGGATTTATACCTGAACGGTTTCCTTGGTCTGAGACTTATTTTGTTGCCTTCAGAAATAATCTTGACGTGCTCTGTATGGAAATGGATGTGTTTTCTCCATGTAAGTTGAGGGAGGTTGGTGAAAACACGGAGTGCTGAACAAGCAGGGCAGCACTTTGGGGATTGCTTAGGAAGCGAATCTGACAACTCCACCAGCAACAACCCCCAGACTCCCAGGAGTCAACATGTGAAGCTGTTAATAAATGTCAAGCTCTGCTTGGATGTGCATCAGTGCCCTGCTGTGAAAGGGTGGGGATGGAGTGAAGGAATTCAGCTGCTTTCCTGCTGGAATGATCCAAGATGAGCCCCGATGACTGTGTGGGATGTGACACCTCTTCCCAGTGACCTGTGAGAACTGGGATGCCCTGAACAGAGATCTGGAAGATGGTCACACTGGGGTGGTACTGCGGGTCAGAGGGTCCTCCCCTGTTTTTTCCCACTCTGTGTCCCTCCAAGCATCTCCACTGTCACTGACACAGGTTCATGTTCCTCCTTGATCAAGCTTTTCTTTTTATTGTTTGTTGCGTTCTGACTGCCCTTTGGAGCATTTTACGTGCCTGGAAGTCTGAAGGGCAGAACCAGGCTTGGCTCAAGCTCATCTCTTGTGTCTGTTCCCCCCCTAACCCTCAGCTCAGAGCCATTTGCTGTCATCTCCTGACCCGGCTCTTCGCTTCCCCAGCCCTCCCTCTGGAAGCTGGCTCTGGAATCTCCACCATGGAAAATGCTGCCCAGGTGCCACCTGGGGAATTTTTCTCTGGAGAACTTGAGCAACAGCGTGGCAGTGGCAGCTCCCTGGGGCTTGCTTTGCCATCCCAAGGAATTCTGCAGGATTCGTAGCTCTCCAGCAGCTGCACTTTCCTCTGCTTCTCTTCAGCTTTCATGGCCCAGTGCTCCAGTGGGGCTGTCCAGGCTTCCAGAACAACTCCAGTGGACAGAATGGGATGGGTTTGCCCTGGTTTTTTGTCTCTGTGTCGAGGCCTGTGCCTGTCAGAACAGTCTCCTCTCACTGTTTTCATATCTAATGAAGGCATTTGAGCACCAGACCCCGGCCAGTGCAGCACTGGCTGCAAAGAGCAAACCCTCACCACGCTGGGAGGAGCAGACAGAGGAGGGAGTTGCTGGAGCACATGGAAACACAAATTAGCACTTTTTTTCCTCTTACAGCTTCTGTGTGCTTTCCTCTCACACCCCAAGACAATCCCTGGCTGTGTCTCTCCTCCTCCCCTCGCACAAAGCGCTGCCTGAGCTCGGAGTCGCTTGGCCCCGTTCCGCTGTCACATTAAATATTTAAGAGCCTGTCCTGCCTTCTGCTCCCCATCTGCATCCCTGCTGCAGGGAGCTGCTGCCTTGCAGGGCTTGAAGGCTGCACCTCCTTCCCTGGGACAAATCCCTGGTGCTGTGAGAAGCCAGCAGGGCCCCTTCTGTGCCCACAGGTGGGGAGGGGGGCAAAACTCAAGGAGCTGGAAAAACAAACAAACAAAAAAAACCACACACAAAAAAAAGGAAGCTCTCTGGCAGTGAAATATTTGTGTGATGTGGAGGTTGCAGAAAATCATATTGGGGAGCAGTTCTCCCTCTGCCCCTCAGCAGCAATGGGTGTCTCAGTGTGCCTTTTTTTAGGTAAGTTTGACTCTTTGGGAGTTGTGTTGGTCACCTCTCTGTTATGTGAAGCATCACCTGATTCTCAAATTTGGGACCAATGGCACTGATTTCAAACTGCAGCCCCAGGTGAGTCCCAGCCTACCTAAGCAGGATTTTAAGGGATTCATGGAATCACAGAAGGGATTGGGTTGGGAGGGACCTTCAGGATCATCCAGTTCCAACCCCCTACCATGGGCAGGGACACCTTCCACTAGCACAGGGTGCTCCAACCTGGCCTTGGACACTTCCAGGGATCCAGGGGCAGCCACAGCTTCTCTGCCCAACCTGGGCCAGGGCCTCCCCACCCTCACAGCCAGCAATTCCTTCCCAATATCCCATCTAAACCTACTCTCAATTTGAAGCCATTCCCCCTTGTTCTCTCCCTCCATGCCCTTCATTGCTGAGATTCCTTTGCCTCCCCAGGTGTGATAGTTTTCTCCACAGGGTTGGGTTTATTTTCCAGCATCTCCCAAGATTTCTTTTTTTCCCTGGATAAATCTTTCTGTGTTGGGTGATCAGGAGGTTGCTAGGAACGTTTTGGGTGATGGAAAGCCCCAGATCCTGTTCAGGGAGACCTGGATACTGCACTTCCTAAATCTCCTCTCCCTAGTGCTGATTTTCCAGGGAATGATTTCTTTGGATAAGAGTTGCCTGTGGCTGGGGGGAGGGAGGGAGAGGGAATTTATTTATTGTATAAGGAAACTCCTTGTTTAAAACCAAAATAAAGAGAAATTATGCTGTTCATATATTTCTACTTTGTGCCTAATCAGTGTCTTTTGTTCAAACCAAAAATCCCAGCATGGCTTGGACTTCCCTCCCTGTGCAGTTTGAATTTCTCTGGGGATATTTGTGTCATTCCTGACACTTGGAGCATTTGAGGATCTCAGCTGTGGGTGCAAGGAACACACATCTTACTTGTGGGAGGCTGGGGAGCCAAAAAAATGGGTTGTTTCATCATTTAATAGGGAAGGGTAAGAAATAATTGCACTTTGTACCTGATGTGGTGTATCCTGAGAGCATCTGGAGCTGGCTCTGCCTTCCTTGGCATCATCCAACCCAGAGATGAGCCCTGCAGCCCTGTTCCTTGTCTCCAGCCACTTCATCTCCCCAGGCCCTCTGGGATTGCTCTCCCAGCTCTGGTCTCCATCAGGAGGAGCTGCCCCCGAAGCAAGGGTTGGTGACCCTCATATAAATACATGTATAAATATAAAATAATACAATATACATGGAAAATAGCAGGCCAAAGGGGGAAAGCAGCCTGTGTGGTGCTGACCTTGGAGGGCTGCAGAGCACGTGGGCAGCCTCAGATTTTTGGGCTGTGAGGTGTTCCATGCCCTGCCAGGGGGGTTGTTGGGACGTGCCCGTCCCTGGGGCTGGGCAGGAGCACTCAGGTTGTGTTTGCTGCACCACTCTTGTACCACCCCGGTGAGAAGAGAGGAGAAATGTGCTCAGGGGAGGCTCAGGAGCTGTTCTTGCAGCTCTCTGTTGCTCTTGCAGGGTGACTGGAGAGCTGGAGTGTGTCCTATCCAAGGCTATTCCCTCCTGGACGTGCTGGAGATCCCGAGACCAGGATGGAATTGTTGGTAAGAAGTGGCTGTGCCCCCCTCAGACGGAGCCTCCTGGGAGATGTGGGGTCACCTGCAGGTCCGTGGTGCCCCTGTGGGATCTGCCTTCCTCCCCTCCAGGAGGGTCCCTCCCCCGGGTCGCTGCCTGGAGCCCAGGGATAGCCTTGGAAAGCTGGGAATGCTGTGCAGCACCGTCGGGCTGCAGGGAGGTGGGACCGGGGGCTCAGGGCTGCACCGGGACTGGGAACATGCAGGAATTCAGCAAACCCCTCGGGGGGAGATGCTGAGGAGCGGGAAGGAGGTGGGAAAGAGGTGTTTGTCACCTTCTGGATGGCACTGCGTGGAATTTTAGCGGATGAGCATCTGCCTGGCGGGGAGATCACCCTGCGAGGTGCCAAGTGCCCCCGTTCAAAGCAGATTCCCAACAATAATTGGTCTAAATGGCAGCGCCGTTTGGTGCGGATTGGAGCTGGAGAAGGAAAGGGTCAGATCGGGACGCGTTTCCCCCCCCCCCGACCACGTCCTTCCTTCCCCACCGGGACACAAATGGGAAGCTCTGCCAGGAGCTTTGCAGGAGGACCGAAATGTGCGTCGGCCACAAATTACCATGGATAAACCGTTCCAAGAGGAGCCAGGCTCCAGGGGGGTGGGCTGGGGGTTTGCCCTGTGCCATGGCTTGGTGTGGAAGGCACGGGAAAAAGGGGTTGTTTAGGGGGCTGCCTCTTCAAACCGCTCTGAGTTCTTCAGAAGGTTTCCCTGCTCGACATCCTGCGCCGGTTTAAACTGGAAAGGGGGTTGGGATATTCCTCCCTGCGCTTCCCAGCCCTAAAAAGGACTGAACTGCCTCCCTGGAGTGTTCCAGGTCTGTCACGGCCCCAGGATGTGCCACTGCAGCAGAGCTGGTGAGAAGGAACCCCTTAACCCCTGTCCCCTGCATTTTGGGGGGGGGATCAGGAACCCAGAGATGGACCAGAAGAGAAGGCAGCAGAAAAAAAAAAAGCCATGAATTGAAGCTTATTTATTTATTTGTGTTTGGGGTGGGGGTTTGTGGTCGTTTTCTGGGCATCACTTGGCAGCCCCGAGCCCTCCCGGGCACCGAACCCCGCTGTTTTCCGGCAGGGATTTAATGTGCTGAGAGCAGGTGCCATCTAGGGGACAGACAGCGGAAGACAAGGAGGGGTTTCACTCCCAAACCTGCAGTTTTGGCTCCGCCACACCAACCCACCTGCACGCCCAGGGGCTTTGGGGCCGAGCACGGAGAAACCCAGGCTCCAAATGAGGAGTTATTGGGGGCATGGCTCGATTCCTGCTCATCCAGCCCCGAACGCCGAGCAGAAAGCGTAAATCACGGCATGCTTTGGGTTGGAAGGGGCATTAAGGATCATCCAGTCCCACTCCCAGCCATGGACAGGGACACTTTCCACCAGCCCAGGTTGCTCCAAGCCCCGTCCAGCCTGGCCTTGGACGCTTCCAAGGCATCTTCCTTCGTGCAGCAACCGCTGTCCAAAGCCACGGACCAGAGAAATCCTCAGGGAAGGTTTCTCTTCAGCGCTGAAATCACAGGTGGGATGGAGCGCTGTGGGCTCAGGCTCTGTAGGCACAGGTCACGTTTCCAGCTCCAGGTGGGCCACGATGTGCTGCAGCAACCTTCCCTTCTCCTGCTGCTCTCCACAGGGATGTATCCTGCTGGCTTTTAAAGAGAGGTTTTGGCCAGAAGTGCTTGCTCCTCATCACCCACTTGTCTCCCTCAGCAATTCGGATGGTCCAAAGGTGTAACAGGACAAGCAGAGAACCACAGGGCCATGAAGGTTGGAAAAGCCCTCTGAGATCATCAGTCCAACCATTCCCCAGCCCTGCCAAGGCCACCACTGCCCCCTGTCCCCAAGTGCCACATCCACAGGGATTTTAAATCCCTCCAGGGATGGGGATCCACCACTGCCCTGGGCAGCTGGGCCAGGGCTGGACAACCCTTTCCATGAAGGAATTTTCCCCAATATCCAGCCTAAACCTCCCCTGGCACAGCTGGAGGCCATTCCCTCTCCTCCTGTCCCTTGTTCCCTGGGAGCAGAGCCCTAATGAGCACTAATGAAACCAGCTCATTAATAAAACTCTGGCAGATGGGTGACTACAGGTGTGAGCCACAGCTGCAGGGTCCAAGGGTTTGTGTAGGAAACTTCAGCTCAATCACTCATTTCTCACCTTTTCCTCTCCTATTTCAGGTTTTTGTGTTGTTTTTTGGTTTTTTTCTCCAACTTCATCATCTTCCCCCTTGGAAATCGTTTTGGCACCACAGGAGGAGCTGCAGGCCAAAAGTTTCCTGTCAGGGGCTTTTCCCCCTCCACCTCATCCCCAAAATGTCCTTCCTGCTTATCCCCATCCTCCCTTGGGACAACCCCCGCCGTGCAGGACATCGGGATGAAGGAGCCAGCACGTCTTGCCCTGGATTTATCTGCGGGGGGGCACAGAGAAAACTCCTCGAGAGCCCTCCTAGGGAGCCAAAAGTTGCGATTTCAGCACCCAAAGCCGCCTGTTGTCCGTGCAGACTCCAGCAGAGGGAGCGTGGCTGCCTGGAACGGCATTCAAACCCTCTGCTCGTCGGCAAATCCTCCTTTTGCAGATGAACTGTCAGGATGTCTCCTTCGGATGGCGTTTTCCGGTGACATTTCCAATTGCTCCCCATCTGCTCCAACAGCAAAACGTATGGGGAGCCTTTATAAATAACTGAAAACGTTAATTTTATGATTTTTTTTTTTCTATTTTAGGGAGGTGCAGTAAATAGAAAAACCGAAAAGCCAACTCAGAGCTTGAAGTCACAGGTAAATCTTTAATTTATCCGTGCTGGCTTGGCTTTTCCCTTCATGGGAACGGGATTTTAGGCAGAAAGCCCTTTGCTGGTTGGATCCCCGGGCTGAAATCCTTTGGCTGCTGATGTCACCGCTATGGGGTGGGAAGCCAAAGGGATGGGAGGATGTCAGGAGGAAAGGTCACCTGGGCTGAGGACTTCACACCAGGGAATAGGGACAGGGAAGTGTCCAAGGTCAGGTTCGACTGGCCTTGGAGCAGCCTGGGCTGGTGGAAGGTGTCCCTGCCCATGGCAGGGGAACAAGATCATCTTTAAAATCACTTCCAACCCAAATCATTCAGTGATTCTACGAGATCTTGTTCTGGTCCAGCCAGAACTGTTCCGCTTAAATGCCATAATTTCTTATTTGGGGTCTCTTCTGTTGTCCTTTTTAAAATCACAGGCTGGTTTTTGAGGGCCGTGTGTGGTTCCTGAAAGCAGGGAGAGACAGAGGGGCCTTGGAGTTAATGAGATCTCCCAAAATTTGCATATTAATAACTGTGCCTGTTACCTCGCCGTCAGACTTAATAGGGCGTAATATTAACAATTAATTGTTAATAAAAGAGCCACTTTGTGGTCATTTGCACACGGGAATGGAGTAACGTGTCTGGTGGAGAACAGTGGGAGGGCTTTGCTCCCCTCTCCCCTGCTGCAGATGGAGGGGGAAGCTTTTTGGGGGTTTTTCTGTGCCTTCTGCTCCTCCAGCTTTATTTTGGAGGACAGTTTTCCTTGGGGTTCATCCCTGTGGCCCCAGTAATGTCCCTGCTCCTCCAATTCTGTGCTCCAGTCCCCTCAGCCAGAGGAAGAAAGCTCCAGTTCGTGGCTGAGCTGAGGCACAGTGGCCATTTCCTCCCCTAATTGCCATTAAATGCAATTAGTGCTTCCCAGTGCCCCAGAAACAAGTGTCTTAGCAAGGTCACCGTGGCCTGTGGCTGGAGAAATGCTGCACCAAGGGTTTCAGCCAGGAAAAATAATCATTATTTGAAGTCTTTCTTCGCACAAAAATCGGCATTTTCCCTTCTCTCCTCGCAGAAAATCAGAGGATGTGCCCTAACAGTGCATGTCCCACGAGCTGGCAGTGGCTTTCTGCTTTTCCTGTCTTTGCAGGAATTCTGTTGCTCCCTAAGTTATGAGAGCAGCTCATTCCCCTGGAAAAGTGGGGAAAAAAAAACCCCTCCTCTGGAGCGCCCAGACCCGCAGGAGGTTCCAAAGGGAGGAGCTGCGTGGGTTGTATCCTACAGAACCGGGGCTGGGATGGGGAACTAAGGGGATTGATTAATGCTGCTCCCTGAAGCTCCTGCAGGATTTTGAGGCTCTGCCACGAATGCCAGAGCAAAGGGCCCCGTGAAGTTCGTCCCCTCCATGAGCACCTTCTCTCCTTCCTCCCTGCCAGGACTCTGCCTGCTGTTCATAATCCCAGGGGGAAAAAATCCCTCCCTGTCTGTCCTTACTAACGCACAGGAGCTGCTTGCTGGGTTGTTCTCCCAAAGGCAACCTCCAGGAAGCTGGAAAAACCCCTCCTGCCCGTCTCCCACCTCGGATCCTTCCTGCCAACCCCTCTCCCAGGAGGGAGGAGGGCAGGAATTTGAAGCTCGGGCAAAGATTGATTGTCTCCCTGAAATTCTCCCGGCATCTGGCCACGAGGCTGCCCGAGCTGGTCCTTAGGGGGTGCTTTCCTTTTGGGGTGAGTTTGTCTGGGGTTTTGAGACTGCAGAACCCTTCATTCCTGCCGCGGGGAATTCTGCAGCTCCCCTTTTCCCCTTGGAAAGGCGGGATGGATTCGCCTGCCAAACATCGGCGATTTCAGACCGGCTGAAGGTCTGAAAGCTCCCAGGACCGTGCAGGGACCGGGGTTTGCAGGTTTGCATCGGTCCCAGCCCACCTTGGCACGTCACTGCTCTTGAGGGGCTGGAAAAAAAAAACCAAACAACCCACCTGTAATGGAAAAAGATAAAAAAAAACCGGGAGCTCCAGCACGTCCTGCCCTGGTGAGGAAGCTATTTTCGCCATCCTCCCACGCACGCTGCGAAGCTCGAGCAGCGAAGGAGAAACCCCGGCGTTAAGTACAGCCTGAACAGCCCTGTTTTAGCTCCCCGGCGCTCCCCTTGCACATGGACCTTTTTTCCGGGAACATCTGCCCCAAAAAATCCCTTGGGGGTGGCGCCAGCTCTGACCGGAGGTGATGCAGAGCTTGGCACCGCCGAGATTTAAAGGTGTTTTCCCCATCGTCAGCCATCCACGCTGTCCCCGGGAGGGCTGGAGGGTGCCAGGGTGCTGGCACAGTCATGGGATGGGCGAGGGAGCTGCTGGCACCGGGGATGAGATTCCCGTCTTGCTCCTGAAGTGCTTAGCACGGGGCAGGGCAGCGGGAATCGCTTCCCGAGCCCGCAAACAGCTCCAGAGCCGCCTGCCTGCACCTCCCCCGTCCGAATTCCAGCATCCCGAGGCGGGCGGCGTGGGGTAAGGGGAGAAGCCCCACACTGTCCATCCCCGAGGGAACTGCCCTTAGGAGCAGCCAGTGCAGGCAGGAGATGTCCCTGCTCCGCATCGTCCACCCCGGCAGGAGCAAACAGCGCCCTGCCTGGTGCCCTGGGCTGAATCACCGGAGCGATCCCTGCTCCAAAGTGTCCATGAAACACTCGGTGGAGAGGGAAGTGGATGTGGATCTTTGCATGTTGTTGCCTGGTTTGTGTATAGTCCTTGTTTCCATGTTCCTAGGGTAAGGGAAAGGCTCATCTTTAGGGATCTGCCTCTCCCTGGCTGTTCGCTGCTCCCCAGCGCGGAGCTGAATGAATGCAGGACCTGCTACGCGCAGGAGGGGTTGGAAAACACATGGAATGGGGAAAGAAACCCTCTCCTGCAAAATAAGAATGAAAAAAACCCACAGGGAAGTGTGCTCGGGAAATAGCCTTTCCCCGGTGCCCCTGCTTGCTGGGATCCAGGCTGCTCCTCCTGCCTCGCCGCGTTCAGAGGCATCTCCTCAACTTCCAGCCTTTCCCTCCAGATCCTCCCTGGCTTCCCTCCCTCTCCCTCTCCCTCCCATCGCTGCAGGATCCAGCCCAGATCCCCCCTTTCCCGCTCTTTGCTCCTCCCTGGGGTCGGAAGGAGCCAGGGACCATCTGAGTCCCTGCCCGGCAGAGGGAGGGGAGGGCGGGAGGAGGGACCGGCGAGGCGGGGAGGGGACAAGGATGCTCCGGGGGTGGCTCTTTGCTTCCTCGCCTGCCCGGAGCTCGCAGGGGCTCGCCTGGAGGATGTCTCACCCCCTCGGCACAGGTAACTCTGGGACCCCCATCACCCCAGCCCGGGGTGGGATGCAAAAAGAACGACGGGGTTGCGTTCCGGCCTCGATTGAAACAAAATTTCGGGGGAGGGGAAATGGGGTTTGAAACAAAAACCAACCAGCAAACAAAAAAGAGGGTGCAGGTTGTGCGTGATGCTCGCAGCGCTGCACGGGGGTGAGCCCTGCCCCAAAGTTTCCTTGTGGACGGCCGGGAAACACTTCCAGGGGTGGATTCCCGGGTGGCAGCCGCTCTCCGCGGATCCCTGCTGTGCGCGGTGGCGATGCTCAGGCTCCGGGAATGAGCTGTGGATGTGGACTATGCGTGGTACCCTGGGGGGAGGGGAGGCTGCATGTGATGGATCCGCTCCCGCCGCGATCCGCAGCTCCCCACGGCGCTCCCGTGCCTGTGGATGGCTCCGTGTGGCCGTGCCGTGCCATGTGCGTGGATTTGCAGTCCCGGCTTTGAAGTTTGTGTGTGACGCCCGCGGCAGAAGCAGCCGGCGGGGGGTGTGGGTGTGGGTGGATGTGCCCACACTCGTGGCTGTGACTTGTGCTGTCGCATTAACCCCCCGAAATCCACGTAGGAGACGGTGCGTGTGGCTGCCGGGGATTAAATGTATGGATGCAGAGAAGTGCAAGCCCGGCAGCGCAGCTCGGCGGTGGCACAAAATCCACGGGCAGCTCCCGCCCTTGCCTCCCCGGGAAAAGCGCGGGGATGACCAGGGAGATGCCGCAGGCGGCTCGTGCTCCCTTAAAAGTGGAGGGGAGCCTTCTCCAAACCTCCCCCGGCAAACCGCGCGTCTTGAGGGAGACTTGGGAAGCGGCTCCTTGCTGAGCACGTGAGATCCAGCCGCAGCTTCGGGAGGCGAGAGCCTGGGAGGTGGAAGGGGAGGGAGAGGCGAGGGCGGTGGCGGTGGCGAGGAGAGAATATTTTATTTTCTCAGCGCGTTTGTGACAAAAATGCTCTGGTTTGTGCTTGCTGGAGGTGCCGCTGCCGGGGCGAGTTCAGAGCATGCTGCTGAGGGCCACCCCCAGGAGGTTCCTGGAGCAGCACCTTCTCTTCGTGGAGAGCGCAGAGCGGCAGCGCCCGGCTCGGGAATCGCTCCCGAATCCATTCATGACTGAGGAACCCCCGGCCGAGCCGGAGCTGCCGCCCTCCAACCTGACCAACGCGACGGACTGCGGCGAGGAGATCCTGCTCTATGGGGACACCGAGAAGGTCGTCATCGGGGCCGTGCTCTCCATCATCATCCTCATGACCATCGCCGGCAACGGGCTCGTCATCATCTCCGTGTGCATCGTCAAGAAGCTCCGCCAGCCCTCCAACTACCTGGTGGTGTCCCTGGCGGCCGCCGACCTGTCGGTGGCCTTCGCCGTCATGCCCTTCGTCACCATCACGGACCTGGTGGGGGGGGAGTGGCTCTTTGGGAAGGTGTTTTGCAACGTGTTCATCGCCATGGACGTCATGTGCTGCACGGCCTCCATCATGACCTTGTGCATCATCAGCGTGGACAGGTAAGGGGGCGACGAGGCACCCGCGGGGGGGGTCACCGGGCTCCCAAATGAGGGGTGTTGCTGGAGGCTGAGGGACGCTGGAATCGTGTTCCTGGGTGGATTAGTGTTCCTGTGTGTGTTTTCCAAGTGGCTTTTTTGATAGTGAATTCGGTGCCTCAGTCCCTCTGGAAGAGCTGGGCTCACAGGTGGTTTTCCATAGGAACTCAGTGCCTCGATCCCTTTGGAAGAGCTGGCTCAGGGTGCTTTTTTTAAAGTAACTTCCCGAAGTTACTTCCTCATCTTCCCCCTTTAGGCAGCTGCTTCACGTTGTTCTTTCTTGGCTTGAGGAACACCTGTAGGATAGACCCACCTGACCTTCTTGCTGGACCATAAAACTACTCAAGAAAGCAAAAAAAAACCCAAAAACCAAAAAACAAACCACCCAACCCCAGGTGCACTTTGAAAATCCAGGTTCCAGGACTGCTGGAGCCAGTCCTGTGGGATGCTCTGCTGCTCCCTGGACCTGTGCCTGGGCTGAGGATGTCAGCAACTCCCCCCCTCAGCCCATCCCAAACTGGGGGTTAGCCCAGTGAGTGCATTTGTGAGGATTTTCTGGCTTCAGCTCCCACACCTGGGGCTGGGAGGGGAAGGCTGGGCCCTCCTGGCAAACTGGCAAGGCTTGGGCAAGTCAGCACCTTGTGGGTCTAATTATAGCAGCCCAGCCTGCGTCACGAGGGCCACGGCGCTGCCGAGCCGGGGGGCCAGGCCTGACGTGGGCTGGCTTTGTCAGGGGGTCAGCCTGGGTTTATCTGGCACTGCTGAGCTGGGCTGGCTTGTGACAGCGGCTCGGGGAAGAGCCACACGCCACGAGGTGTCCCTCCAGCTGTGCCACCTCCCTGGTCACCTCCCCAGGGGTGAGAAAGGGTGACGAAGCAGAAAGGGCAGAGCAAGCCCCGCTGCTCGGTGGCACCCCTGGTGAGGCGACAGCAAGTCCTGCTGGGGAGCCCTCACTGACAGCAGGCTCTGACAGCAGGCACTGCTCCCCTGAGAGCTGCCCTTTGCCCCTCGGCCCTGAGCAGCCCCGAGCTGCTGGTACAGAGCAAAACTCCTACCAGGCCACTGCAAGGTCCAGCTCTTCTGCTGAACTCGCTTTATTTTAATAAAAGGCCTTCTGGAAAAAAAAAGCAGGTGCATTCTGAGCTGACAGAAGCCTGACTGTGTTGGAGGGAAGGGATTAAATGCAGGAATGAAATATGTGAATACTTCCTCCTGATGGGTGAGGAGCAGGGAAGCAGCTACACACTCATCATAGGGCTTTGCTTAAAAAATTTCTCTTCCCTTTCCTTTTCCCTTTCCCTCTTTCCCCTTTCCCCTTTTCCCTTTTCCCTTTCCCCTCCCTCTTTCCCTTGGCTGTCAGCAACTCCCTCCACTCCATTTGAAGTCCTCAAAACCCCTGGTTTATCCCAGTACATATATTCCCTTTCCTTTCCCTTTCCTTTCCCGTTCCCATTCCCATTCTGTTCCCTTCCCTTTCCTTTTCTTCTTTCCTTCCCATTTCCTTCCTCTTCCCCTTCCCTTCCCCTCCTTTCCCAACCAAGTAATCCCATCCCATCTCACTCCATCCCTTGGAGAAAGACTCTTCTGAACACACAGACAAATAGGAACAGATCCTTCCCCAAAATCATTGCAATTGATTCCATTCATCCATCACATCTCCCCTTCCCAGTGTCACTGCTCCTGTGAGCAGATCCCTATCCAAGGATTGACGTCAGTTTGTCTTTTCCCATTAAACTGGGAGTGGGCAGGAGGTTTCTGGGGACACCACTCGTGCCAGGGCTGATTCCCAGGGCGGGCTGAGGGCCGTGGGGAAAGGCAGCAGGGAGGAAACTGCTCCTTGTAGGATGGGCAGGAATTGCTCAGAGGAAACCCCTGGATTAAATGGGAGCAGCCCTGGGATTGCTCCAAGCTGCACTCACAGGTGGTACAGCCAGGGAGGATCCCTGTAAACTGGGAGACAAGATCCTGTTCCCGCCTCACAGGGTGCTCAGACACCTCCTCCTCTCTGCTGCACCTCTTGTTTGCCAGGCAAACCCCACCCCAACCCTTCCCCTTCCCTTTCCCAAGAGGGAAAAATCCTTTTGGGATGTCAGAGAGGAAGAGGGAGCTGCAGCAAAGGAGAGGATGGAAGCACCAGGTGGCTTCAGACCAGGGCGAGGGAGGAGAACCCTGGGTCACAAGAGGCTGCCCCAGAGCCTGAAAATTCTGGCACAGGCTTGAACTTGAGGCACAGGAACAGCACCCCGGGCACTGTTTGCTCCCAGAGCCTCATCCCCCCCCGATGGGGCAGTTGAGAGGTTGGAGGGCAGTTGTCCAAGATATCCAAGATTTCCAGCTGGGCAAAGAGAAAACCAGCAAAGATGGTAACTGGGGCAGAGGGAAGGGGGGACAGTCCTGCCAGCTCTGCCCATGTGGGAGGAAGGGGATGCTGCAAGTGCAGGAGGGCCAGTGGGCTCTGTCCATGCTGGGCCTTGAGGAGGGAATGGGAATAATTGGGATGTGCTCTGATGCACCAAAGAGGAGGAGGTGAGTGGGGCGCTGTCCTGCTGCTTTCTGCCTCAAGGATCCCCAGGAATGGGCTGGGATTTGTGGGGATTATCCCAGGGTAGTACCTCGAATACCCTGTTGCTCCACATCAACCCAATACCCTCACTGCTTCCACAGGCAGTGGATGGAGGTGGATTGAGGATCCAGGATCACGCCTGGATCTCCACCTCCTCCTGAACTGGGGATGGGCAGGATTTTTGGTTTAACCCTCAATGGAAACATCTCCAAAAACCCATCTCTGTTCCTCTGCTGGTGCAGCCACAAAGCTACAGCACCGGGACAGCTGAGTTTGCAGAGACCCCGAAAACTCAAGGGAGGTTAAATGGTTGTGACCTCAATTCATCAAAATCTGCAAGGAAGAAGGGGGAGAGCGCTGTTGCTTCTGGGAAATACAAATATTTCCCCCAGTTCTGCCCTGAAAGCCAACTTGGTCAGCACTGTCAGGCAGCTCCTGCCAAAGAGGAGGTTGTGTTTTTATTGATGGCTGAAGTGTCCTCATATTTTGCTTAGCTTAGAAAGAAAAGAGGCTTGGTTTGCCCAAGATGATGAGTACTATTAAAATGTAGGCTGCTATTATTGATTATTAATGCAGAGCTCTTCCTAAAAGCCTTTTCATTGAAGCTGGGAGAACCAATCTTGTCTGGAGTGAGATTTGATTGATTTCCTTTGAAATCAAAAAAGAAAAACGCTGGAATCATCCATCTTTCCCTTATATTTTTCTTACGTAAAAGCCTGCCAGTGTTACAGATTCTTTAATGTCACAAACCAGAAAACAAAACAGTGACAACAAAAAAAAAACCCTCTTTGGCTGCTCAGCTTTTGATGAAACTCTCCATAAAAACGCCAAGCAGCTGACAAAAGGAGCTCCCCAGACCCCACATATCACTCCTGGTTTTCCTGGCGGAGGAAACAGCCTCCATCCATTTCCCAGGCAACCCTGCTGGGGCTCTCCCGTCTCCCTGGCAAGTATTTTCCGCCCAAAATCGGATTATATGCTCCGAATTGGGATCATCCTCAGAGGAAGGACGCCTCCCGAAAGCCAGTGGGATGAAACCTGCCCCAGCATTTTGCTGGATTGCCTTTCCCGTGTCCTTCATCTGAACGTGTCCCAGGGTGAGTGAATCCCTGCACTGGGCCTGGGATGGATCCCTGGGATGCTCCCACCAAGGCAGATGAAGCCTCAGGGAGCTGCAGCCTTTTGCCTCCTCAGGATGCATCAGCTTGGAAATCGGAGAAGGAGCTCATATTTGGCTGCAGGGGAGGCGTGGAATTGTGATAAAGCAGCGTGGCCAAGGAAACCCCAGTTCTGGGCTCATTTGTCCTCACTCAGCCCCTGTGAGTGGAGGCTCATCCCTTCCCGCTTCACCAGCTGCAGGATGGAGAAAGGGGCATGGTGGCTTCCCACTGGCAGAGGGCAGGGCTGGATGGGATATTGGGAAGGAATTGCTGGCTGGGAGGGTGGTCAGGCCCTGGCACAGGTTGCCCAGAGAAGCTGTGGCTGCCCCTGGATCCCTGGAAGTGTCCAAGGCCAGGCTGGAGCAACCTGGGCTGGTGGAAGGTGTCCCTGCTCATGGCAAGGGATTGGAATGAGATCATCTTTAGGGTCCCTTCCAACCCAAACCAGTCCATCATTCCCGTCGAGTGTAGAATAAGCTGCACAATCAGCTCAGCGCGGCGGGGAGGGAGCCCTGCAAATCCCCCTCAATCGCTGCTCTGGGAATTGCCTTTTGTTACCCGATCGCCGCTAAACTCGATCGGCGGCAGGACACACCCCCGAAAAGAAGGGAATTCAAAGGCAGCCCAGCTCAGTTCGAATTGCTCTGCGTGTCAGAGCCATCTCGGCTGCCCTCCCTGCTGCAAACACCGACCTGTTTTGAGGTTCTTCCTTCTCGCACCGAAATTAAACGCGAAGACCTCAAACCGGCCCCGTTTCCTCCGGCGGCGCCGGCTGGAGGCACCCGCAGATGAGACGTGTGAGCCTTGCCCGCTCTTTAAATCCTGTCACCGCTCCTTCTGCTCGGCTGCAGGGTAAATTCCTTGAAGTTTCAGCAAATCCCGGGCGAATCGGCTTCCAGAGAAAGCCGGCAACAGCAAAATAAAGGATGTCACGCAGCGCAGCGCTGCTTGGTTTTGCGAAGTTCTCGGCTCGGGTGAGCAGAGGAGCGGGGGGGTTTTGGGGTGGTGATTTTGGAATTGCAGCAGCAGGGCAGGGTTTTCTCCCAGCCTAGGGAACATCCAGGTCTCCTCCCTCGGGTTCCACGGGGAAGCTGTGGCTGCCCCATCCCTGGAAGTGTTCAAGGCCAGGTTGGAGCAACTTGGTCTAGTGGAAGGTGTCCCTGCCCATGGCTTATGGAACCTCATTCCATGAGATGGTCTTTAAGGTCCCTTCCAACCCAAACCGTGCTGTGATTCCGTGAACACAGATGGCCGTGGAGAGTTTTTGGTTGGGTTTTGTAACTAAGATCGGCTCCAAAATATACAGAGGAAACCAGGAAAAGAATAATTCATTCAGTGAATGAATTCAAATTCATTTTATCAGGGAGTCAGAGGAGAATACTTTGGGCTCTGAATTGATTTAGCAGTCAGGAAGGGAGGAGAAATTAGATTTTTTTTTTTAATATATTTTATTTCCATCCTCTAATCTTGGGGGAGGATCTGGAAAAGGGAAATCATCGGAGAAGAGAAAATCTCCTAACACCTACAATGAGACTGACTGTCAGGAAAAAAAATGATACAAGAGAGGTAAAAATCTCTGCAGAAATGTTCTTTTTTTGGCAGAAAAGCCTGTTCTTCCCCTTGAACAGCTCTCAGCAAAACGTGTCCACAGAGCTGCTGTTCCCACTGCCCCTCTGGGCTGACACCATTTATCCAAGAACAATTAAGAGGTGATGTGACCCTGCCTAAAAATGCCTGCAAATGCCTGACAGCAAGAGATTTGAATCAAAAAGGCTGTGACAGGAAAGAAATCCATGTGACCAGCTCAAGGTTTTTGCTGGACTGATTGGAACTGAGTGGCAGGGAGACAATTTTCCAGGGGAACATTGGCTGACGGTGGCCAACTCCCTGCTGATTTATTGGATTGCAATCAGAATTTGCCAGCCAACAGTGGACACAATTTCTCAGTCACACAAACCCTCTCAGTCAAGAGTGGGGATGGTTCAAATTTACACCCTGTAACGTAACCAAGAGCTCCTTTTCTCCAGGCTGAGCCCCCTCAGCTCCCTCAGCCCCTCCTGCTGCTCCAGCCCCTTCCCCAGCTCCGTCCTCTTCTCTGGACACTCTCCAGCCCCTCAGTGTCTTGTTGTGAGGGCCCCAAAACTGACCCCAGAAGAGTCCATCACCCCAGTCCATCTCTAGCTTTGCTTACAGTGCTCCTCCAGGCACGTCCTTAAGTCTTCCCAAAGGCAAGATCTCTCCTTGATCTCCTCAGGGGCATCTCAGCTGCAGGTTGTTATTCCTTTCTGGAGTTCCCAAGCTGTCTGGAAATACAAGAGCAGGGTGTTGTCCTTCCCACTTCCCACTAAGCACTGCTATGGATCTACTCATTTCATCCGGAGTCACTCCTGGTTTATCCCACCCCACTCCTGGGTGTTTCCCTGGGAAGGGCAACAGTCTGGACTGAGTTACGTGCCATGGATGGAAGTAGTTGAATATTCTCTGTACAGAACACTTCTGGTGGGAAAATTAGTTTTTTAAGGCATTTTTATTCCTCCAAACTAAGCTTTTTTTAAAGCATTATATTCCCCAGGAAACCACGTGGAGTTTGAACTGCGCTCGGTTAAATGACACCTCGAGTCATGGATTCCCCTGGATCCCTGGGAGTGTCCAAGGCCAGGCTGGAGCACCCTGGGCTGGTGGAAGGTGTCCCTGCCCATGGCAGGGGGTGGAACTGGGTAGTCTTTAATATCCCTTCCAACCCAAACCACTCTGTGATTCCGTGATTCTGCCCATGGTGTGGTTGCAAGGAGGTGGTGGGGAACGGTTCAATTGGGGTGTTTAGGCAAGTGAACATTTTCGTTTATAGAATTAATTTCTTGTCCCTTCTGAGGGCCAACATTTTTATTAGATATTAGGAAGAAGTTCTTTACAGAGAGAGTGATCAGACATTGGAACGGGCTGCTCAGGGAGGTGGTGGAGTCACCGTCCCTGGAGATGTTTAAAGACAGACTGGTCGTGGCATCGGTGCCATGGTCTGGGTGACAGGGTGGTGTTGGGTCACAGGTTGGACTCGCTGATCTCAGAGGTCTTTTCCAGCCTAGCTGATTCTGTGATTAACAGCTGATTGGGAACCAACTCCCCCCTCCACCCAGCTGCACTCCCCCCCTAACTCCTTGCAACTCCTCTCCCGTCCAGGTACCTGGGCATCACCCGCCCGCTGACGTACCCGGTGAGGCAGAACGGGAAGCTCATGGCCAAGATGGTCTTCATCGTTTGGCTCCTCTCTGCCTCCATCACCCTCCCTCCGCTGTTCGGCTGGGCCCAGAACGTCACGGTGGAGCGGGTGTGCCTCATCAGCCAGGACTTCGGCTACACCGTCTACTCCACGGGCGTGGCCTTCTACATCCCCATGGCCGTGATGCTCGTCATGTACAGCCGCATCTACAAGGCGGCCAAGGTGAGTGCCGAGAAGCACCGCTTCATGAACCTCCCCAAGCACTACGAGGAGGAGGGGGTCTACTGCCTGGAGGCCTCCGGCCGGGGCCACCACAGCTCCCGGCGCACCAAGGCGGCGGAGGAGTGCGCCACGCTGTCCAAGCTGCTCCGGCAGGACAGGAAGAACATCTCCATCTTCAAGCGGGAGCAGAAGGCGGCCAGGACCCTCGGGATTATCGTGGGGGCCTTCACGTTCTGCTGGCTGCCCTTCTTCCTGATGTCCACGGCCCGGCCGTTCATCTGCGGCGTGCGCTGCAGCTGCATCCCGCTGCGGCTGGAGAGGACTCTGCTCTGGCTGGGCTACACCAACTCCCTCATCAACCCCCTCATCTACGCCTTATTCAACAGGGACTTGAGGACTACTTTCTGGAACCTCCTGAGGTGCAGGTACAGGAACATCAACAGGAGGCTCTCGGCCGCCAGCATGCACGAGGCACTGAAGGCCACAGAGAGGCACGAGTGCATCCTGTAGGGCCGTGGCCTCTCTCCCAGTGCCTGACCAAGCGGCTCCTGCCTCTCCATTTCAGGTTTCCTCGCTTCTCCTGCCCTCCTGGGGGCTGGCAGAAACCATTTGTGCCGTTGTTCTTCCCCCCTTCCCTGCCAGACATCACTGAGCCCCTTCCCCTCGCCCTGTGAGGAGCCGTGGCTCTCCTCACCTCGGGAACAAGTGGAGGGAAATCCCCTTGGGAACAGCCCTTTCCTCTCACTGTGTCCAAGGTGGGGGGTGAAAAGCCATGAGCCAGACTTTTGGGGGGTGGGGAGTTCAAGGTCTACCAACTGTGGGCAACTCACACCACCTTTCTGTGCCTCAGTTTCCCCATCTGTTATTTAAAAAAAAAAATTGAAAAAAATAAAAACAAGGAAAAGAAACCCTCCCAGCCAACCAAACATTAAAAAAAAAAACCTCCCTAAAAACTTGATAAGACTGTGGCTCTCCACCTTCACAAAGGGCTCTAAGGTCTGTGGAGGGCACACAACACGCGATGTAAAGATGACATTGGCTGCACTTCTCTCTGGAGCACCACAGCGGCTCCGCTGTACGATCCCAGCTCTCCCGCCATCCCAGCTCACACGGACTCTTCCCACGGATGTAATTGCATTTCACACCCTGAGCTCACGCCCGGGTTTGCACGTCAGAGCAGTAACACCCATGGCCCCGTTCCCCCTCACACTGTGGCACTGCAGCGCTCGGAGGAGACGCCCCTGCAGCATCCAACACCAACGGAGCTTCCTTCATGGTCGGATGGCAAAAAGTCCCGTGGCCTCCTCGTCAGGGCAATGACCAGCGAGCAAAGACAGTTGTGTTTATTGGGTTGGACTCTAATTCATTCCCAGACAAGCGATGTGTGTTCATCATTTGTGGCTAATTGACTCCACAAAAGCACGCTTTGGTTGGCAACAGACAAAAACATGTAATTTCCCTGACAGCTTTACAGTGCTTCAGTGTGACGTCCAGCAAGCTTGAAAAAAAAAAAAATACACTGGATGATGTATCTTTTTTTAAAGAAAAAAAGAAAAAAAAAAAAAAAAAAGAAAAAGTCTGGTTTCCTTTTTTTGTTGGAGACCCTTTGGTCTCTTTGACTTTAAAGCGTCTCTTTATTTTTTATGTGGTGGTGGCTTCAGGTGTCTTCCTGCAGATCCTCTTTGCTCATGATCAACCTCGTTGTGTCAACCTGGCAGCCCCACAGACCTTTGCCTGTTTGTAGATTGATCACTGAATTGTAGAATCATGGAATGGTTTGGGTTGGGAGGGACCTCAAAGACCATCTTGTTCCACCCCCTGCCATGGGCAGGGACACCTTCCACTAGCCCAGGTTGCTCCAAGCCCCCTCCAACCTGGCCTTGGACACTTCCAGGGCAGATGATTTGTGCTCCAGTTGTTGAATGTCTCCTGTCCTGGGTTTTCTTGTCAAAGCCAGACTGTTCAGAGGCTGAGGGAAAGTTGTTTCTAGACCTCCCCTCCCTCCAGATTTTCTTCATCAAGCAAGAGTGTGTGAGTGGTGGGAGTCCCATCTCTGGCAGAAATACAAGTGTGATGCCTTAATCCATATCTGGGCTGGGTGTTGGATGTCTTGGCTGAGTGCTGGTTTAACTTCTGTGCTCTCACTTCTCCTCTTTTTACCAGCCATTTCTATCCTGGCTCATTTCACACTTGCTTTTTTTTCTAGAAAGATCTGCAGTTTAGACTGGTAATTCACAGCAGGCAAACTGGCTCAGGCCCACTGGGAACGTTCCAAGGGACTGAGAGGCTGGACACAGGGACTGCAGTGTGTGTCCAGATATTCTCCAAACTCCTGTCCTCACAGACAGAGCCAGAACTGCACAGGGGAGGAGCAGAGGAGGTTGGAGCTGCCCAGTGGGTCTCCAGTGGGAGATACTTAAACACCAGACAGCAGAGAGGTTCGAAGGAGCACACAATCAGGAGCAATCCTAAGGGTGTGGCTAGAGCCCTGCCTCACCTGCTATTCCAGGCAGGAGCTCTCTGAATGAGAGTGAGTGGTTTTTGCTAAGGGTTTTGACAGCTTTCCACCCAATCTGCCTGGTTTGTTACCTACAGCTGTGTGTCGGTGTGGGGCCATCGTCCCCTCTGACACAACATCTTGGCAGCAGCTGTTCCTGCTGCTGGTTCTGTTCCTGCCACAGGGACACGAAGCTCCTGCAGGCTCCCATTTCCTCCCTGGGCTCCTGCAGCTCCTTCCCTGCCACGGAGCCCCCAGTGCCCTTTTGACAGAGCTGTCTGGGTTAGAATTAACCAGCTGCGAATTCCAACCATCTCCTCGGGATGTGAGAGCCCCAGGCCAGCCCATTTCACATCCAGCACGTAACAGGAGCCTGGTTGTCCTGCTGCAGTGTATTTATTTACATGCCCGAGGTCAGAGTGGCACCATTTTACTTATTTTCTGTGTTAGGAATTCTAAAACTGCCTTCAACAATTATAATCTTGTTTAATTCCACTTAACACCCCGGTGCTGATCTCCAGCACTGCTTAAAAGGGTGCTGCAAAAGAGCTGTGAAACCAGTGTTTGAGCTTTTAAAATTGAATCAGGCAAATACTGCTTTTTTTCTGGTTTGAGGGTTCTTCCAGAATAAAAAACAGTAAGGGAAAAAAATATGGATGATCCAAACCCCACAATTCTTCTCAGCAAGGAATCGAGCAAAATGATTTATTTGCCTTTAAAACTCCCAGTGTTTTCTTTGACTTGGAATTGAATGTTTTGTTGCACCCAAGGCTCATCTGATAATGTTTTCCCTTATATTTTCATTTGAAGCTGTAGAAACATTTAAAAGAAAAGCTTTTTCCCAAGAAACCACTCCAAGAGTTTGCACCCAGAAATATTTAAACACAACAGCTTCGCTAAACCCAAACATTCTGCTCAAAAAATAACGAGACGGTTTGTGGGATTTCCCCCACTAGTCCTTGACTCAAGCTTTGAGACATCAGCCTAAACTCTTGCTTTTTAACTCCCCAGGATTAAATTGTGTTCAGGTTGGATAAAATAATGTGCATCCAAAGACACCAAGGCCTTTTCCACACACGAGTGAGCACCAACCATTTAGTTAAGCCAGTCAAGATCCTCGTAGATGAGCCACTAAATCACGCTGAAAATGCTCTGTGGGGTTTGTTGGTTTGCTTATTTTCTTTTAATCAGACAGGAATCAATGCATTTGGCGTCTGCAAAAACAAACAAAAAAACCCCAAACCTGGCTTTAAATAAATCTGAGCCATTTTGAAGCTGATTTTAGCACGCACACGTGGGCCTAACGAAGCTGTGTGAGGTCAAAGAGAGATTGGCTCTAAAAGAGTCCATGTTTAGGTAAAAATTGTGAGCTCAGGGAGAAAATCATCAATTTAAGAGGAGAAGAGGAAGTTTTCATGGACAATGAGGAGTCCCAGCAGGGCAACAGCAAACACAGCGGAGAAGAATGAGGAGCCTCGGGCAGAGAAAATGGAACTAATTCAGGCAGAAAATGAGTAGGTCTCAAATCAGCTTTTTTATTCCGCTCCCTGTGCAAGGGAAATCCATCCAGGGATTCAGGCAGAGTGATCTGGGGGAGAAAAGGCAGTTTTGACAACCCCCCCCAGGTGGGGTTTGCAGGTTTTGGACACCAACGTTGGGCAAAGCCAGGCGGGCTCAGGTCGAGATGATCTGGATGATTTGTGTAGTTTTCCCACTCAAACACACGTAAATATTTATCTCCTAATTTTATTTTATTTTATTTTTTGGCAAGACAATCTACAGATCTCCTACCTACCACGTGGAAAAGCTTTTTCTGTTTGGAGCCTTCTGAGTCACATGTCAATAAAACAGAGTCAGCCCCACGACACTTTCCACCTGTCTTCTTATGTAAGAAATGTGTTTCCTTTGTTTGTTTTACTGCCCTTTTAAGCTGGACACGTTTCATATTCACAGTGCAGGATCTTCAGTTGCCTGATTCTATCTCTTTTCTCCCTCCACTCTGAGATAGAGCTTAAGCAAAAACCTCAAAACACCAAATGAACAGGCAGGTCACTGCTGAAAAGTCATTTTTAAGTCACAGTCAAGGCAAAAAATGGATATTTCACAAAAAAAACCCCAGAATGGTTTGGGTTGGAAGGACCTTAAAGATCATCCAGTTCAAACCCTGCCATGGGCAGGGACACATTCCACTAACCCAGGTTGCTCCAAGCCCAATCCAACCTGCCTTGAACACTTCCAGGGAGTTTTTCCAGCCATTTCCAGCCTTTCTCTGCTCTGCTCTGGTGATTCCACATATTTTTTAAATGACAAAATCTTTTCCACATAGAACCTATAATCTCAGACCAAAAAAAAAAAAAAAATCAAGAAGAAAGCTGGAGCACAAAGATGATGTTACACAAATGCCTTTACCTGAGAAGAACTGAATCTCTCTGGCAAACACTCAGTTTTCTTTAGCTCTCTTGGGCTGCACTGATACTTCTCCCTGGGTGGGTTTTCCCTTGGCCTCTTGGTCACCTGGGTGGGCATCGATTTACAACCCACAAAAACTCTCATCTGGGTTGTTTCCACAGGTTTTTATTTGAGATATCTGTCCTTCTGTGGCAAAGGTATCACAGCTCCCTGAACAAAAAACACAAAATGGGGGAAAGGCAGCACCTCCTGGGGTGAAATAACCCCAGGAAGGGTTTTGTGGCTCTGTGATTGAGCGTGTGAACCCAAGAGGTTGAGTCTGGGGGAGAAGGAGAAGCTCACAGGTGGTGGCAGCTGGACCAGGGTAGGATTTGCTGATGATGGACGTGAATAGAGTCACTGGGCAGGGGATGTGGGGAAGGTCAAGGTCGAGTTGGATGGGGCTTGGAACAACGTGGACTAATGGAAGGTGTCCCTGCCATTGGCAGGGGTTGGAACTGGATGATCTCTAAGGCCCCTTCCAACCCAACCCAACCCAACCCAGGGTGTGATTCTATGAGGTGGAGGTGCACCATGGCTCGGTGTCCCAGGCTGGGTGGGAGAGGAGCTCTCTCTGCAGCCTAAACCAACACAAGGTCTGACACCCAACCTGAGGGAGGACAACATAAATACAGCTGAGCTCTGACTGCTGGAGAAAAACCTCACCTGGGTAGTAAAGCAGCAAGAAGAACCATCCCGGAGACAGCGACAGAGTCAGGATCTATGGATACCATTACACCCAGGCAAGCCCCCAGCATTTCTGTGCTAACCCTGCTGTGTTTCAGCAACAAAGGGCTGGGTCCACAGGCCTGAACCTTCCCCTCCAAGGCAGCCACATCCCACACCACTTCAGATCTGCTCAGTCCTGGCAGCCTCCACGTTTTCCACCAAGCACACGGACCTTGGACAGCAGCAGCAGGACTCTGTCTGCTGCTGCACCACTTGCCAAATAGCTGCTCTAGCAATTAAAAAAAAAAAAAGACAAATCTTTCCAGGCTGTGTGTGCTGTGCTAGTGGAGAGCTGGAAACTCGCAGCACTCTCACAAGACGCTGAAAATTAACTCTTTCCGGGCGACGAGAAAAGGCCGGGTAAAAGCTGCCTGATTTGGACCCGCTCCTTCAGCCTCTCCACCACTCTTCACCTCGGTTCTTTGACCCTTTGAACGTGGTCAGTGGCCTGCTAACACAGCAATTAGCAAAAGAGGGAGGAAGGAGTGGCCAGACGCCAGACACTCGGTGACAGTGCGTGACACCGCGGCCGCGAGCTCGTAAATCGTGAGCGTGGCTCGGGAGGGCTCCGCTCAGAGCCCGTGGTTTGTCTGTGCAACACAGACAACCTGAATGCCAAACGTGCACTTGTGGACTGTGAAATGCCTCGGTCATTTCACTCTCAGGCTGAAGCTTTGGGCAGCGGCTGCTGTCGGGTGGTTGGTGCGAGCACAGCCACGGGAAGCGCGGCCGCAGCTCGGGAAGATGCTCTCGCTAAATTGGTCCTGCAGTGTAAGAAGGATATAAAGCTATTAGAGAGTGTCCAAAGAGGGGGAATGAACACGATGAAGGGTCTAGAGGGGGCATTCAAGGAGAGGATGAGATCACTTGGCTTGTTCAGCCTGGAGGAGAGGAGAGTGAGGTCAGACCTCATCGGGGTCTGCAGCTTCCTCACAAGGGGCAGCTCTGATCTCTGCTCTGGGTGAGCAGGGACAGCACCCAGGGAATGGCTGGAGCTGTGCCAGGGCAGGCTCAGGGTGGATCTCAGCAGAAGGTTCTTCCCCCAGAGGGTGGTTGGCACTGCCCAGGCTCCCCAGGGCAGTGGGCACAGCCCCAAGGCTGCCAGAGCTCCAGGAGGGTTGGGATGATATTCTCAGGGACAGCGTGGGATTGTTGGGGTGCCTGTGCAGGGCCGGGGGCTGGACTGGATGATCCTTGTTGGTCCCTTCCAGCTCAGGATATTCTGTGATCCTGGGGTAAATTAGGAGCAGTAAGAGGTAATGACTGTGGTCCTGCAATGTCCTAGCAAAGCTCCATGTGGATTACCTGTGGTTTCCACCAGTCTTTAACTTGTTTCCATGCTCATTCCCACCTCAAGACTGTGTGCAGGTCTCCTGGATGAGAATCTAAACCCTCAGGTACAGGTTGCCTGGGAGAGCATTGAACAGTCATCTGCTAATTACTATGGAAATTAATATTCCAGGATCTTTATACAGAGCTTTGGGAGGTTTGGTTTGTTTTTTGTTTTTTGGGTTTTTTTTCCCCATCATTTCTTAAAGGCTGAAGAAGAAATACTGCTGATAACAAGCCACGTTATTTCCAAGCATCACATTTCTATAGCACTGTCAAAAGCAGTCTGAGCTACATATGGAAATCGCTGCAGCTCAGAGGAAACGCTTCTGGTTGACTATCCTTGGAGACATTAATCAGAGTTTAGTGCTGTCACTTCTCAAGAGTCACTCCTCTGTTGTATCTTCAAGAGACATCAAAATGCCAACAGCCCTGAGCAAGAACAAATCCGGCGTGGAAACAGACGGATGTGCCCGCGGGCACCTTGTTCCTGGGATGCAGCCCGAAGATCCAGGACCCTGGAGAGAGCACTGATGGCTCACCCCGCCCTCCTCCCTGCCCTGTGCGTGGCCTGCCAGCGCAGCAGCCCGCGGGGAAAGGGCTCAAACACCTCTTTGGATAAGATTTGGGGGCTGCCTCAGCCCTCAGAGCCAGGCCAGGGTACAACATCCTCCTCCTGCTACGGAGGAAAAGTGCTGGGAGAAGAAAGGAGGAGAGAGCCAGTGCCTGACGATGATGAGTCCTCAGTTTAACACCAGGAGCACAAAAAAGCATTAAAGAGCACAGTGAGGAAAATAATAATAACTCTTCAAAAGCAGCATTTTTCTCCTAGGCACCTAACACAGTTCTGAAAACTGCTCCTAACCAGGAAATCCTTGGCACACCATCAGATTTTAGCCCAAAGACCCTCCAACGGTTAATTCACGCTTTTCCTGCCCCGCTAGTTCACAATGCAAGGTTGTTTTCTAACCAGCAGACACCCTATAATAACATTTTTGAGGAAGGATCCTGGGTTGCATCTGTGGTTGGAAAAATGTCAGCAGGAGTAATAGAGACGTAACAGAGAAGGCAGAAATATCACTGTGAGAAAAACCGAAGATCAGGGAAAGAAAATCAAGCAAACAGCGATTCTGGATGTGTTTGTTGTTTGTTAAAACCAGTGTGATGTAGTGCCTTCCCACCTCTGTGTTGTTTTGTTTTTGTTTGTTTGTTTGTATTTAATATAGCACAGAGTTTTTGTCAAAGCTGCTAATGTATGTTTTTTTGAGAAGGTTCAAGGAAAGACAGATCAACAAAGATGAGCCACCGAGCCCAGAGAAGAGTAAACCAGTACAGTCACCAGTGTAGAGCGAATCGATGCATCAACACAACCCCATTATTAGGTTTGAATTCTATCCTCCAGTGTCCCAAACCACCAAAAAGAGCTGAAAGAGGAAGGCAACTGGGCTATTCCCTACTCCAGTAATACTTGGGAATGAGGGAAAAGGTTGTCCTGCAACAGAAAAGTGAGGAAAGCTTGGGCATGGCCGAAGGTATCTGAAGCAGCGCGTGCTCCGATGGATGACTGTGAAAGACAATATTTAGGGCATGTCAGGCCTGGGGACACGTTCTTCTGGCATCCTCTCCGTGCAAGAACTGGCAGGAAAATGTTGTGTACCTGAGCTGGCTCCTCTCAAACCACGACTTGCCCCAATATCGGGCCCCAACCTTCGACTCGCGGCTCCGGCGGCCGAGTTCGCTCCCATCATCCGGAATTTAGGAACTGAGCTCAGACCATCACAAAGGGCTTTGTCAGAGCAGCAGCAATAACTCAGCAGAGGGAAAAGGAGCTAAAAGGCATTGGCTGCCTTTCTTTGAAGAGGCCACACTCCCTTTCTTCTTCTGGGTCACATCACGGCACGACAGAGACATCTCCTTCCTCCAGCCCATTGCCAGGAGAGCGTTTTAGGACCTAAACTTTATAGGGGATGGTGTCTAGACATAAAAGGCTCGATGTTGCCTTGAATTTCTTTCAGGGAATACTTCAAAAGAACATGAACCTGACTGGCTAGGAAATTAGCTTCCTTTGCCTTTCCCAGACCCAGCCAGCCATGGCTTCCCAAACCCTTGCAGCGTTCAGGCACACAGATTATCCCCACTCACTTATCTCTTGTTCAGAGTCACCAAAATACTTCTCTTCATCAGCACTCAATTTGCAATTCTCCATGGAACACAGAAACAGGTGCAAACATTTAATTTTGGATTTCTGCTTCTGCTTAAGGTAATCACACAGCAGTCCCATTGCAACTGCTGGGGAGAAATAAAGTTTGGGAAGTTATTTTCCTGACCAAATGCAGGTTTCTGCTGTGCATGAGATTAATTTCACCTAAACTGTCTGCTTTTTTTTTTCCCAGACATTATATAAAGAGAGCCCAGAGGGACTTGCTCAGAGCAGATGTCTATGAATTTGAAGGGGTGAATCCTACCATGTGTGTAACTCTCCCACAACTTGTCTTGGAAAGCTGGGGCAAAAATTATGGCAAGTGTTTTGACCCAGAAGTCCCACATATATTAGGACTGCCTTGGCCTGTGTCAGTAACATCATCAAAATCAGACCACAAAAAGGGTTGGACATCTTGCAATTCCTAGCACAGAAAATTAGAGAGGAATAATGATCAGGAGGACACTCCGAGGGCTGGAACAGCTCTGTGATGAAGCCAGGCTGGGAGAGTTGGAGGGGTTCCCCTGGAGAAGAGAAGGCTCCAGGGAGACCTGAGAGCCCTTGGCAGGGCCTAAAGGGGCTCCAGGAGAGCTGGAGAGGGACTGGGGACAAGGCATGGAGGGACAGCACACAGGGAATGGCTTCCCACTGCCAGAGAGCAGGGATAGATGGGATAGTGGGAAGAAACTCTTGGCTGTGAGGGTGGCGAAGCCCTGGCACAGGTTGGGTGCCCCTGGATCCCTGGAAGTGTCCAAGGCCAGGTTGGACAGGGCTTGGATCAACCTGGACTAGTGGAAGGTATCCCTGCCCATGGCAAGGGGTGGAACTTTATGGTCCCTTCCCACCCAACCCATTCTGTGATTCCATGTTAAGATGGGTCTTAAACTTTCTGGAAAATTCCAAGTACTTCAGTGTTTGCTGGAAACTCTCAAAGGGATGAAGTTGATGCTCTAGATCAGTGTCAATCCTGCAGCAGTGGGTGCATCTCCACTTCCTTCTGCATCAGGAGATACCCAGGGAGAGTCTCGGCTCGGCTCAAGATCTCGAAGTGGCCATTTAGAGCAGCCCGTGGGTTAATTTGGACATGACGGGGCACAGATGCTCATCTGGCCATGTCAAAGCACCCAGAGGGGCTGTGGGGCATCAGCATTCCCCTGGATGAGGCACTGACCCAGAATCTCACTCAGATCTTACTCAGAATCACTGATGTGACAAATTAGGGTCAAAGCCGACCCGGGAGGGCCCAACCAGATTCAA